AGTTGCTACTTCGAGACAACAAAGGGACTACACCGTAAGTTCGGCACATCAACGTTCGACACAACGGTGTTTGACTATTTCATTTGTAGATACTAATTGTAGCTGAATTATCTACCAACGCCTTTGCGATGTTAAACACGTCCAACATCATCCAGGCGATAACTGTCAACGCCATAGTCGTGGCTTAACTCCAAACTGCAATTAATATGTTACTTTCAGTTCAAAACAAACCATAATGGGAATTGCATACACACAATTAACACAGAAAATCCCCAACCTCAACACCTAACGGTCTTTAGACGTCATGTTTCAAATTGAACATCGACACTGTCCTCATAGGATTCGCTTATCATTGGATTATGTAACTTGTTTGACCGTCCACAGGCTGCTGAGGTGTAAATTGATTAGCATTGTTAGACCAGGGTCCACAGACTGTTCGTAGCTCTACGCCATTCGTAAGTCTATGATAAAGTATAGAGTTACGACGGGACGTAACGCTACGAACGCTTTGTGGATTGGAACCCAGTGATCCTATCCACAAATTGTTAATAGCACTACGTCATCCGTAAGAGTATGATAAACTATAGAGTTACGACAGGTCGTAACTCTACGAAAGCTTTGTGGAACCCAGGGACCCTATCCACAAAACGCACTACCCTTTTCGTATGTAAGTCTTTGATAAGACTATAGAGTTACGATAGAGTTGCGAACCCTTTGTGAATCGGGGCCCAGGGCGGTATCTGGAGTAAATGATAAACTGACCAGGCAATGCAACTCAAAACGGAGGAAACATGATTATAACCCGTCAACGCTGGGTAATAATGTAAACCTAACATGTGTAATATTAACATATCCATATAAAACAATAGTCTGTAAAAATATACAGACGTATCTAAAGAACTGGAGATCAAGCGAGATCCTGTTGACATTAATGTGCATACAGCAACTCTTCTCTAAACAGGAAGCTGTTTTGAAGACATTCATTTAGGGCAACAGCCGACCATTTAAACAAAATAGTTTTTTAAATATGTCTTCCTTAGTTTAAAAATCCTAAAAGCACGTGTTCACGTGACATACTGGTTATTCCGAATCCTGAATAGGATGTCTTGTCGGTACAAATCGGTTTGGTCACTCATTTCAGCATTTTGAACCAGATTAAAAATATTGATCTGTCTCCAACAAATCAATTTAATGCACCGGAAGCTAGAAACAAACAGAGGGCCAGAAGATTTGAAGATGATGTTTATCCTGGGAGAGTTACTGTACGTACAGCTGTAAAGATATGCCAAACTAGTGAACATCACGCCCGTAGAGCGAACCTACATACCATTTCTCAATACTCAAGGTGATCAGCATTTACCTTTTTGGATACGATTTTCCAAGTGTTGAGAGTCTCATTTACTGTTTTAGCATAAAGTGTAAACAAGGCTCTATACTGTGTTGGGCATGTTTTCTATGTGTTACAAGCTCTTCACTACTTTTGGTACATATTAGTGTTAGGAATTGGTTGAAATCTCACAATTGATGATTGGTTCAATATCAAAGACCAATCATCGAAAAACATTCGTTCGCGTCATTTTTTTTATCTTCCTATTCAGGTTGTAGTTGCAGATAAGTATAAAGAAAAAACATTTCGTTCTCTGTTGTTGTTTTTTGAAACTCACAAATCACATTTACAAATTTCACGTCCAGTGTAAAATGATTCAGTTCCAGTGTAACATAAACTTCCCAGATTCTTCAAGAAATATTCAGTCATGACTTTTCAGAAAGTGAAGTGAGTTTTCTTAGAAATAAACACGTTTTCAGGCCCTGACAACGTCCTAGATATGTTCTATCATCAAGTATTTCAAACTCTATTACAGCGGTTCCAAAATCGTTTGTGTTCGATTATGAGAAAATGTGATCGATTGCTTGGTCGTTTGGCCACTGCGACCAATCTTCGATTATTTCAATTAATCGGAACACCACTAGTACATATGGTCCACGTTTTAAAGGGTTCTTTTCTGGTTTTGACACGTGACAGCACGGATATTCAGACATTTAGCGGACGTAAGGGTTTTTGTAGGTTCACTTTACTAGCTGAAACAACACATATTGCAAACAATGAATAATACTGACAATGGACCAAAATACGTTAACTAACTAACAACATCCATTTAATTACACATGATTATCAATCTCATGACCTTAGTGAACTGACACAACATATACCATCTGAGATAATCAAAGATCGCTTTGCGTGAATAGTTGGAAGAGCTGAGAATCATTGGTGGAACTGAGCATTGTGTATTCAGAGCTGAGGATAGTTGGAAGATCAATGAATAGTTAGAAGGCTCCCTGGGACATTCTCCAAGTACTGGATGTTTCTGAAGGCAAATATTACAACGGTGGCGATTTCTTTCACACTGAACGGTGTTAAAACCAAGCCCATCGGTGATAGTAATAAACTGGTATCGGTTGTGAAAGGATGACACACATCTTGGTCTTTGTTCGTATTGTCATCCTATGTCCAATGTTTGAATTCCAGTTGCTCAAAGGAATCTGTTTATCGATAGGATCAACAGAATTAGACCAAACAAAACAAGCACTGGTGTTGTGAAACACATAACATCGATCATTCGGTCAAATCGTTTACCAAAATTTCAAAACCGAAATCGAAATTCAAATGAGACACAGAAAAGTTCTTAAACTTCAACAAAAGGCATCAGGAATAAACTGTTTTTCTCTATCAATTTCCCGATGGTGCCTGTTGTAATGATCTGTGAGCATGAACAAGAAACACAAAGTAATGAATGTTAAAACAATGACAGTCTGATCAAGCTGATTTCGTGACTTTCCTTTCGCTGGACCATAGTTGCTTCAGACTCTCATGTAAACCTACAACCGGTCTCGTCTTGTCCAACTACCCCATCCCCCAACCCCATGTTTCTGTACTTTACCTCTGTATCAACATCACATAACGGTTTCGGTAAGGCAACGAAGTAAGAGGGACCTACTGTTTCAATAACAACGAATTAATGTTCTAAGTGTAACGTAAATACAGATGCAGACCCATGCTAAAATGTCCACGGCTGCGTCATCTAAAGCGTACCGTACACGACACGGGACTGTTGAATTTATTCATACCAGCTATCGGAATACACATGTAAACCGTCTACTCGTTACGAACTGAATGTCTAGTCTACACATTACGAATTGAATATCTATTCTACACGTTCAGAATTGACCATCGATTGTACACATTACGAATTGAGTATCTATTGTACACATTACGAACTGAATATCCATTCTACACCTTACGAATTCAGTAATCAATGTCTAAGAAAATCTCTCTGTAGAAGCCGCTTTAAGCAGCACTATCTAATGTTTCTATAACAGTGAATACCTGTATGTATATTTTGATTTCGGAGAAGTTTCAACGTTCGCAAACATATTGCACTCTAGCGAAGGGACATGTAACTGAACATCAGCGTTCGATGGGCAATATCCATTGAAATTTACCTGATGTATTTATTTCCTTAGACATCGGGGTATTAAGATATGTTAGAGTATGGGAGTTACGATCATCCTATCACTAAGATCGCTTTGTGCAAGTGGGCCCAATACAAATATCCACGGTATGATTAGAGTGTTTCCTTAATCGGGGTTTGATATAAGAAAAATGAAACCTTCTTGCACCTGGTGCAACCTTAGGTAATAACGTTGTTGCACCAGACAAACACGTTAGACTTGCTGCTCAAGATAGAATTATATATAGTGCTTGAGGTTTGGTAATGGTGATTTAGAACATCAATGTTACATCATAAGTTATTCTGTGTCTGATAAGATCGTTTTTTATAAAACGTCATGACAGTAACAGTCATTCAATCAATGATCCAAACCAGTCCCTCATCATGCTATTTTCGGTTGAAGTTGTATATTACTATAGTAACATAGTAATATATTACTATAGTAATATACAAGGTTGCACTTTGCAGTTTCAGGTTACGCCAGGGAAAGTTTTAAATTCTTAAATCAAACCCTGTTGTTGACAAACACAATTTGACAAAATATCGTGTGCCTGTAAAAGTTCAAATGAGAAACTGCTCTCTATACGATTACACGCACATGGAGAAATATTCACGTTTCTTCTACAAATAATTACTACAAAGCCTACCAATGTGTTTCAGCTTTGCATAGCACTATGAAATGTTGCATAATATCCAATAGTTTATGTAAATATTAATCATTCATATTTGACCTCTAACAATGACAGTCGATCCATGATGACTCCATGATGACAATCTACACCTACCAGTGCTCACACTAATATCCTTTGTGTGCAGGTGCGAGTTCTGTTTATGCTGTTTTCAACATATAGATACTGTGTCTACATAATAAGGGAGTAGGGCCGGGTCTTGGACGTTTAGCACTTTACATTCAGATTAGAGGATCATGACACCAATAAGGGACGCAACTCTCTGTAATAAATCCCGCCTTCCTTCGTCAACGTTATTCTTCACTAACAACGTTATTCGTCACTTTACTTTGACACGTGGGTGGTATATAAATATAACACACAGACCACAATGTGGCCATGTCCGACTGACATGCTGTCCATCATCAGACTTTATTGGCGGATCCAGAGGGGGGGTCCAGGGGTTCGAACCACCCCACCACCCCTTTTTTTTTTGAAAATGACTTAAGACCACATTGAAGATTTTTTTGGCGTTGGCGGAGCCAGTGGGGGGTTCGCACCCCCACCCCTTTTCAAAATTTCTGGATCCGCCCATGGACTTCAACATCCGCCAAACGTCTGTTGACGATTTTCAGACAGAATTTCGTTGTTGATATACCGACCAGCAGCTAAAACTCTGAGAAGCAACATTTTGACATTGACAACAAACGCCCAAAATTCTGAACAAAACCTTACAGAAATGGAGCGTGTTTGATCGTCTGCTGTTACACGTCATCTAATATCCGGTCACGTGATACCCCCATTCAGAATTCAGACTACTACGTAGATACACCATGACCTGTAATATCAACATAGGTGACTGTGACACTGGACCCTTAATTCGATTGTAATACGATGGCGATTTCTTGCCTCGTTGCTCAAGGGAAAACAAAAGAATTCCTAGTTTCAGGTCTCGGACTTAGATCTTCGTATGTGACCTCGCTGATTCTCTTCTTGGCCTTCAACATTCCCTGGTATCTCAGGCTCATGAGGTAGTCGGAGTGAAATCTGCCGTCGGTGTAGTCCATGAACCGTTTGTAGTCGTCCTGCAACGCCTAGGAAATTAAACCATTAATATATTAATAGGTATGCACCCGTCACGGACATATGGATATAGTCTGTTTTTGAGTGGTGTGGGATGGTGTGGATGAATACCGTTTCCTTTTGGAAAGTGAATGCGTCTGTGGGGTTAGTTTTAGTCAGCTTTTAGCAATATTCCAGCAATATTCCAGCAATACCGCGAGGGAAACACCAGAAATTGGCTTCACACATTATACCCATGTGGGGAATCAAACCCTGGTCTTCGGCGTGACCAGTTGTTTTGAACAAAAATAAGTTCCATAACAGACTTGTGGCTAGTCTCTCTCACCGTCCCTGAACCATATTATTTTACCCTCCCGCACAGCCCTTTCTGTAATGCAAAACCTAAATGAAGCAAGTCTAGATTTTCTAGGTTCAGGGTGGAATGGCCATCTCTCTTGGGCTTCTTTTCAATAAAAAGGAGAATTACTTGTGTTTATCATAATATACCTTCTCAGAGACTAAGCGTTAGTCCAACCTGTGGTGAGAGTAATGTTCCTACTTATTTAAAAATTAGGTAAGACAGCGGTTGAAAGTGGAAATCTGTATATTATGGAAGATTCTAAGGGTCACAATTTGTCAATTTAGGAAAACTTTACTGCTGACTGACAGGTGTGTATCAAACATAATTCGAACTGTCAGCTCTACGTGTTATATCTACTTCTTATAAATATTAACAGTTGATAAATACCCGGAAGTCAGTCTCTACCCGCTGCCTGTGTGCTAGTTCTCTCTGGTATGTCGTCTCTAGGATGTCGTACCTGAAACATGACGAAGGTCTTGTGAGAGGTTTGTATAAACAAACAATTTGCCAAGTAACCGTGGCGAAACTCATTAATTGGATCCCAAAGTTCTGACCAATTCCGTGAGTGAGTGAGTGTTTTGGTGGGTGGGTGGATTGGTGGGTGGGTGTTTGGGTGGTTGAGTGAGTGAGTAATTCTTTACACCGCATTACTACTTTGCAGCTAATCGCGAGAAGTGTATTTGTATGTTAGACTATAAAAGTGATGTTGTAAATCACTATTATTTTAGTCAAATATCACGTTTAATGCTCTCAATGCTACTGTCGAACCCATACATGGCATACGTGTAATATGAACACACAATTTATTAAATCATACTTAATTTCATGTGAAACTATAATTGATACTATATTTTAGTACATAATATAATACGTATGCATCATGCAGTTGCTAATATTTTATCACAAGAAGAAAAGCATGAATGTTATTTTGAAATACAGATTTTGTCACGCCCATTTCCGCGCACCTGTTGTTGAGGCCCATGTCTGTAAATGTTGTTGCGTCGCACAAAGTGAAAAAAACAAAAACAACAACATGCTTCACAATCATATGTTTCTCATCTACATATTCAGTGTAGAATCAAGTGATGGTCCTAATATCAACAAAAGTTCAAATAAAAGATACTGCATGTGGAGTGTTGATCGACTACTGTTTCTGGGGCACGGGAGCATACAAGGTCAAACAGGTTCCGTGATGAGCCAATTATATTGTAAAAAACACAATGGGTTTTTTTCCTATGAGTGAGTGAGTGAGTGAATGTAGCTTTACGCCTTTTTCCTATATGAGCTACGATTTATCATTCTTAAGGGTAGAAACTGACTGTTGAGATAGAAATCTCTATTTGGTCGAATAGTTTGATTTCTTTTAAATATACCCTTCGAACCTGTTGTAAAAAGCTCAGATCAGATAGGAACGTCATCATTAAAACAGTGTCTGTGCAAAATCCACACATTCAAGCAGACCACGTCTGTCCGTGGTGAGTAATGCAGTATTAGCTGTACGTTAATTGTTAGGGCTGCGCAATATAACCGGTTTACCGGTATTTACCGGTTCAGACATGAACGATACATATTGCGATACGCTGATCGAAAACCGGTATTTTGACATGCATTCGGAAAACTTCGGAAAACTCGGAAATCTTCGGATGTTTCCGTTTTTTTTTAATTCTTCCTTTCCTTTTTTATTTGTGGCAACTATTGTTTATATTTTTATTAAAGCTTAATCAAGCATAGTCATTTTTGTGTTTTTGCTTTATAAATCAAGCATTAATTCGATTATATGTAGTTTAATTTTGTTAAAAAAGAACTTCTTGCAATATATTGCAATACGCATCGCAATATATCGCAATATGAAAATTCTCTGCAATACCCACCCCTATTGATTGTAGTCTTACAGCTCAGTGTCTTGTTACATGTACATCGATGGGTATTGTTAGCAAGGGAAGTGTACATTACTACACATACGTGGGAAATTCCACATGAAAGAAAAAGGCATAATTCTCACGAAAAACAGAGTTATATTCAGGCACGAAATACAACCTGTGTGTCTGCACGAACCCGTATGTAAACAATGAAGAACATTTTTATCGTTGGGAAATGCTATTGAAAAAACATAGTACATAAAATTTCAAAGAAAGAAACTAAGCAAATGAAATGAAATGAAACCAACGTTACCACCAGAACCGGTTTGCAAGTGGCTTAACTTTCCTGCTCTATATGTTCCATGCATACCATCGATGAGTGCTAACAAGTACTACAAAAGACAAGGCTTTGAACAAAAAAGTTCTCTAAATGATATGCGGTTATCGATTTTACTGCAGAATATGTGTACATTGTATTTAATGAATATTAACTCTGAATAAGTTCTTTGAGTGGCATATTTTAGAACATCAGACCTCTGTTACCAATTCCGACAGCAAATCAGCCATTTCCGACCACATCAAAGCAAGCCCCAATCATCAAATAGAGTGGTCTGACATCACCATTCTCTCTAACAAACAAACAGACTTCACTAAACGCAAGCTCACCGAAGCCATCCACATCAAACGCCAAAAGCCCACCATCAACAGAGACCAAAGATACTTCATTCCATCCGCTTATGATGCACTCATCCACCAAGCCCAATCTAATGTATAAACTCTGCTGTATAAACATCTCATTATTATTTGTACATCATTGGCTTCCACGCCTGTCCTTTGTCTACTCTCTGGCTTCATCAGCTTTCTGCCTAGCCAATTATGTTAATTATGTTGTTTTTCTTTGTTACATTGTTACATCCAGTATATATATACTCCCCCTTCTTCATGATCCTTTATGCTTGACAACGGTACAAGAATCTGTATCGAAACGTCGCACTCACGAATAAAAAGAAGTTGTTATCCATAAAGTTTGTTTTGTATTGAACTCTGAATAAGGTTTACAGATAAAATGCAGACCCATCGAGTGTGTCATGGACACCGCGAGGTGTCAAAACTATTTCGTATTTCCGATGAGACATCGCTGCAATTAAACTGCATGGCTAACACTACTTTGCAGACCTGTGACGTCATAGGTAACCATGACGTGCAAAAAATAAGAACGTGTATTTCAGATGATAAAGTGACTTTCACCCTCGTGTCTTCCAAGCTTGACATGCCTTTTACCAACTCGTCTTGATATATTTGATCACTTTAGATCCCCTATACGTGTGACTGACTGACTGAGTTTGGTTTTACGCCGGTTTTAGCAATATTCCAGCAATATCACGGTGGGGGACACCAGAAATGGGCTTCACACATTGTACCCATGTGGGGATTCGAACCCGGGTCTTCGGCGTGACGAGCCAACGCCCCCCTATACGTGTGACCCAACAGGAAATAAAACATAGGAATTTACTTTTGATTAAGTCTGTTCACTTCCTGTTGGTGGAGCCGCGCAACTCTCTCTGCTTCCTGTCTTGCGCGCTCCTCACATTGCCTGGTAGTAAGAGCAATAACTTCCTCTTCTCGTTTTTTAAACTTTTCCTGAAATACAAATAGATGCATTAGATAACCATGGGCTGAATTTTAAATTTTGGTACAGATGGAAGGTGGCAATTCCTACAGATCGATCATTTCATATGTTGCCTCGAGTGAGCATTATCCGCAATATCGCTGCTATATTATGGCAGTCTGGACAAAACGAGTCATGGGACCTGGCACATGAGTGGGTGGTTTGGGTGGCGAATGAGTGAGTGAGTTTGTTTTTACGCCGCTTTTAGCAATATTCCAGCAATATCACGGTGGAGGACACCAGAAATGTCTTAACACATTGTACCCATGTGAGGAATCGAACCCGGGCCTTCAGCGTGACGAGCGGACGCATAATTGATGATGTACTGACCCCCCTCATATAACAGAGCGCAATAATTTGAAAGCGACGTTAACATGCCACAGAGGGGCGGTGGGGTAGCCTAATGGGTAAAGCGTCGGCTCGTCACGCTGACGACCCGGGTTCGAATCCCCACATGGGCACAATGTGTGAAGCCCATTTATGGTGTCCCCCGCCGTGATATTGCTGGAATATTGCTTAAAGCGGCGTAAAACCCAACTCACTCACTCACTCACTCACTAGCATGCCACAGTAACATTAAATAACATATTTAATGTCTGTCTGGGATCGACCCACCGACCTTCCGCACTCCCTCCAGACTCTCTGTCCACTAGACAATAGAAGACGTCCGCGAGATTTAATAAATCACCAGTCATATAGACTATACATATGTCTATGGAAATACAGAGCTCCAGATTTACCCTTGCTGCCTTCAGAGCCAGTGCTACAGCCCGCTCTTTTTCCAAAGCAAACTCATTTCTCATGGTTTTCCTGAGTGCTGCGCATGCGTCAACAATGGCTATTTCCTTCAGCCTTTCACAGTCCTCCCACTGCTGTTTCAGTGCTTCCTCTTTCTCTTTCTGTAATTTCTTCGTAAGTTCCTTTATTCGTTCCTCCTCTGCTCTGTCCCTCTGTTCCGATACTCTCTGTGCCAAACGCTCGAAATACTGAAATTAACGCATCTCATTAAATATAGTTCCCCTACTATCAGGTGTGTCATTAAAGTAATGAACGTGTAGAGCCTCTTCTACAATGATGTTAAGTACTAATTTCCATCAATATCGATTCTTATCATCTATATTCTGAGTGAGTGAGGAACGTTTAACGACACTTTAAACAGTATTCCAGCTATATCGAGGGAGGAGCGGTGGGGTAGTCTAGTGGGTAAAGCGTTCGCTCGTCACGCCGAAGACTCGGGTTCGATTCCCCGCATGGGCACATTGTGTGAAGCCCATTTCTGGTGTCCCCCGCCGTGATATTGCTGGAATATGGCTAAAGGTGGCGTCAAACTATACTCACTCACTATATCGAGGATTGTCGGCTTAATGTAGGCGGACAGTAAGAAGTAATACCGGTCTTTGACGTGTACCACTTTTGAGAAACCCACGAGCACGGTGTGGTGCCGACAAACCGAGAAACATAATCGGGCCAATCCAGGATTCGAACACCCCGCAAATTACAAGTTTCTGGCGAGCTAAGGGGTGTGTCCGGTCTCGCGTACCCTGAAATATGCTGAGGGTAAACAGAGGGACACGTATCTTTCTGTTTCACGACGTAATCAGCAACATAACGGCCGTGGTAACATTGTGAAATATTATTTACTGAGGATATGCATACATATGATATGGACAAATTGCCAATAAGTAGAATTTTGGTATCAGGTTACCTTTAGGGTAAAGTAGACGGCTGTGTTGTCTTGTCAGATAACAGACTTATTCCATCGAGTGACCGGCCAAGATATATTTTTACATACAGGCAAGAGTAAACCATCGTTTTTGTCAGAACATGTTATTCTTCATGGAAAACAATTTCTAACGTATGTTCATAGTGATCTCCCACTTAACATGGCAACATGGGAAACTATAATGTCCACAAGGCAGGCAGGCTCGTTGAGTGAGTGAGTGAGTGAGTTTAGTTTTACGCCGCACTCAGCAATATTCCAGCTATATGGCGGCGGTCTGTAAATAATCGAGTCTGGACCAGCATGAACATCAATCTATGCAATTGGGTTACGATGACATGTGTCAACCCAGCCAGCGAGCCTGACCACCCGATCCCGTTAGTCGCTTCTTACGACAAGCATGGGTTACTAAAGATCAATTCTAACCCGGATCTTCACGGGTCCATCCTGGTTAAACTGTTTTCCATCGAGTTATAAGACATGTCATTCGCACGACAGATATGATCTGAAAACTTCATTTAGATAGTCTTTCACATATATTTACTTAATAAACTAAATTATTTTCCAGACACGTTCATCCCCACAGTCTTTCCATCTGTAAAGTTTGGTGCCAATGCTGCATGTAAAGATACCTGAATATGACCTACAAACACAACTTTCATGGACAGTGCGGGATCTGCCTTTTACTCAGAAAGTCCGAATGTCAGAATGCTCGTTAGTCAGAAAGTCTGTTTGTCAGAAGGTCCGGTAGTCAGAAAGCCCGTTTGTCAGAAGGCCCAGTAGCCGAAAAGACATAACAAATTTTCGTTATAACAATCGTTATCCAAGTGTGCAAGGAATCTATCCCCTGACCAGGTTCTTGCCCAGCCCCCCTAGGTAGCTGCATCATCAATTGCCTGTGGTATTGGTGGAATGAGGGCAGAGCGAGCCCTCTGCATTATTGTTCTCACACTGTGGAACTCGGGCAGGAGCACATCCCCTCCTCCTTGGTGAAGGCCCCGGGCAACTCCCTCGAACACCGCTTGATGGGTCTGGTTGGATCTAGCCGTACAGCCTGTTTAAGTTGGCCAATAGTTTTGTCCTTTTTTATTCTCTCCTCGTCCACTCCATGCGTGTGGACAGGCTCTTTTATTATGATGATATTTGGGTCGTTATCTGCAAGGTCAAATTTGGTAGTTCTTATACTTGCCCTACAGGCCTTGCGCCAGCATCGCCATAGGGGTGTACGGCGTAGGCAGTTACCTTGTTTTTGTATCTATATCCACGATAAAAAAGGATCTTTCCTCGTGCATAAGCGAGGCCATGGCAGCTTGTGACGTGTATTAACAAACTGGTGCTGGCCTGCACAGTTTTTGTGTGCATTAGTCAATTTGAAAGGGGGTCTAGCCAAACTCATTTGTTTTCTATTGGCTTACATATTCCATTTCTTTGCCCTCTTATTTTCCTCATGCACGTTCGTTTATTTCCATTCTCTTTTTCTCCATCTGTCTCTTATTCTCTCTCCCTCCATTCGTCTCTCTCACACGCTCAAACGGGCCTTCTGACATTCGGGCTTTCTGACTTCCGGTATTCTGACTAACGGGCCTTCTGACAATTGCGCCTTCTGACTAAAAGGGTGGCCCCGACAGTGCTCGGCAGTCTGTTCCCATAGTTGCTATGTCTAATATTTTGGAAGCGCTGGGGTCCCCTAGACCAGATTCCCCATACAGGTGTTATCCGTGAAGCCGATTTCTGCTGACCCCAGGCGTTTTATTGCTGGGCATTGCCTTAAAACCAACTCATTCACATATTTAACATTTACAATCAGACCATCCTCTCAAGGAGGTTACTGGAGGGATATTCCCAGTGCTGACCTCTTTCTGGGTTTGTAAAGCCCGCCTCCGCTCTGCATCCTTCTGGTCCTTCATACGCTTGAGCGCGGCACGCAGTTCTCGTGTTGCACGTGCTTCTGCTGCATCGACAGCGTCCTGGATGGCCTTTTCCCGCTCTTCCTTTGAGTCGTCTGTCTGAACTGTGAGCATGCGCCCGCCAAGCTCTGAAATGGCGGTTTGGTTTAAATTTCTGTTTGTATTTGGTGCATCTGTAATAGCCACACACTGGTGCATGTTGGTTAGTAGGTAGAGGGTATTGAGAAGAGTAATGGGATTGAAACACAGTTGTTTAGATGCACATGTTGAGACAGTTTGTTTGGGACTGATATTGGGCACGGTTTGCCCTCGATGGCATGGATCTACGAAGCTAAGTTGTTGAGGCTGCCCATCCGATTACTACTCCATAAACCGAAATACTCAATAGAATAGTTAGTTTTATTAAATACCTGCCAACATTATGTAACTTCTTGATAGTATAACCAGTCGTTTTGCAGAATGAAAGGCCGTTTTGTGTCAATATCAACAATACTTCTAATTACGGGAGACCATGTAAACAATCGATCCTGAACCAGAAAGACCAAAATTGTGAGTGAAAATCAAAACCGTTGAAGCAAGAGAATAGTCAATCACAACCCAAGTAATGGCGCTGTCTGCGCATAACGTGCAACCATTAAGGGACCACTGTGGCCGCTCCATTCGTGACCAACTCGCGTTATTCCGGGACAAGCCGAATATCGAATGGAGGTCATGGAAAGGGGCGAGTGGAGACGAATGTGACAGCTCTTCAGTCATTGTTGGGTCGACAAGCAATGGGTGTAAGGAGCCCTTCCGATCCTGAATCCCCATGACGACTTCTTAATTTTAAAACATTTGACCTTTTTTCAAAATTATAATTGTTCAAGCGCCTATCCAGAGACAACATTATTTTTTTTTATCAATATGAAATTCTTTAGAACGTTTTTGGGCATTAATCATGTATATTCCTATTTTATGCTTTTGTGGTGCATTTTGCTGCAATCTGTGACGTGACATCCGTGAAGTGACACAATATTAGCATCCTATATATTGTTATTACATGCTCACAGCTCGGACAGGAGGGTCAAGAGGAGACAAGTAAAAGTGATCCAAGGGTAAAGAGTGTCAGCAACACAACTGGGTTAGAAACACTGAAAATAGCTTCATGCATATATATTGACATCATATCCTGAAAAGAAAATAGAAGTCGATCAAATAAGCAAGCAAAAGCAAATCTATCAACATATTATCAATTCAAATACTCAAAATACTTGAGGTGAAATTGGGTTTAACATCGTGCTTGAAAATATTTCGCTCATATGACGACGTGCATGCGTGTGTATGTGTATGTGCGGCTGCTTGTACTAGCTCAGACTTAAGCTGGTTTTATAGTGCCCACTGAGATACCATGCCGCAGTGAAGCATGAATACCCCACTCAGACATATTATACTGGCTCCGAGCCGACCAGTCCTTGTTGTACCCATTAATGCCGAGCGCTAGGCAGGGGCCAACAAGTACCATTCTTCTTCTACCTCTTTCTTCTAATCTCGTCAGTGTTTTAAACAGTAGCACCAAGTCTCTTTACTGTAAAACGTTCACTTTCTGCGGCAGATCTACCTCGGTGACACAGATACTGGTCATGATAATTTGATTGTAAGGTCATTGTAACTGATGACATCACAATGGTCTGCACAACTTTGTGTCATACAATTTCATTTAGCGATATCACCTATGTGATGCTGCTTGTTCCACAGGACCATGTAGATTTCTAACCAATATTCTGCAACAAACCTCTGCGGGTTTGTTATCAGAGAATGTAATTTATATGGCCATGTAGTTGATCTACAGGGTATATCCCATGCAAGGCAGTTTTAGACGATAGATAAATGTTTATTCAGTTCCCTCACTGAAACATTCCAGTGGTGACGAGCGCTAATATTAGTAACTGAATGAAATAAAGCACCGTCTCTGATCTTGTCTTGTCCGAGCAGATTCAGCTTTTTGAGAAAGGTAGTGTGTGTGTGTGTGTGTGTGGGGGAGGACAATTGCTATTATGGTCCTAGTATATATGCCATAACATAACTTTGCTGAAAGTTTGGTGGCAAAAGAGATAATGATCATAAAACCGGACAAACATAAAATAACGCAAAGTAACCACCGCACCCCGGTGAGGTGGATTTTGTCCGGGGTGGCAATTTTGGTGGGGATTTGTCCGGGTGGATTTTGTCCGGTCACCCAGCACCCCACACCACCCACTCTAAATCCGCCCTTTCTTGTTAAGGCCAGCTTTAGACATATTTGTAGACGGATTGCTGGTTGCCTGATAATTGACACCAGTGTCTACACCGTGATTACTGGCCGGACAATCATGTCATTCATCACATAACAACGGGGATTCCATCGGCTTCTTTGGTAGCCAGGGAAGTGTGATATAACATATATACCAGAACTGGTATATAAGCCCGACCTGCAGCTCGTAAATCATTATCTTTAATCACTACACATACGACCGTCAATATGCCATTTCATATCGTTAACCCGTATCCATTGTTAACGATTTAAGGGGGACACACAGACTGATTTATCAATAATAGGCTCTAGTCTATATCGATTTGTCTCTTATAATGACAAACATGGATTAGGTTACGGTATGAGTGTCGGGTTGAATTTGTTAACAAGCAGGAAGGACTTTGATCGTTGTCAGATAAGGCTATAGGGTATGTGTTTATATGTAGACGGTATAATGGATTAAAACAATCCACAATTAACACTGAGGTGAGGTGAAATTGGGTTTAACGTCGTGCTTGAGAATATTTCGCTCATATGACGACGTGTATGTGTATGTGCGGCTGCTTGTACTAGCCCAGACTTAAGCTGGTTTTATTGTGCTAGTCCACTGAGATACCATGCCGCAGTGAAGCATGAATACCCCACTCAGACACATTATACTGACTCCGAGCCGACCAGTCCTTGTTGTACCCATTAATGCCGAGCGCCAGGCAGGGACCAACAAGTACAATATTTTAACGTCTTTTGGTATGACCCGCGACCTTCCGCTCTCCGGGCGGACGCTCTAACCACTACACCACGGAGGCGGTCAATTAACACTGAACTTTGTGATATTGAAACAGAATTGTCATTTGAGTTCTTTTGTTTTCATATGGATAACAACGTCTTTGTTATTGCATACATTTAGAGCGACGTTTCGATGCAGAAACGTCAGTCTATGCAATAACAAAGACGTTGTTATCCATGAAGTCATATGCCTCGCATTTGACTCGGCATCTCGCCAATATGCAAAAAATGAATCAGCTTTTTCACTCTAACAAACTTGGAACAATTAGGAAATTAGCAATATTGGCAAATAATAATGTCTCATTTAAGCAACGCCCCGACAAAAGAAAACCAATAACGCATGGGTGTAACAAGTTCCTTTAACTGGTAAAATGCATGTAGTGACAAGTTATTCTTGCAACCAAGCGATATGTATATATTACCACTTTGTGTTTCATACATGTATGTGACATAATTATATAAGTTGTACCTAATGATAAAAAGTTGTACATCTAATGCGGCAGAACGCGACCGGAGTGTAAATAAAAGTTGAGCTTAGCTAGAATGAGGAAACAAACCATTACTGTTATCATATCGTTTTTTAAGTATGACGAAAGGCTTTACCGAAACGATCAGCAAAACACACACTCATCATTAAGCGAAGTACGGTAAATAAAAGTTGAGCTTAGCTAGAATGAGGAAACAAACCATTACTGTTATCATATCGTTTTTTAAGTATGACGAAAGGCTTTACCGAAACGATCAGCAAAACACACACTCATCATTAAGCGAAGTACGGTAAATAAAAGTTGAGCTTTAGCTAGAATGAGGAAACAAACCATTACTGTTATCATATCGTTTTTAAGTATGACGAAAGGCTTTACCGAAACGATCAGCAAAAACACACACTCATCATTAAGCGAAGTACGGTAAATAAAAGTTGAGCTTAGCTAGAATGAGGAAACAAACCATTACTGTTATCATATCGTTTTTTAAGTATGACGAAAGGCTTTACCGAAACGATCAGCAAAACACACACTCATCATTAAGCGAAGTACGGTAAATAAAAGTTGAGCTTAGCTAGAATGAGGAAACAAACCATTACTGTTATCATATCGTTTTTTAAGTATGACGAAAGGCTTTACCGAAACGATCAGCAAAACACACACTCATCATTAAGCGAAGTACGGTAAATAAAAGTTGAGCTTAGCTAGAATGAGGAAACAAACCATTACTGTTATCATATCGTTTTTTAAGTATGACGAAAGGCTTTACCGAAACGATCAGCAAAACACACACTCATCATTAAGCGAAGTACGGTAAATAAAAGTTGAGCTTAGCTAGAATGAGGAAACAAACCATTACTGTTATCATATCGTTTTTTAAGTATGACGAAAGGCTTTACCGAAACGATCAGCAAAACACACACTCATCATTAAGCGAAGTACACGTACTATAGTTTAATTATAAAGGTAGTTTAGCGGGAGTGGCCGAAAGCATATCATTATCCGGGCCTAATCACGTGTTGATCACGTGACCGAGATAATCACGTTCTCATTTACACTATGTCACTGAAACGAGAAGCCAGGAAAGCCTCCTGTAACACCCAAACCAGGGGTCGATACTATGAGCAACGTATCCTGCATGATACGCAATAAGGTTGAATCACCCAAATCAGAGTAAGAAGACATTTACTCACCCATTGAGATTGTTTCCATGGGAAGTAACATCCAAGATAAAGATGTCCAGTTGGAATTCTTTCCAAGGATTTTATTTTCACCGCGGGTTTCTTGAATATTTCCTCATATGAATATTTGTTCCTCCCGAACGTATCTGACCCAAACATATTAATGATTTATATCTGCGAACCTGATGCCCAATCCACAAAACGCACTATACGGCATTCGTAAGTCTATGATAAACTGTACAGTTACGACAGGTCGGAACCTTACGAATGCTTTCTTGATCGGTACCATGGCCTTTTGTGTTTAGTAACCTGGGATATTGGGTAGCTTTTGATGTGAAGCTGTTTTTCAGAAATTTAAATATCACAAACTTTACTCACATCAGAATTATTCTTGTTTACAAGGGAAAATGATAACATCTGCATATTAAGTCATTATAACATATTTTATGTGTATGAAATATACCTGTCAAAGTTATGTTTATATAACGTTAAGCCTTTCAAAGCTAACATGGCACGGTCCCACAGCTCTTAACAGGTACTTGTACTTTGCTTACAACCTGAAAGTTATCTCTGAAAGCTTTCAAGTAGGCTTGTTGATCCTGTTCTGGTGGAGGTATTCACTTGTCGCCAGCACAATCAATCAATGGTTTCATATTGTGTCCCTGTATTACATATACATGCCAGAATTGGAGAGCTGACACCTGGGCTCTGTTCAACAAAACTATCTTAGCGCTAAAATGGTTGTAGATCTCACCAGAGACCATATAATAGATCTATACATTATGTACTGATCGCTCAGTGGAAAGTGGGCAATGTGCCTGCCTATTTCCTTGGGACATTGTGCATGGTATATAAGCCATAGAGCTTTCTTTGTAATACTATTGTGACTCATACCAACACAGACTTATATATTCGTACCGCCAATATCTCTTTGTGCAAGTGAGCCGTGAACAGCATGGGTCAAAAGCCGACTGTGTAACAAGCGGTCCATTCATATTAAACAATACTATTCTCTGTTTTCTACAGTGTACATTCTGCGGGACTTCAGGGAGACTACACATACACATACCATTATATATCCATGTAAAAGAAAGTCAAAAACTGAAGAAACCAGTATCTCTTCATCCTGAACAGATATGCAGGGACTTACATAAGGTTCTTGCGTACACTTTCAGCGAAATGGTGTATTTTAGGATTACTTAATGCTGATACATGTACTTAAAATATTCCAGTAATACGGAAACATGGAACAAAAATTTAGTAAGTAGGGATTTATCAAGGACCGTTGTGTTCAAAATTGTGATTTTATAGAGGTATATACTCAAAATCCGAGGAAGGCTTATTTTAAGGCAGTATTTTGAGATTTATTCAATAATACAATGTACATAGACATTACAACCTCATACTATTTATTCGTCTGGTTATCGGTGAATTAAAGGCTATTTCAGACAGTATTTCTACAAAGCGATTTGTAAATATATACATAAACATAAATGAGGATATTTTAAATTCATTTAATGGAATTTTAAATGACATTTGCTGCAGACTTAGGGTCGAATATCTAGCAGGTCTAGCAGGACTCTTAATTCTAATTCAATATTATTACAAAAGTGCATTAGTGTAGTGTGATCTCTCTGAAGCAAGTTCCATATAATACAAGTTACTGAGTCGCTAATAATGATAGAATTGTGTTTTCCACATGCGTGGCAAAATTTAAGCATAAAAGTACAGAATGTTCCTCACAGGACAACTGTGTGTTGTGATAGCAGTGTTATTAATTGATATTTTATGTAAAGATACGAATTCATGTGATGAAATGTAATCAACTTTCGTATCTAAATACATTCTAAATCTTTACGAAATTTATGTACAGTAATAAACCGGAATATTATTTATCCGGCACAGTCATCGTAATTTACTCTCTCTAAATTACTCTCTTTAGAATAACAACCCAACGATTACATGTTTATGATAAAATCATGATACTTCTCACATGTAAATGCTATCTAAAAGGGGGGCATATTGAAAATGACAAAATTACTCTAAATCTTTTACAAAGCCTGTGAATCGGCGTCCCCAAAGTGAAGAAAATGAGGTGTAGGTTACGACCTTGCGTGCAGTTACATAAAAGCACACCAGCACGAAAGCTGATAAATGACTCCAAGCTCTTACGGGGTCATCGACGAAGTACAAAAGTGTTTGAACCGTCACTTGAACAGATCCGCTGATAAAACATCCACGAAACCTCCGAGTGGAAATCACAGTCGTGATCCTGTTAGACTTACCTATAATTTGTCCATGTGCAACTCGTTGAGTGTTTAAAGTTGTACGGTTTAGCATCCGTTCGAGTGATTCGAACGGGTCCCGCGTTTGTCTAATAATTTTGGTCGACATCTTGTACCGTTCACAGGCGGTAGGTGCCTTAACAAATACAAGTGTCTACTATCACAAAAGCCCCACCGCCGTGATGAATGACAACCGGAAGTTTACGGTTGCTTGGAGCTCTGACGCCAGCTGAGTATACTACTTTCCTGACAAGAGGTAATTGAACAAATATAAGATTGACGATCTCAAGTGAAAAAAAAATCCCAATTTTCAATACGACTTTTGATCGAAACATATTGTGTATTTGCCTCACCGTGTTCGTTTATTGATCAGTACAGAAATCTACTAAACAATGTTCTAATTTAAGTGGAGGAAGGTTTAGTGGGTATGGGACGCAGCATTAATCGATAATGAGTGTATTGATGTCCCGTATCAACTAACATATCTTTCGTTTAAAAAAATGGAAGGTAGATTGACTGCCAAATGAAAATCGTTTGGAAAACGTTCATTGTTCTCTCTCTTGATTCACTGGTGTGAAATAAAGTTAAATAAACACTACAAAGCTGCATATACTATACTTAGCAGAATAGTAGTGTTTACGTATACTATATTTAAACGTAAGATAGCGTCAAATGTTAAATGTATGTTTATCATTGACACCGTTTTAATCGTATAATTTTTTCTTATTTTAATTTTGCTTCGTGATGATAATCGCTAGTTGCTAGAGAGATGACACCCTTCTTGGGTTACATGCAGGTAGCAAAGGTACTGTAAGTCCCCATGGCCCCTGGTATGGTGATCTCCCTTTAGCTGCTGGCGATCTGTATAGCCCATTTATATGTACTGTAAAATATGAAGATATATTTCTTTGGTTTCATGCTAATTTTAAACAACATCGGTGCAAGTTTCTTTGATAGGCATTTTAGAAGTTGAGTTGATGAAGAATAATGACAATTATTATGGATATACAACTTCTTTTATTCTGTGGAGGCGACGTTCCTCTCAATTTGTTACTCATGTATCACTTGCTTGACAACGACATTAGAATCTATGTCGAAACGTCACCTCCACAGAATAAAAGAAGTTGTATATCCATAATAATTGTCATTATTCTTCATCGGTGCAAGTATAGTTGTTTTACAGCCCTTTGTTGAATGGATTTTATACTACCAGCATGTAGTTATTATATATACGATGTGTTCCTAGTCGCAATAGGGCTGAAATACTGCCGATGTCACTCTATATGTTAACTCGCGCAAAAGTGGCGTAAAACCAGTCACTCACTCACTTACTCACTCACTCTAAGAACTTTGCTGGTTGTTTAACGCCACACTCCGTAATTGCCCTTCTATATGACAGCACTTTGTTAATGATCGTGTCTGGGCCAGACAATGCAGTGACTGACATCATGAGCATCGATATACACCAGTTGGGATCCGCTGACATGTGTCAACTAAGTCAGCGAGTCGACCTTCCGTTAGTTTTCCAACAAGCATGGGTTCCTGAAGACAATTAACCCGGACTTCCCGAGACTTCTTCGCAGAGCAAAGAAATTCGAAATAGCTTACACTTTGAAAGTACTAATACATCTGGAAACTCATGAAAATGAGTTAATATGTTTGACATTGACAAAATAATGAGTGTTATCACAAATGTTGAGAGAGATGACATTTTGATAGAATACAGGGAGGTATACAGTCACCTTTAAAGGTCATTTTAACATATACTTCAGACTACAAATTAAGCTTTGTTTCCTAGATTTGAAACTAATAACTATTCCACAGGAAATTATTGATGGCAAAAGATGGCTAGAATGAAGACACGCGCTGGTTTTGTTACTCCTGAACACTATGAAATAACCACACAAATATAAATAAAACGGTATTAGATAGGTACAGAGGTGAGGTGAAATTAGGTTTAACGTTGTGCTTGAGAATATTTCGCTCATATGACGACGTACGTGCATGCGTGTCTGTTTATGTGCGGCTTCTTGTACTAGCTCAGACTTAAGCTGGTTTTATGGTGCTAGCCCACTGAGATACCATGTCGCAGTGAAGCATGAATACTAGTACCCCCACTCTGACACATTATGCTGACTCCGAGCCGACCAGTCCTTGTTGTACCCATTAATGCCAAGCGCCAGGCAGGGACCAACAAGTACCATATTTTAACGTCTTTTGGTATGACGCGGTCGGGGATCGAATCCGCGACATTCTGCTCTCTCCGGGCGGACGCTCTAACCACTACACCACGGAGGCGGTCAGATATATAGGTATAGCAACAGATAGATAGGTAAAACGGTATAGAAACAAAAACTCTTTATTTCTTTGATCAGAAGTCAAAGATGATGTTAAAGTAATGCTTAAAGCCGAGACATTTAAAATCATAGGCACTATCGTTGTTAATGTGACAGTAGTTCACTTGAAACGGTAGGGGAACCCAGTGGTTAAAGCGTTCGCTCAACGCGCCGGAGAGTCGGGTTCGATTCCCCACATGGGTACGATGTGTGAAGCCCATTTCTGGTGTCCCCCGCCGTGATATTGCTGGAATATTGCTAAAAGCGGCGTAAAACCATACTCACTCACTCACTGGAAACGGCGTTGTACGGGTAGATATGTATGTGTAGACGTGGGAGTCAAGTGGAATCTTGAGGCTTCTAAAACAGCATAAAAAATCCAGCATAGTCTAATCCAGCGTATTGGGGAATGTTCCAGAAAAGATTTATACTTTAGATAGGGACCAAACGCGTAACTTTCTCATCTCACATTACATCAAGATAGGGGCGGTGGGGTAGACTAATGGTTAAAGCGTTGGCTCGTCACGCCGAAGACCCGGGTTCGAATCCCCCACATGGGTACAATGTGTGAAGCCCATTTCTGGTGTCCCCCGCCGTGATGTTGCTGGAATATTGCTAAAAGCGGCGTAAAACCAAACTCAGTCAGTCAGTCAGTACATCAAGATAAGCGGTCTTGCGAAGATCACTTTTCACTCTGGATTCAAGCCTAGGACTGATTGAAATCTTAGTAACTATTGCAGCGAGGTGTACAAAAACACTGTCTTTATTACCACTGCCATTGAAATTGTCCTTCCATTCAGTGCTGTACTACATGTATATGAATATGTATTAAAGCTACAAAGTGGGAAAAATATACCGTTATGATGGTTTGTTATACGCTTATCTCATCGGAATCTGGTCCGAAAATAATCATATTGGCCGATTGCGTTTCACTTTTTTCAATGTTAACAATTTTGATAAAACCTACTTGTCATTCACCCTAATGTACGATACTTACGATTCAAAACTACAGCTGCTAAAGATATTCTCACGTTATGTAATGGTGATGCCATTTGTATACAGACTGAAAATTCAGCAACATTCTCATTGAGAAACCTGATAACTGCGCAGGAATTCTACGCGTGTGCCCAGTCCGATAATTCTGTAGTGCCAAACGACTTTAAGCCATGTAGGTTTGCATCGGAAACCGCCGGCAAAACCTTTTTGAAACGTTGGACAATGGTATTTCGAGCAAGTTAACCTCATGGCTGTTTGTCAACCGTTTGGCTTCTTTACATGTTTGCTTGCTGTTTAAAGTGACATTCAGCAAAATTTCAGCCCATACATGTATACTCAAGCAAGGACCAGACAACCAGGTGACTGATGTTATGTGAACATGTTCACCCTACAGGGTACAAGACACCGAATCCACCAAACCTGACCATCCAATCACTAAATCGAATATGGTTAGTTTGGGATAAATTCTAACCCGGAAAATCAACGAGGAGTAATGATTAATAAAACAACTTCCAGGTAAATGACCTCATTTCAGATCAAAGTTATTTACATATTTATCGGACAGTTTATCGCATAGGGAACATTGTTCATTATTGCTTAACTTGCTTATATAACAGTTCCAGTAAAAATGTTTTTGTGGATAAACGTCTTCACTGCTCCAGTAGAATCAAAGATGGCACGTTATATCACTGTGAATTAGCATTAGGTTTACCCGAAATGCCAAAAACCGGCGAGCGTGTGTATCGTGCTAAATCACTCCGGTCTTCAGGAAATCCAGGATTCGAACCAGCCTGGGCCAGTTCCTGTCAGAACTGAAGGACCCAATTCACAACTGAGGCATGTCCCTCCCAAACCCCAAGAGACTTTCCGATTTGATTGCTTGGTGTTTTACGCCGCACTAAGCAATATTCCAGCTATATGGCGGCGGTCTGTAAATAATCGAGCCTGGACCAGACAATCCAGTGATCAACAGCATGAGCATCGATCTACGCAATTGGGTCCGATGACATGTGTGAACCAAGTCAGCGAGCCTGACCACCCGATCCCGTTAGTCGCCTCTTACGAACAGCATAGGTAGTTGAAGACCAATTCTAACCCGGATCTTCACAGGTGTGTCCGATTTGAAGAAATAAGGCTTACTTTGCATCACTGACTCCTTGGAGGTTCGATGGTGAAGTAGGTTCAAGGCAACCTGTTGTTGGGTGGTCCCTGTCTGCATGTTTGATAGGGCTGCGCAATATAACCGGTTTACCGGTATTTACCGGTTCAGACATGAAAACGATACGTATTGCGATATGCTGATCGAAAACCGGTATTTTGACTTGCATTCGGAAAACTTCGTTACACTCGGAAATGTTCGGATATGTCCTTGTTTCATTTGTGCCAAATATTATTCACATTTTTAGTTTATCATGATTAAAAGTTGTTATTAAAGCTTAATCAAGCCTAGTGATTTTGTTGTGTATTTGCTCTATAAATCAAGAATTAACTCGATTATAAGTAGTTTTTTGTTTAAAAATACTTCATGCAATATATTGCAATACATATCGCAATACATGCTTTCGCATCGCAATATATCGCAATATGAAAATTCTCTGCAATACCCACCCCTAATGTTTGACATCATTCCCATGATAGCGTCTCGTTTAAATATCTATAACATTTAGAGATTTAGTTACTGGCCTGTGTGACCCAAACCTTTATATAAATTTAAAAAATGTAATCCACCGTCACATAAGATTCAACATCATAGTGCGATAAACAATAGATTGTTCGCGTGTATACAGTCTGTTTCGCGGAATATATTACCGTAAACTAATCACGTCATTTATCGCGATACATTACGAGACTTCATTCTAGCCAACATGGCGACTTCTATAGACGCTGAATTTCCCGTTGACGGTATTTTACCTAAGAAAGAGACTGGAGCGTCTGTGTACTTGTCGAAGTATCCTAACTACGATGGCAAGGGAGTGGTCATCGCTATCCTTGATACGGGAGTCGATCCCGGAGCTCCTGGATTACAGGTACTGTTCAGCTGAGATTTTATTCCGAGTGTACAACGAATGATTCAGCATTCTGACAGTGACACGCACTAGTTTTGCGGAATCTTGTTTATATCCATCACGCTTAGAGGGTGACTTCGTCAAACTTAACGTTGTTCCCAAATCAGATGAAGGTTGTCGTTCTGTCAAAATCGGTTACAGTGACACGTAAGGATAGACAAAACATTTCTTAATCTTACTTTTTTCTACAGTCGTGGCTCTCTCTCTCTTCGATTTAAGATTAATCGATGCTGAGATTACCTTGATAACGCTGATTCATTTTGGAAATAGCCAAACAATACATCAAGTTGTGATGGTTTTATCAAGCAACCGTCATACGATGAATTGCCAATATTGTAGACGCATAAACATGATAAATGACCATTAACAGGTCCTCTGAGAGTTCATGAGCTCATCAGTCACACTTTCATGATCTGGGAGAATGTGTGCTGTTGGACGTGTTCCAAATTGTTGACACTCCAATGATTATGTGAGCTATAAATTATGAACAGTCATCACTATGGTAATCCCTCAAGCCACAAAGGTAAACAATGAATAATAAACTATAAAGTTGCCTCACTAGCCAGAATATATCGTCAAGTCACACAAGTTTGATCGTCATGTAACTTCGATCGCCCATTTTGAATGGTAATTGTCGCAATACGTAGCGATAACTTACGATATCTGCAGTTTTGATCTCCTGGTGACACCACTTTCATTCGTTTTGACCGGAAAATGTTTCGTGTCAAGTTACCAAATGTAAGTTATAGCTCATTTTCAGCAAACAACTACTTTTTAACCCTAGATCAATAATTAACTTTATCAGCTCAAATAAAATGTAAACCGTATAAATTTCACACGTTGTAAATTTTACAGCACCCGTCTTCTGTTTGTTTACGTTGCTGGTCTAATTGTGACATGTCCAGACACGTGATATCCTTGTCAAACTTTAAAACTTTGGAAACAAGTAAGGGCCATTTCTTATAGAAAACTTAATGCATTTTGAGAATTTCCGTGAATTTGTACCTGATGAAGTTCGAGCTATTGCCTCATTGATAAATACAATCTTGGCACAATGTACCCACCCGACATGTCAGCACAGAACACATTGACGTTTCTGCAAGCCAGTTCGTGGTGTTTGTCTACTTTCTGAGGTTTGATGCCCGTCACGATGAGCCTGAAGAATAATTCCCTGCACAATACTTGTATATAAGCTTAATATTTGTGACTTTTCATCGTTTTTTGGAAGTATTGAAACATAAAACGAACGTTTCATGGACATAAATACCATAAAATTACTTGGGACTGCTCTAGCTCTGAATTTGACACAAGAGATCGTCCTTACAAGTCATCCTGTTTACGCGACAAGCCATCCGATCATATTATGATCGAACTTATGTGACGTAGCTTTCTGGGTCACTTGTGTTGACAGTGAGAGGGCGGCCATGCCGCGATTGTGAAGAGCAGTAAAAATAACTGGATTTTTTCTGCATGCGCAGAGCGTGTGAAAAATATCCACTGGCATGCTTCCGGTTTTGTCGTATGTTGGAATATTGCTGAGTGCGGCGTAAAACTAAACTCACTCACTCACTCATTATATCAGGTAATGCAATTTATAAGCCATTATATAATTCAAAATTACTTTCAAGTTTAGTTACAAAATTTGTCATAATGTAGGTTGCAAACTTATTTCAAAATTACCGCAGCCTGTTGAGATTATTTGTAAAAATGTCCATAGCAACACAATGGAATTATGCTCGTGTCAGTGAATTTTCAGTGAGAACTGGAGATGATATTCATCATATTCATCACTGTACTTTCTTACAGTGTTACTGGGAATGAGGCAGTTCGTATTCCCCATTTATAAAATAAACGGAAAGTCAAGAGAATTATGTCTGAACATTTAAAACACCAAAACCGAAACAAAACAATAAACCAATGAAAAATCACCCACACTGCACATTCACCGAAAGTGTGAATGATAACTATGCTTCTATGAATGTCTTCCCAATAATGGAAACTATTTCTAAATAATAATATTTAACCCTGGGGGTGGAGCTCTATGGACGTGTTTGTCCCTCAGCAATATGTCTAACAATACTGACGATGCTGACTGATTAACACTTTCATCAGGTATAACCATGAAAGGCACAAGATTTTAAACCCACGTGAATATGCATAGACCCTAGCTAAAGACGAAAACATCTATGCCTTCTGTTCAGTTACTTTCTCATTTTGGGCATGTTTGTGGCACATGGACAGTGCTAGGTCCCACAGCTCACTGTGTTAAGTCACATGGCATTGTTACACAAATCTGAGATAACACTGATTACGGTATGTGATCTGTCAGCTTGTTTAAGTCCATGCTCATGGTTTTAACTGAAATGATCTGTGACTTGCATCACATAGGTCTTTTTTACAGGGTGCCATTTCATCATAGTTTCTGCATTGCACCAAGATTTTGACAAGTGCAATCTGCATTGAAGAGATAACTGCACAACAGATAATATGGATGCACCTCACACATTACCTGAGAAAATAAAACAAGAAAGATGTATGTAACATGTTATATTTAGGATTACACTTTCTCAGTGATAGATTCTAATAGTTTTGGCGGTTGAGTCCCATCCTGGATTCGAAACCACATCCTCAGAATCAGGCACCTACTGACCAGCACACAAAGTCAGACTGTAGGGCTGGGATGATACACTATGTCACGATACGATACATATCACAATATTTTACCTGCGATACGATACATATCACGATAAATACACCTTGAAAGAATGACACGGTATCAAGATTTTAAATGATTTATTTCAAGGTATTTGTGCTGAACAATAACACTATTATAATAAACAAACAAGTAACTCCATCATACTTGTGTATTTTTCTAATTAAGTACTGTAACATGTTTAAGATAATACCGTTTTGAAAAAAAGTTGTGTATCGATACACCAGTCGATGATACGATAGCTGTATCAAACTTAAATGTATCGCGATGCATTGGTGAATCGTCCCAGTCCTATCAGCCTGTGTCTGTGATGATGACAGTTTTTATCAGTGTTTCAAAATGGAAGTATTGAAGAGTAATAAGGGAGGAATTGAAGTAGCATTAGATGGATTGTTGTACACAAAGAAGGTTACAAATAAGGGTAGTATTAGGTGGGAATGTTCAAGCAGAAAATGCATTAGAAATGTCGTGGGTCCATGAAGACATCGTTGACAATGGAGAATCCAGTTCTTGTTACATCTCATAGTCACCCAGTTATACATCAGTTAAGATGTACAAAGATGCTGATGTTCTAGAATGATGCTTTAGATGATTACATGTGCCATGAAAATATACCAAGATGATGCATTATTTTATGAGATAGAGTTGGATCATGTTATTAGTGCTTATGATCAATACTGCTTGTTTATGAGGAAAAATAAAAAAATATTGTATGTCATTTTTAACACTGTTGGTATTTTGTCAGCACTGTGCAGACATTTTTTTCCTATGGGATTTTGTCAGGGTGGGATTTTGCCCTACCCTCGTCTAACAAAATCCTGAAAAGGCAATAAAGTATTATTCTTCTAAACCATGCCTGACAGGGGGGTCACTCATTCGCGTGACTGCCTGGGCATGGACAAGGAAATTTTGCATGTCACACAAAAACACGTCTGAAAGTGTTATAAAATTTGTTAGTCATTGATAGTTGTTCATATTATTGAATGACATGGTGAAACTGTAAAAAGAGGAAATGAAATAATCAATTTTGACAAAAATGTACAGAATTTAAGCAATATGTGACGATATTTAACAGCGAATTTCACCTATGTGCATATTTTTATTTAAATTGTGCATACTTAAATTTAGTATTTTCTGGAAACTCATTCATTGTAGATTCAAAATATATATGCAGCTTTTGAGGCTGACAACTGATTGTCCAGATCACATACTTTGTGTGTCTCTCTGACAAGTGGAAATAACTGCTGAAAGCTGTGAATGCACATTGTCATTTAGAAATTAATCAAATATAACATGGTACATAATAAATGTCATTGTGTACGCAAGGTATGATATATTTTTATCCCCCCGGCATGTCGTGAGGGGGGTATACCGGTAGTCGACACCTCATCCGTCTGGCCGTCCGTAAACCATTCAATATTTTTCTGCAAAACTTTGTAGATATATCAAACAGAATCTAAAGTGGTGCCTTTTGCTATTTACAGACTTTTGTGATTTATTATTTTCTCGGTTTCCATGGAAACGATTCAGACTTAGTTTCAAAAGGGAGGGGCGGACCTCGTTTCTGGAGCACAACTTGAAAACTTCTTAATATCGTTCAGCAAAACTTGGCAGATATGTGAGGCAGATCCCAAAGTGTTGCCTTTTTGCTATTTACAGATTTTTGTCATTTTGTATTTCCTTGGTTTCCATGGAAACAAATTGAACGTAATCTCAAAAGAGAGGGGTGACCTTCGTTTCTCGAAATCCGATTAATATCTTTCTTCAAGACTTGGTATATATATCAAACATAAGCTAAAGTGGTGCCTTTTGCTATTTACAGTTTTTTGTCATTTTTATTATCCCCACGGCATGTAATGGGGGGGGGGATATGGTCTCCGTCCGTTCGTCCGTCCGTAATCATTTTGTTTCCAGAGCATAACTAAAAAACCGTTCAATATTTTTCAACAGAACATGGTAGATATATCAAACAGAACCTTAAGTTGTGCCTTTTGCTATTTGCAGATTTTTGGCATTTTTATTTTTGCCGGTTTCCATGGAAACGACTCAGACTTAGTCCCAACAGGGAGGGGTAGGCTTCGTTTCCGGAGCACAACTGGAAAACTTCTTGATATCTTTCAGCAAAACTTGGCAGATATGTGAGGCAGATCCCAAAGTGGTGCCTTTTGCTATTTGCAGATATTTGTGATTTATTATTTTCTCAGTTTCCATGGAAATAATTCGGACTTAGTTTTAAAAAAAGTCATTTAAGGAATTTAAGTAACTGTCAGATGATTTGTACTTTCAAATATGTGGGGGCTGGGGGGATAAATCATCTTCTGGTGACTCTTGTTTTCCTTGTTTTCCATGGAAACGTTTTGGACTTAGTCTCAAAAGGGAGGGATGGGTTTCACGAAAACCATTCAATAACTTTCAACAGAACTTGGCAGATATGTGAGGCAGATCCCAAAGTGGTGCCTTTTGCTATTTGCAGGTTTTTGTCATTTTTATTTTTATTGGTTTCCATGGAAATGATTTGGACTTAATCTCTAATGGGAGGGATGGGTTTCGTTTCCAGGATTTTGTTTCCAGATCACAACTTGAAAACCGTTCAATGTCTTTCTACAAGACTTGACAGATATATCACACAGATCTTGAAGTATTGCCTTTTGCTATTTGCAGATTTTTGGCATTTTTATTTTGTATGATTTCCATGGAAACGATTTGGACTTAGTCAAAAAAAATCAAGTTGGACTTTTAAGTAACTGTCAGTTGATTTGTTCTTTCAAATTTATGGGGGCGGGGGGATTTGTCATCTTCTGATGACTCTTGTTTTATTTTGAATTAAGGAGTTGCTGTGTACTGGGATGAGTACATTTACATTTCAGCATAATGCATGGTGTGTACAGTACATCAACACACTTTCTTTATTATAACTTAGCAAACCCTGCCATTCAGTTAACAATGGTGGTCTGTAATGAGGATGAACAGGATGTGAACATTGTGCAGATTGAGAATATTATTTCTTTCGGTTTGTTTAAATCCTGTATACATAGTGTAAATTTAAAGCAAATGATGTTAATTAAGGGCGAAAATTTATGGATGTCAACATCTATATTTATGACATCCATAAATTCTCGCGTAAATGTTTACCACTTCTAAATGCTGCTCAAAGCCTAAATATTAATGAGTCAGGTTGTTGAATATTTTACGGACTGCACTCAATGCAGTTTGTTTATAAGGATTTTAAAACAAGCCAATTTGAACCTGCCCCAGTGCAGTGTCAGAAGGAAATCTGTTCTATGAACACTGAACTAAATTTAGCGACATGCCATCATGACTAAAGTACATGGTTAACATTGTGTTTAAGTTCATTGTAACTTAACTCAAAAGAATCTTGCTGTAACCATGGTGACAAAATAAATTATTTAGTATACATGGTATATATCATTATTTATCTTACCTCACACATAGTGTCGTTTTCTGATTGGCTTAGCAAATAACATTTTCTATGTTACCTGCTGGAAATGCCGGACTGGGGGAATTTGTTTGGTACTTCGTGTTAGTAGTGTTGGGGCTGTTGCCTAACTCCGGTACTCCTCATTATGATCCAATACTTGTGCTTCAAACAGTTCAAAATTAACATTAAGGTGTTCGGTATGATAAATACATTGTTCACTGGTCCCTCGGGGCCCATGGGCTGATGTACCCTCGATGTTTGTTAAACAAACATGGAGGGTACATCAACCCATGCCCCCCTCGTGACCAGTGAACAACCTATATTGTCATTGTTTTTGTTGAATTGACTTTCTGCTGTATGAATAATCTTTGATGTCTCATATATGTGTATGATGAGTGACATCACTATGATTACTGATTGAACTCATCTCAACTCATTGGCCATGCTGTTATACTATGTACAGGATGTAAAACTACAAAAAAGTACAATTTGATAATCAACGTATGCAGTATTATGACAATAACGACCTGTAGATATGACACCTATGCTGTGTTATTTTGGGGATTGTGGGGTAGAAAAGTGGTTAAAGCGTTGGCTCGTCAAGACGAAGATCCAGGTTCGATTCCCTGTTCGGGTACAATATGTGAAGCCCATTTCTGACCAGTGTCCCCTGCCATGATATTGCTGGAATATTGCTAAAAGTGGCATAAACCATACTCACTCACTCACTGTATTATTTTGTGGCTCCTAAACCCCTAAACTGTTCAATATTTCTAGTTGTATACCATGTATACAGATCGTTCAAGTAGTAAACTGCTCCAAATTTAATGATTTGGGATTTTATTAATTTTTATTTTATTTTTATAATTTTTTATGTTTACATGATGAAAAGTTGGATTTGTCTGAAACTGAGGGTTTAGCAGCACATTCATGTCAGCCATCTAATGATTTTATGTGACTATTTTTTAATTTATGTCTTGTTTGTTATTTAACGATTAAACTAGAAAATAATCAGCAATCTTTCATCCTCATTTCTCCGTATCCCGTTACACCAAGTGAATAATTTCCTATTAAACAGTAACCGGTATATCCATGTTAATTTTCAGAAATGGAATGCTACTCACACCTGTGTGTCTGAACAAGCATATGTTGCTAATACGAGCAATAATAGTAATTGGTTGGTCTACAGCAACCCATGCTTGTTGTTACTATGTTAGAGGTGAGGTGAGGTGAAATTGGGTTTTACGTCGTACTTGAGAATATTTCGCTCATATGACGACGTGCATGCGGGTGTATGTGTAAGTGCAGCTGCTTGTACTGGCCCAGACTTAGCTGGTTTTATAGTGCTAGCCCGCTGAGATACCATGCCGCAGTGAAGCATGAATACCCCACTCAGACACATTATACTGACTCCGAGCCGACCAGTCCTTGTTGTACCCATTAATGCCGAGCGTCAGGCAGGACCAACAAGTACCATATTTTAACGTCCTTTGGTATGACCGCGGTCGGGGATCGAACCTGCGACCTTCCGCTCTCCGGGCGGACGCTCTAACCACTACACCACGGAGGTGGTCTTACTATGTTAGAGGTGACTGATGCGTTATTTGGATGGTCAGACTGGCTGACATGGGTGTCGTCGTATCCCGTAGATCGATGCTCATAATGCCAGTCACTGTCATCATTATCTGGTCCAGATTTATTTATTTACAGAGCCCTGTCACATGGCTGGGTAACAGCTTAGTGCAGCCTTGAACAACAAACAAACAATCAAGCAATAGTACATGTATTATGACCTTGTTTTGGGTTACTACATGGACGTTCACCACAGAACATGTTGAAATATTTAGTTTGAGCACAATCATCTGTCAATGTATACAGTTGTCATCAGCTTGTGCTACTGTTTGTCATCATCCAGTGTGACTCCTCACATTGCTTAGACATGATAAATACCATATGACCATAACATCATTATCCCCCGCCACGAAGTGGGAGGGAGATATAGGTTTGAGCTCTGTCAGTCCATCCGAGATGATGGGGACAGATTTTCTCAAAAACCGTGTTACAGAGTTATGGCACTTGTCATGTGTTTCTTGACTTAGCGCATGGTATCCCCGATGGGGACAGATTTTCTGAGTAACGCAACCATTATGATTAGATAGGGAAATTAAATGTGGTATGTGTTTTCAGTACATGATTGTTGTGGTGGAGTTAAAAAACAGGAACCATGTTACTATTTTTAATAGAGTCATGACTCTGTGATCTTCTCTTTGCTGATATAACATTAATCCTCTCACAGTCTCAGTAGTCATTTCACAGCTTGTGTATCACTATTTGCAGGAAGAATAAATAGTTGTCAAAATAGGAACAGAACGCTGTGACAGGTGATATTGATAACTACAGTCAAATCCGAAAGAAGATCCAGTCCTAATTCCTCCGCCTAAGCATTTGTTTATCTAATGATTTATTAGGGGCACCTTATCAGTTCCCATCTGATTAGCACAGACAGGGATTTCCGTAAAATCACTAACCTGCCTTTTGAACTCACCCGTCAAAGGCGGAAAGGTGTGTTAATTGGATCAGTTTGCTACACCAATCAACTTCTCATTGACTGACTTCGGCTTATGTATACAAGATTGCTGTTGTTTGAATCTCATGGGACCAAATTTTCTTCTCGAGTCATCGTGTGTATTTATGAGACGAATTCGTGTAACCGGAAATCAAATGATGACAACTATAACAGGGAATGGTCGGGACCGACAGGTACTTCGAGTTATGCATAATATTCGAGACACCGGCATTCGACTCATCGGGATTTGACTGTATGTCTTCTTGTTGTTTCAGGTGACCAGTGATGGTCGTCCTAAGATTATCGACATAGTGGATGCTACCGGGTCCGGTGATGTGGACACTTCTCAAGTGGTGGAGGCAGTGGCAGGGGAGATCACTGGCCTCACTGGCAAGACACTCAAGGTATGGCCACCTGGATCTTTCACACATACCAGTGTGTATTATTTTCCTTACCAGAGTTCAAGGTGTTTCCTGCTATTCTTCATGGTTATTACGTTCAAGACAATATTGACTACATCCTCAGATTATTGCAAGAGTAAAATTTCTGTGGAAGTTGCTCCATTTGTTTACAGCTTTCATTTAGTTGGACCAAGTGGCAGATATGCCTCGTATTTTGTCATTACCCAAATTTTACCAATGCCTATCAAAAAATAATAATTTTGTTTTGCTGTCAGGAAAACATGGTCATTAATACCCTTCTGGTGTAGGTTCATGATGGACTCCAGTCATGAGTAGCTCAGTGATCAACGGCAACATTGTCTCCCCCTACATCGTCCACCAAGTTATGATCATGTGTTTGAATCCTAGATTAGCCCTGTATAAGTTTTGTGTGTAATATACCTGTGCTGGTGGGTTGATGTTACAGAAATACCACTAAAAGCTATGTCCTACCAACCCACTCGTTCAAGACTTATGATGGTGCCAAGTGTGCTTTTGATATTTTGTTTGAAGCAGATGTGTGCTGCAAATAGCTATAGTGGTATGTCATACCAATTTTGGTTTTCATGTGACAAACTATTCCTTGGAAATGAAAACAGAGAAAATTTACTGGAATGAAAGTAATGACGAATACTGATTGATTTCTACTTTGCAGTATGAATTGGGATCTGATTGTAAAAAGTAGCTAAATGTCAAATTACTGCTCATAGTCTAGGTATCTGTATCTGTTCTTGAAACATTTTTCTTCACTTGCTTTTCATCACATTCGTACATTTTGAAGACATGCAGATGTACGGTTTATGCAGTCATGTTGTGAGATGACGGTATGATGAAACTAGTTTGACACCCATCAGTACCATCTATTGATGGTTAAAGCGTTCGCTCGTCACGCCGAAAGGTTCGATTCCCCACATGGGTACAATTTGTGAAGCCCATTTCTGGTGTCCCCCGCCGTGATATATAGCTGGAATATTGCTAAAAACGGCATAAAACCAAACTCAGTCAGTCAGTCTATTGATGAATCATGAATGTCCTCAGATTCCGCTGTCGTGGAAGAATCGGTCAGGCAAGTACCACATCGGTGTGAAGAATGCCTTTGACTTGTTCCCTAAAGGCCTGAAGGAGAGGATGACTAGGGAGAGGAGGGAACAGCACTGGGACCCTCATCACAGGATTGCACTTGCTGATGCTGTCAAGAAACTGGAGGATTTGGACACAAAAGTTGGAGCTTCCTTGGTATGTACTTACAGCAGAAAGCCAGTTTTATGGAATTTTGGGCGTTTTTTGGACACTGACAAACTTAGATGTGTTTTGACCCCTGATGGAGAATTGTGACCCATGTGTGTCCCCCAAACTTTTGATTCTACCAGTAGCACCCCAAAACCCATCCTTTCTAGTAGATTTTACTCCTTATTTACTATGAAATGGCATAGTTATAATTTGAGATCAACAGATCTATGTAGATAGAGAGAAATGTTGCTAAATTCAGGCTCTGGGCCTGTGATTAAGATTCAGCTATGACGTATTGGTCTGTCAAATGATAAATGCACGCCAGGTAAAGATAAGTCCATGGTTTTCTCTCGGTTAACCATGCCAGGAATCTCTGGTTTTGGATCTGAACCCAAGATGATTAACCCTTGTCCATAGTCACAACACCTCATTACCTGTGCTTATTGGTCTCACGAATATTAAATACCTTCAGTTGGCTTCACTGGGTGTTGTGTGAACATTAAGCTGACATAATGTGATGTCAAACTCACTCGCTCATAGTTTCAACATTCACCTGTAAATTGTTCTGCTTAACAGGAGGAGAAACTTATTAAGGAGGATCTACAGGCACAGGCTGATATACTACAGAGTCTTGACAAGAAGTATTCTGACTGTGGGCCTGTGTATGACTGTGTTGTCTTCTATGATGGCAATACATGGAGGTATGGGTACTACTGTGCACTTTTCCATGGACACTGTTTGGGGAAATATATTATTGAATATGCTTTTTGATGATTGCAAAATATACCAGTTGTAGGTATGCAGTTGTTGTTCTTGTGCTTGTTACGTTTGTGACAGTGTGACTTCAGCCACTATTCCAAAGCTGGAGGGTGGTAATATCCAGATCATCCTAGTAAACTAAGCTAATAAAAGACTGTATCATAACAGTAAAATATCCAAAAATTGTGCTAAGAGCCTAGTTTAGTCTTGTAGAGTCAAAATGGATTTTGGCCTATGGATCAAATTGCAGACAGCTTGTTTAAATCACTTGAATGATATTAGAATCAGGATTTGGGAGATCAGTTGATATTGATGATAATATAAAAGGGGAACAACAAACAGTTTAATTTCTTGACTCTGTTCTAAACCCCACAATATGAGGATGATACCCTGTTGTAATTGTATATATGTCAGTCCTCAGTTGTTCTATATTGTGTGTGTCAGGGCATGTGTTGACACCAGTGAGACAGGGGACCTGGAAAGCTGTAAACTGCTGGCTAACTACCACGAAGAGCTGGAGAGTGCCAGACTCAGTAATGCAGGTCAGTTACCTCCCCTTGTATGTCATCAACAGCTTCTTTGGAATGTGTATCAGTTAGACATACATGTATTTCTGTCTGCCATAGATCAAGATAATGGAAGTGAGGAAGGCCTGGATTTAATTTCCCATGTCGGTACATGTTGTAACCAGTTTTGTTTAGTTATCCCCCGCAACGCGCTTTGCATGGGTTATTAAAATGGACTCCGTCCGTCCGTGCACATTTGTCTTTTCCGGATCTGAACTCTAAAAACCGTTCACTATTTCTTCACCAAACTTGACACATAGATTGGTCTGGTGGTGTACTGGTTCCCTTTTTGGTAGTTTTGGAATTCTGAATAAAGTATTTTTGGCATTTCCATGGCAACAACTTTGACTAAAACAGAAATTAGTGGTAGTGCACTTTTCCGGAGCAGAACTCTAAAACCGTTCAATGTTTCTTCACCAAGCTTGGAGCATACATAGATCTGGTGGTGTACTGGTGCCTTTTGGTAGTTTTGGATTTCTGAATAAAATATTTTTGGCAATTCCATGGCAAAAAGTTTGACATAGTCTGAAATTGGTGATAGTGCTCCTTTCTGGAGCAGAACTTTAAAACCCTTTCAATACTCTCCTTCCACTTTTCTATATACACACCTAAATATTTGACATAATCATAACTCGTAGACATAATCATGAAGAGTATTTTGCCATTGCGGGAGATATTGATGACTTTGTCTTCTTGTTACTCTTAATTTGCTGGAAAAAGTCTAAAATTGACCTAAGACCATGCTCAAACACTTTATCCTATGTATTGGAGGTTCCATTGTATAAGTTACATTGCATCGACTTGTCTAAGGCCTTCTCACTTATCCTCAGTTTCTGTCTACTGAAATCGAACAACTTTTTAAAAAGCGTTTTCAAAGTGCTTGTACTCATGTTCTCCAAGTTGATGGTACTTGTTTTATTCCAGACATGATGAACTTCTCGGTGAATATATACAATGATGGCAATGTATTGGAAGTTGTAACTAATGCAGGTAAGTTTTGTTTTATCATTTGAATACATTTAAATCCTAAATATATGTACCCTTGAAAATCTGGGTTGGAATTGGTGATCAGCAACCCATGCTTGTTGTAGGAGGAGACTAACAGGATCAGGTGCTCAGACTCACTGACTTGTTTGACACATGTCATATCCCAGCTGCATAGAACATTGTTCATTATTGCATCACCAGATTGTCCGTTCCAGACTTGATTATTTACAGACTGCTGTCATAGTACTCATACAGCTGGAATATTGCTGAGTGGGGTAGTAAACAACAAACTAACTAAATGTACATTCATTTATACTCTGAAATAACAGGGGCGGTGGGGTAGCCTAGTGGTTAAAGCGTTGGCTCGTCTCGCCGAAGACCCGGGTTCAATTCCCCACATAGGCACAATGTGTTAAGCCCATTTCTGGTGTCCCCCGCCGTGATATTGCTGGAATATTGCTAAAAGCGGTGTAAAACTAAACTCAGTCAGTCAGTATGTCTGAAATAACAGGTATAGTTTATGATATTGGCACTTCCTTCATAGTTAAGTTGTCATCTACTACGAAGCAAGATGATTGTGATGAAGCACACTTGTCAGTTTGTATGTTCGCTCCCTCTAGGTTCCCACGGCACCCACGTGGCATGCATATCAGCTGGCCACTTCCCAGACAACCCCGAGAGGAACGGGCTGGCGCCAGGGGCACAGATCGTCTCCATCAAAGTAGGAGATACACGACTGGGCTCAATGGAGACAGGAACCTCCCTTGTCAGAGCTGTGAGTGTAAAGACGCAATATAGAAGTCATTGACTTTTATTGTTGCAACTTTATGTTTGTTTCTAAACATTTGTCTTACTATTGATATGTACAGTGGTGTATTTTATCATTAATTATTTGTCCTGTCAGTGTTTTGTGCAAGAAGTAAGAGCTTTGCCTTGGACAGTGGCAGTGAGAAAGCAGCTGTGCATCTTTAGAGAAACCACATTCTTAGAATAAGTAAGTCTCAAATCAGAATTCTCCAGACTGACATAAAAAACAGTTATTCACTAAGAAACTAGCAGTTACATTCTACCATGGGAATGATTTGTGTTATTTTCAGATGATCAAGGTATTGGAGCGCAAATGTGATTTAATCAACTATAGTTATGGAGAAGCGTCTCACTGGTCTAATTCAGGGTGAGTTCCTTCATCACAGTAATTATTACCATATTTTCCTCCTCATAAAATTCAGGATGAGTTCCTTCATCACAGTAATTATTACCATATTTTCCTCCTCATAAAATTCAGGGTGAGTTCCTTCATCACAGTAATTATTACCATATTTTCCTCCTCATAAAATTCAGGATGAGTTCCTTCATCACAGTAATTATTACCATATTTTCCTCCTCATAAAATTCAGGGTGAGTTCCTTCATCACAGTAATTATTACCATATTTTCCTCCTCATCATACATTTACAGGTATGTGTGTCATTCCGATTCTGTTATGTGTGAATGCTTTTCATTAATTTATGTGGTTATTGGCTTGTTTTGTTTTTCAGGCGTGTGTGTGATATAATCAATGATACAGTCAACAAGCATGGTGTGATATTTGTAGCTAGTGCTGGCAACAATGGCCCAGCATTATCCACAGTGGGTACCCCAGGCGGGACAACTTCAGCAGTTCTAGGTGAGTTCATCTCTTTTATGGGTGTTTTTAGGAATCAGAAAGTGCAAATAAATGATGATACTGCAGAGGCTGCTGTATAAATGGTTACATTTTGACATCATATGAGCAGCATTTCAGTCTATATAGAGACAGTCATCTCTTTCCTGCAGTTGTGTATCATTTCTCTTTACTCTGAGGGACACTCACAAAGGTGTGCAGAATTGCTTCCCTTTGTTGTGCCAGGATTCTGTGTGTGAATCCCAGATTTGCCCTGACTGTGATGGGTGAACACAATCTTAACAGCAGTAGTGCGTTTCATGAAAGTACTGTTGGATTTACTTCCGTGTTTAACTTTTTGTGTGATATGTGTAAAATACTTTTCATAACAACACGAATCCTTTCAACCTGTATGATTGCCTGCTGTAGGTGTTGGAGCCCATGTCACTCCCGCTATGATGGCTGCTGAATACTCTCTCAGGGAACGACTACCTCCAATGCAGTACACATGGTCTTCCAGGGGTCCAAGGTGAGGAATTCTACTGCAACCTCCTGGAGAATCATTTTCACCTGTAACCAGGTGCACACATTTAGTCAGAGTACACATTTCTGGTTCGAAAAGTCCTAAAAGATTAGGTGCTATAGTATAAGATTCTAGGTGTCCCCTAAGTGCTGAACTTTTTTTCAGAATTTCATACAGTAAATGTTTTAAGGATTAGTATCTCTCAACAGGGAGGATGTTTTTTTGTAATGTTTTGTATGTTTCTGTGTACTGGATACACATTTCCCCATCATGTAAAACGTTTTATGTCTGTTTTAGTCATGATGGTGCTCTAGGAGTGTGTATCAGCGCCCCTGGAGGAGCCATAGCCTCAGTACCAAACTGGACTCTCCGCGGCAGTCAGCTGATGAATGGTACCAGCATGAGCTCTCCTAATGCCTGTGGCGCCATAGGTAAGTTGACAGATGAAAGTAGAACATTTTTCACCACACCCACAGTTCTTGGGATTTTGTTGAGCTGCCTGATATCAGGTAATCAGAGTTTGTTGTTAAATGCCGCAGTCTGCAAGCCCTTTGGTTGCTTCTTACAGCTGTTGGGGCGGTGGGGTAGTCTAGTGGTTAAAGCATTGGCTCGTCACGCCGAACACCCGGGTTCGAATCCCCACATGGGTACATTGTGTGAAGCCCATTTCTGGTGTCCCCTGCCGTGATGTTGCTGGAATATTGCTAAAAGCGGCGTAAAACCAAAGTCACTCACTCACTCACTCTTACAGCTGTTTCAGCTACTAATCTGAAGCCAGTGTCTGGTAGCATTGTTTGGTCTAGTAGACAAGTTTGGGTTAGTTTCTGTCAGAGTTTTTATGACAGACTGTTCCTTTTTGGTACAGACTGCTTGTAAAACCAGCACATGTTGCTAGGTACCCCTTCAAATTTTGAGACCTCACAGGGATGGCAACCAGAGATATCAACCATTTCAGGTCTGGTCGACTCATTATAATGTTTGTTGAATACTTGTGATTTTGGAGCTTATGTTGATAAAATATAAACCATAACATGACATACTTAGTACTTCATCGAAACCATACTGGCGATTATGCTTATACTAATTACCATGTTTTAGTCATTATTACTACTAATTTACAGTCCCAGATGTACAAGTTGTTTCTGGTTGTTTCACTTTTATCTTTGCTTCTCTTAGTAACAATACATACAAAGTTTTCTTTCAATAATATGACCTTCATTTGAGTTTGGGATGGTGGGGTAGCTTAGTGGTTGAAGCATTTGCTTTTCATGTCGAAGACCCAGGTTCAGTTCTCCATGATTCTCCGGATGCAGTGTGTGAAGTCCATTTCTGGCGTCCCCTGATGTGGTGTTGCTGGAATATTGCATAAAACCAAGCTTACTCTTTTGAGTGCTGAGATATGACTGATACAAATTTCTAAGTTGTGTAGTACCTGAAATCATTCACTTTCTTTCAGTTTAACTTAAGTTTCTTACAGTAGTAGGTGGTTTTCAACGTTTACCAAGTCCAGTTGTATGCATGGCAAAACTAGAAAACCAACATGTCCTGATGGATTGTTTCAGCCCTTGTGCTGTCTGGTCTGAAGGCAAACGGAGTACCTTACACTCCACACAGTGTGCGGAGAGCTCTGGAGAACACAGCACAGAAGGTGGACACTGTTGAAGTGTTTGCCATGGGCTATGGTCTGGTACAGGTGAGGAATCTACTCAGGTTTTGAAACATAATAAGTTGATTCATGTTCAGTAGACGTTGAAGGAGCCACTTCAAAAACCTGTTCATAACAAACTTGTATGATTCAGACTAGTTTGTCTAAAACAACTTGTCTTTGGATCCAAAGATGTGGAATATTTTGCAAGCCAGAAGGTCTTGCTAAACATCTTGCAATAAAGTGATTCTTTTATGAGTCCACAGTTCATGGATAAACTGATCAGTTGTAGCCAGGAAGATACAATGTGATGTTTCTACCTACAGGTGGAGAAAGCGTTTGACTACCTGTGTCAGAATGTGATGTTTCTACCTACAGGTGGAGAAAGCGTTTGACTACCTGTGTCAGAATGTGATGTTTCTACCTACAGGTGGAGAAAGCGTTTGACTACCTGTGCCAGAATGCCGCAGAGAAGGAGAGGAACGTGAAGTTCCAGGTGACGTGTCAGGGAGGAAAGAGGGGGATCTATCTCCGGGAGGTGCCCCAGCTGCAGAAGCCCTCTGAAGTGTCAGTGTCTGTAGAACCCAAGTATTTTGAGGAAAAAGCTGGTGAGAAAAATCAATCAAATTACAAAAATATCCAAAATTGCCACCTTCCAATATCTCTGCTTGAAATTGGTTTCTGTTGTCATAGGGGCCCTGGTAACAAACAGGATGTATGAAGTCCCAGATTAGAAGCCAAAGCAACATGCCTTCATTATACTATGAGTGATTACAACACTTGGTTCAATTTCCTGTAAATGACAACATCATTGACATGTTTTAGTTTGTAATTCATGTTGTGGACATGTGAAGATTCGGGTTAGAATTGATCTTCAGTAACCCATGCTTGCTGGCAGGATCAGGTGGTCTTAACTGCTGACTTGGTTGATACATGTCATCATTTATCAATTGTGTGGATTGATGCTCATGGTGTCAGTCACTGGATTGTCTGGTCCAGACTTGATTATTTTCAGACCGTTGTCATATAGTTGGAATACCAATAAATAGTTCTTATTCTGTGTCTTCATTGTCAGTGTTTCCTGAATTTGTAAGCACTAAGTTCCTCTGTCAAGTGTGAATACATTTGGCAGATTTGCAATGTAGTAGTATTAGTGTCCTTTGTCTAAGTTTAGTCAGCTAATGAAATACGACTGTTCACTGAAGCAATGGACTATGTGTTAGAGCTGTTGCTGGTTTACTTCTTGCCTCAACCTCTTTATCTATTGATTTGATGCAGCAATTACACTGCAGATGGGACTCATGTATATACAGTTGATGTGGACCCGTGAAGATCCATCTTCAGCAACCCATGTTTGTCGTAAGAGGCAACTAATGGGATCAGGTGGCTTGCTGAATTGGTTGATACATGTCATGGAATCCCAATTGGCAGATCAATGCTCATGGTGTTCATCAGACTCGATTATTTAATGACTGCGGTCAGATAGCTGGAATATTGCTGAATGCAGCGGTCAACAACAAACGATCCATCAATACAGAAATTCTATTCATGATGGCTTTGAAACAACTCATTATCTAATATAATCCTGAATACTTTCAGCTCAAACTGAGAAGATCGAGTTCAACATCCAGTTCAGCCTGGTGTGTGAGGCACCCTGGGTTCAGTGTCCGGCACATCTGGAGCTGATGAATGTGTCCCGGACTTTCTCAGTCAAAGTTGACCCTCGGGGGCTGTCAGAAGGGGACCACTTTACAGAGGTACTTATTACTAGAATCATGACTCTCATGACAATGACAGGAATATCAGGAGAGGTTTCGACGGATTAATTTTTAGTAGAGAGTGTTTTTCAGATTTGGAAGCCTTATTGTTCATTATGAAATCGAAATGAAAATGATGCCATATGTCAGTGTTTCATGTTTATCACATGAATATGATTGTGTGTTTTTCACAAGGGTATGTTTCTTTTGTGCCTAAAACAACATTCACTCACTCACTCGCTCGCTCACAGTCTTTGCCTAAGACATTGTTATGTTGGGCTGAGATTATTTCAGTGGAGTTTAGTGTGGACTACTTTTAGAATAGTTTACTAGATCAAAACATATTTTATAGACTTTGCTTTAGACTAGGAGGTGAGATGAAATAGGGTTTAACGTCGAGCTTGAGAATATTTCACTCATATGACGACGTGCATGCGTGTGTATGTGTATGTGCGGCTGCTTGTACCAGCCCAGACTGAAGCTGGTTTTATAGTGCTAGCCCACTGAGATACCAAGCCGCAGTGAAGCATGAATACGAGCCGACCAGTCCTTGTTGTACCAACAAGTACCATATTTTAACGTCTTTTGGTATGACGCGGTCGGGGATCGAACCCGCGACCTTCCTCTCTCTGGGCGAACAGTCTAACCACTACACCACGGAGGCTGTCCTTTAGACTAGGAGCTAAAGTTGCAAAGTATTCCCAATTTCCCAATGTAACAAACACACTTCATAAATACTGCTACAGGATCTTGTAAAAGAAGATTGATTCCTGAGAGATCCAGTATTTTAGCAGACATTTGCGTGTACAATCATTCAGTTACTGAAACAGCATGTCTGGACAATCTAAATAAGTGAAGATCCGGATTAGAATTGGTCTTCAGCAACCCATGCTTGTCGTAAGAGGCGACTAACGGGATCGGGAAGTCAGGCTTGCTGACATGGATGGTGCATGTCGTGTCCCAATTGCATAGATCAATGCTGATGCTGTTGATCACTGGATTTCTGATCCTCTCAATTATTTACAGACTGATGTTATACAGCTGGAATATTGCTGAGTGTGGTGTTATACAAGAAGACATGTTAGTTATCTGATTAAAGCGATCCTCTGTCTGCATAATCTAGTGGCATTTGTTGATTGTGTTTGTCCTGTTTGTCTTCAGGTGTGTGGGTACGATGTCCAGAATATACAGAAGGGTCCACTGTTCAGGGTTCCTATCACTGTCATAGTGCCTTCAAGGTGAGCAGGGGGATTGTCGTCTGCTGTTGGTCACATTAAACTGCTTCTATTTTGATTACTGTTTTGTGGTGACTTGTGTGCATCTGCACCTAAGTATTTGATTGAGTATATTTGTATTTATCCATCTCATTACAGAGTGACAGACGGTATAAACTTCTCACTGTCCTACAAGGATGTGAGATTCCGGCCAGGTCAGATACACAGACGGTTCATCCATGTGCCTGAAGGATCAACTTACGCAGGTGGGTTCTACTGCTGATGTCCTTGGAAGCGTTCTTGTTCTGTACAGAAACAAACTTATAATGATGGATTTGAATCCCTATTCACCATCCCATGAAGATTTGGGCCAGAATTGGTCATCAGCAACCAACGCTATTAATATTATAGGATATTTATATAGCGCACATATCCAGGCAACTAGTGCATGCTCAAGGCGCTGGTATTTTTCCCTCGATCATTGGATGTCAATCTCAACGGCACATCGTTATTATCAATCTCAACTCCCTAGGGAGTATACAACTCTTGCAGCCACTATGCACCGAGTTATTGTGGCTTTCTCATCCTAACAAAGTACCCATTCACAGCTGGGTAGACTGGGACACATAGTCACAGTACTTTGTCCAAGTTTACTGCACCCACAACTAGGTGTTCGCACGTATTCATGTGGCCACCATCTGGTCAAATACCAACAGATTCGTGGGTTCTTTTAAGTGCACTGGCTCATGTACTGTACATTAGGGGTTGTGACAACACTGAAAGAGTCTGCACACAAAGTTGACTCTGAGGTTTTTTACACCCGGTTACAAGTGGGCTCCATCCCGACACCAGAACCTCGCTGGATCACTAGCCTGGCGCCTCAGCCAGTTCGCCCACCGCACCTCTTATGACGCTTGTCATAAGAGGTGACAAACGGGATTGGATGGGACTTGGTTGACACGTCATTGTATCCCTATTGCAGAGATCAATGCTCATGATGATTGTAGTTCAGTCAGTTTCATACAAACACAAGGGTTTTCACCAAAGTGGTAAACATCTTTAACATGCATCGCCTCATGCTTTCCGTCCTCATCAATCCTACAATCTATTACATAACTGAAATACAGTTAAAGCTTTAATCATTAGCCTACCTCACCATCCCCATAACATACTGTAAGGTCTTTCTTGACTTGTGTTGGCAGTTCTCCATGTGAAGTCTCAAGACACGGAGAAGAACTGTAGAGTGCTCCTACACACCCTGCAGGTGTCTCCACAACACCAGTACAAGAAGTACGAGTTTGAGAGATTTATAACAATATCCGACTTAGGAGATACTACTCAAGCATTCCCAGTGTTGGTAAGTGAACCCCGGACTGCCTGCCATTGATAGTCTCTAGAGTCAGTTTTACTGCTGGTATACACCACATAGCCACATACTATATTTCACTGCCTTTTTGGGGCACCAGAATAGTGATGTTTAATGTCATTTTGTTGACTTATGTTGCAAGTTAAATATCATAAATTCATTTTGAAAGTTTAATGTCATAATGCATTTTGCTGTTCATTATTCATGATTCTTGTTAGGTGTTACAGAATTTACAAATTCGTGGTGCTGTCACACAGATTTTGTCAGTGGTACTATCTGTGCCAATACATTGTGACAATATGGTTGAAATAGTGCTGATATGACGTGAACTTTTAACTCGCTCACTTGTGACAATAGAGAGAGTAAATATGAAAATATATGCCACCAATCATTGACAGTGGGTCGTCAAAATGGTCGCTGGCTTAAAATGCAAAAACCAACCAAACTTGTTGTTAAAATATATCACAGTGACAAGCTATATTGTCCCTTTGGCCTATAGAGACATGTGTTCATTGATACCATGTAATTGTACTAAAATGTTGGTCATATTAACTGTCATCAAATCTGTCCCACATGTTTATATACTGACTGCAGAGATAAAGATATGCATTATTTCAATATTTTGATTGATACTTGTGTGTTTACAGGATGGTGTGACTCTCGAGTTGTGTGTAGCTAAGTGGTGGGCCAACCTAGGGGAGGTAACTCTCGACTACTCCATTACATTCTATGGTTCTCAGCTTGATGCCAGGCAGCCTGTCATGGTATGTATGTTTGTGTATTGAGTTAACAGTTGTCATCAGCTCATTATTCATATTGATTGCGTTCCTTATGAAATTGTTTAGTTGGTAGCAAAAGGACCAGTTATTAAAACGAATCAGTATGATAAGAAAAGCAGGATTCTTTATGGATGAGGTGAGGTGAGTTGAAATTGGGTTTTACGTCGTGCTTGAGAATATTTCGCTCATATGACGACATGCATGCGTGTGTATGTGTATGTGCGGCTGCTTGTACTAGCCCAGCCTTAAGCTGGTTTTATAGTGCTAGCCCACTGAGATACCATGCTGCAGTGAAGCATGAATACCCCACTCAGACACATTATACTGACTCCGAGCCGACCAGTCCTTGTTGTACCCATTAATGCCGAGCGCCAGGCAGGGACCAATAAGTACCATATTTTAACGTCTTTTGGTATGACGCGGTCGGGGATCGAACCCGCGACCTTCCGCTCTCCGGGCGGACGCTCTAACCACTACACCACGGAGGCGGTCCTTTATGGATGAGGACCAAACATCACATCATAAGAAATAAAAGAGTTATTCCATAAAGTATTCTGCTTTTCTTATTACTCATCAACTTCTGAAATGCCAATCAAACAGAAGAATAATGCATGTACCCATTAATGCCGAGAGCCAGGCAGGGACCAATAAGTACCATATTTTAACGTCTTTTGGTATGACGCGGTCGGGGATCGAACCCGCGACCTTCCGCTCTCCGGGCGGACGCTCTAACCACTACACCACAGAGGCGGTCCTTTATGGATGAGGACCCAACATTGCATCATAAGAAATAAAAGAGTTGTTATCCATAAAGTATCCTGCTTTTCTTATTACTCATCAACTTCTGAAATGCCAATCAAACAGAAGAATCAGCATGATGATCTAAAGATCTCATACAAAGGGTATTTCCTACATTGACACAAGCAAGATGTAGAGTGTGTTGTTTGTGTCATTGTGTGGACAGTCAGTACCTCCATACACGTGGTTATTACAGTTGCAGAGAACATGTCTTCAGTGTCCCACTGTCATTTTCTCACTACTGATGTACTGTGTGTATATGTGCAACTGGTAAACTAAAATGTCACATTAATTTGTGTTTCAGCATGTAGCAGAGGGCATTTCACGATTCAATATTCGTTCCCAGCTGAAGAATGAGGAATGCTTTCCTTCTATTAACCTGAAAACTATGGTGCAACCTATCAGGTACAATATCTTCATCATTCTAGAACTCAAAACAATACATTATTTTCAACAATTGTTTTTGAAACTGTTAAAGTTTGAATTAATGTTGTATAGAATTGATGTTGTATAAAGAAGACTGATATTGCAGGCTTGTGATGAACTGTAGTGATTCTGCTTGTTTCCAGGCCATCTGAACATCGTATGCGGTGTCTACAAGGTGCTAGAGATTGTCTTCCAGAGAACAGACAGATCTATGGTATAGAGCTGTCCTACAGTTTCCACATGGTCAGTATTAGCACTACAGTGGTGTAAGAAGTGGAAGTCACTGTTATGTATGGGGAACTGGTCATCCAAGGTGTAACAATTCACGGGCAGTGTTGTATACTTTAGGTTTGTAGACTCCTTTTATCAAGGAGTACCATCTTCATCCTGTTGGTGGGGTAGCCTGGTGGTTAAAGCGTTCACTTGTCACGCTGAAGACCCAGGTTTGATTCCCAAATGGGTACAATGTGTGAAGCCCAGTTCTGGTTTCCCCCGCTGTGATATTGCTGGAATATTGCTAAAAGCACGTAAAACTATACTCACTCACTCACTCACTCACTCACTCACTCACTCACTCACTCACTCACTCACTCACTCACTCACTCACTCACTCACTCACTCACTCACTCACTCACTCACTCACTCACTCACTCACTCACTCACTCACTCACTCACTCACTCACTCACTCACTCACTCACTCACTCACTCACTCACTCACTAATCTGCTGGTACGTGCTGAAATCCACATGGGTACAATGTGTGAAGCCTACTGCTGGTCTCCCCTACAATGATATTGCGGGAATATTTCTAAAGATGGTGTAAAACCCAACTCACTGTACATCTTTCATCAATTAGGACATCTAATTAATGAATTCATCTTACTCACTGTTTAGTCCCCTGTGATAGGAATAATTTAAGAAGATAGTTACTATGAATGGCCAGACTGATTGTTAGCCAATGTATCCAGAAATCAAGGATTTGATCGTGTTGATGTGGCTGTGATTATGCTGCACAGAACAATAAACACATGAATATGCTTCTATGGTATTGTCAGCTTTATCTTTTTGTTTAGGAAATTATGCTGTTTTTAGATTTAATTAAAAGATTGATTTGATGTTCTGATATGTGTGTGACCGCCTCCGTGGTGTAGTGGTTAGAGCGTCCGCCCGGAGAGCGGAAGGTCGCGGGTTCTATCCCCGACCGCGTCATACGAAAAGATGTTAAAATATGGTACTTGTTGGTCCCTGCCTGGCGTTCGGCATTAATGGGTACAACAAGGACTGGTCGGCTCGGAGTCAGTATAATGTGTCTGAGTGGGGTATTCATGCTTCACTGCAGCATGGTATCTCAGTGGGCTAGCACTATAAAACCAGCTTCAGTCTGGGCTAGTACAAGCAGCCGCACATACACATACACACGCATGCACGTCGTCATATGAACGAAATATTCTCAAGCACGACGTTAAACCCTCACCTCACCTCACCTGATATGTGTGTGTATATGCCTCTCTGAGAATGTTTAGTTTCTGTGTAAATAATAATTTATTATGTTCACAGAGTAAAGCTGGTGAGGTGATGCCAGACTGCTCGTTGCTCAGTCACATGTTGTACGAGTCTGAATATGAGAGTCAGCTGTGGATGATCTTTGACACCAACAAGCAACTTATAGCTTCAGGAGATGCGTATCCTAATCAGGTACTTGTTTACATTACATTACTGAACACTCATTTTATAGAAAGTGTGAAAAATCACAAAGTTTCTGTTTAGCCAGTTTTGTGTATTAGCCAGAAATGTGTATACGGGGTAGAATTGGTCTTCAGCAACCCACGCTTGCCACAAAAGGCGACTATGCTTGTCACAAGAGGCGACTAACTTGATCGGGGGTCAGGGTCGCTGACTTGGTTGACACATGTCATTGGTTCCCAATTGCGCAGATCGATGCTCATGTTGTTGATCACTGGATTGTCTGGTCCAGACTCGATTATTTACAGACTGCCACCATATTGCTGGAATATTGCTGAGTGCGGCGTAAAACTAAACTCACTCACTCACTGAAATGTGTATAAGTAGAAATGCTTTCAAATATGATGTGTTTATAATATAATTGTGTAAATGTGGGGACTTGTTCTGCTTGCTATATGGCTGAAATATAGCTGATGTGACGCTTCATTTTAGTTCACTCACTCTTTCCGTTTGGGCTCTTTATGACTCTTAATTAATTTTGTTGCAATTTAGCTAAGATACACTTTCAGTATTTTAACAAGATGTAATAAAATTGTTTATTAGACAGTTGCTAGATAACAATCTTTGGTTTAAGATCACCGTACAGAGCTTGTAGGTTTAACCAAGTGTTACATGACTATGTCTTATGAGTGTCCCATTGGTCTTTCCTCCCACCTAAAGTTCATAGAATTGTATGGTCCCCAGGGAGTTGAGATTGATAATTGACATCCTATGATTGAGGGAAAAACAAAAAAGCACCTGTGAGCAGCCTAACCAGAACTCGTCACTATGTAAAAATAGATTATAATATGATAATAATTAAAAAATGCTTCCAGTGGGGCTAAGGGGTACCCTAGTGGTTAAAGCGTTTGGTCGTCAGCCCGAAGACACAGGTTCGATTCCCCACATGGGTACAGTGTGTGAAGCCAATTTCTGGTGTACCCTGCTGTTACATTGCTGGAATATTGCTAAAAGCCGAGTAAAACTAAACTCACTGCAATGTACTTCAGTACACATGTAAGCTGGAGAAGGGAGACTACCAGCTGCTGATGCAGGTGAGACAAGAGTCCCGAGAGAGCCTGGAGAGGATTAAGGATGCAGTAGTTCTGCTGCATCACAAGCTCGCTAACTCCATCACCCTGGATGTCTACAACCACCCACAGAATGCTCTGACTGCTGGCAAGAAGGGCTCTTCATTCACTGCCGTCAAAGGAATGGTATATCCAGTATACGTGGCTCCCCTTGTCGGAGGATAAGTAAGTCATCATTGGAACTAGAATTGATCTTTAAATCTGCATGAGATATATCAGGCTTGAGCAGCAATGCATATGTCAAAGCTGATTAAGATAATTGAGATTGCCGTCATTTATAATATTCCAATGACAGTTCTGCTTGGTAATTGAAAACAGATTGGTAACCCAATAACAATGAAACAATCATTCTGATATATAGCAACATTTGTTTTAAGTGATCAATAAATAAATAATGTTAATCATTTTTGCACAATTCACCAATTTAAACTGGCAAGTCAGGCAGTTTTTAATGATAAGGGCTTAAGGTAGTTTGGTATTCAGTTAATACAGTACAACCAGAAATTATTGAGAATTTAAAGATTGTAAATTATCCACGATAAACAGTGGACAAAGGGATGCCTATTCTACTTGAAATCACTTTAGCTGATCTGATGTCCTTGTTATAATACTCTAAAATCAACTTCCTCTTCTCTAAATCATCCATACTGAGGATCACTGAAAATGTCGTCTGCTAGCACGTAAACAAAGGGGGGATAACTCTTTACAAACTAATGAAAAAGGATTAACGGAGTAGTCTCTCTTGAATGAAACCAAGCACTTGATAGCTGGTCAAGGTTGTTTATACTAGAAATCCAATTAAACATATTCCTAAAATTCTCAATAATTTCGGGTCATACTATAAGATTACTTTGAGAGTGAAATATTCAAGCATTCCATCGAAAGGATAATAACAGCTGAGTGATTGCCTGCAAAAATTATTCGTAATTAAATCCAAAATTGATTTCCAAAAGTGCAGTCTTGTTCATATCATTTGCTGATTGAGATTCTCTACGATATCCTATCAACAGAACTTAAAATCCTACAGACTGGACATTTTGATAACAGTTTTGTCTTTCAGGGTGCCATTGTACAAAGCGATCTTAGTGCCAGGTGATCATAACTCCAATATCTTAACACAGACCTACAACAGTGGTAACACTAAGATTGTATAGTACCGTGGCACCAGGTCATTTACATGACAGATGTGTCAGATGTTGTTTTTGTTTGGGTTCATGTATAGAATGGGTGCTGACATCCCTATTACTTGGAAGACATCTGTGAGTGATCTGTATGATGTTTTTGTGGTTCCAGGCTGCCTAAAGGAGCATCGGCAGGACATTTCTTGTTGGGAACTATGTCCCTGGTTAAAGATGATCCCTCCAAGAAAGCAGTAAGCTGACATACCTTACTTTCTGTTGCAAATGCAATGTTTATCATAAAATATATTGGTAATGTCTGTGTTAGCCTTACAGTGTATACGTTACATGTGATTGCTGTATAAATATGGAGCCATGAATAACTTTCCCTTTTGTCTGAAGTACCACAAATTGCTGTGGAGAGTTACGTGCTTCAGACATTCCGAAAGCCTATGATTTTGGCTTCATCTTTTGGTTCATTCGTGATAAATGACATAGCCTGCACAGCTTCCTATTCTCCTGTACCACAACAAGCAGAATTGCTTTGATATAACTGTGGTGTTTAACTAAACATACTCTTTCTCTAAGGGGCGGTGGGGTAGCCTAGTGGTTAAAGTGTTCACTTAGCACGCCAAAGACCCGGTTTCAATTCCCCACATGGGTACAATGTGTGCAGCCCATTTTTGTTGTCCCCCGCCGGGATATTGCTGGAATGTTGCTAAAAGCGGCATAAAACTAAACTCGCTCACTCACTCATTAACTGTACCTTACCATCTCTCCTGTTTCTCCACGTAGAGCTCCATACCATTCAAGTATGTCCTGACCGAGAACCCCAAGAAGTCCAACAACAGTAAGAGCAATGGGAAGGAGAAGGAGAAGGAAAAGAAGACAAAGGAGGAAGAATTCAGTGAATCTCTCCGAGATCTCAAGGTCTCCTGGATAACCAAGTAGGGATACAGGTTCTTGTTGATCTCATTAAGTGTGTGGAGTCTAATCACAAGTCAGGGAGGGGCGGTGGAGTAGCCTAGTGGTTAAAGCGTTCTCTCGTCACGCCGAAGACACGGGTTCTATTCCCCACATGGGTACGATGTGTGAAGCCCATTTCTGGTGTCCCCGCCATGATATTGCTGGAATATTGCTAAAAGCGGCGTAAAATCACAAGTCAGGGATGGATTGGTTTAAGCAACTGCAAATTATGTGTACAGTAAAGTATGGGTATCATAAACTCAAAGAGAACACAAATTTCGTTCTTTGTAGCTGTAATTTGTTATATGCATTTGGGGCGGTGGGGTTGCCTAGTGGTTAAAGCGTTGACTCGTCAGGCCGAAGATTCGGGTTCGATTCCCCACATGGGCACAATGTGTTAAGCCCATTTCTGGTGCCCCCCGCCGTGATATTGCTGGAATATTGCTAAAAGCGGCGTAAAACTAAACTTAGTCGGTCAGTCAGTCAGTTATATGCATTTTGGCTAAAGAAGACAGCACATGGTCAGGACCAAAACTCAGCTAGTTATATGTGTCAGTTCATTAAGGCGTTATAAACGTAGTTTGCTGTATTGGATAGCTGGATATTAGGCTAACATCGGTTTTCATGATATTTGTTTTTCAGTAAGATTTGTTTAAACATTTCTTGTCAGGCGTTTAGTATTCAAGTTTACTAGTTTCCTTGATGTGTCAAATTAACAATTAAGATGATTGAATTTCAGACTTGAGTTGGGTAATGCTTTGTATGATGAGCTGCGGAAGGACTACCCCAACCACCTCCCTCTACACATTGCCAGACTTCAGGCTCTCGACTCAGATGAGGTGAGTACTGTTTGATGTGCACTGGATGAGATGGTCTTGTGGCTGCCACTCTCATTCATAGGCTGCTGGTAAGATGTCAATGGAAGACATGTTTACTGTGCATCCCTTACACTTAACACCAGGGTATGAAATTCCCAAAAATTTCAGCCAGACCACAGGGCTGGTTAGATGTAAAACTTGCCAGCCCTAACCAAAACTTACCTGCCCACAAAATATCTTCATGCAGTTTTAGTGTAGTGTAGATGCAGGATTTTTTTTTTCGTTTATTGATATATATTTTTAAACTTATCTTATCTCACGGTATGCACTTCTCTCTCTTGATTCGACACTGAGTGGAATGATGTAAACTTGTCTCTTGTCCATCCGCCCAAGCACTCCATGCTACCCTCACTATAAGACAGCTTCCTAGCTCTTATGCAAAGCATGCTGCATGCACCACTAGCTGCCCACGTGACTATCTTCGAATCATCATTCTCTTTCTTGTCGCACACGAGTGTGGACATATTGTACTTTACTATATTGTGTAATTCGACTAACGTTCAGTATGAGGATATGTGGGACCGCTATGCGCGCTGGTGTACAGTTAGGGGATTTCAGATCCCTTTTCTGTTGATTTAGTTCAGGTATTGGAGTTCCTTCAGTCCCGTTTGGAAGAAGGCATCGACCATTTGCGGATACTCCATGTTCTCCAAGTTTCATACCCTTACCTCTCGTACAGTGTTCTTAAATCTTGTGGATAGGGTTCGACTTGTGGATAGGGTTGACCGGCTCTTCAGTGAACCAGACCACCTTGGGAATTGCCAATTGTTCTCAACTGGCTTTCCAGCCCTGCCTTTTTAAGTCTATCTTCTCTCTCACTTCAGTTGTTGACGTGGAAGACAGATTTTTTGGGGCAGTGAGCTCAGGTAGAAGGGTCGGGGACATTCATGCAATGTCCGGTGACCCGGCACTGACCCAGTTGTTCTGCTGTTACGGTGGCAGGAAGTCTCCCCCAGAGGGGTTGAAGGCTCATTTGGTGAGGGCAGTTGCCATTTGGAACCGGCCGAGCACCTTCATTCGCCATTACCAACTCGACACGTTATTTCTAAGGATTGTGCTCGGTTCGGTCCCAATCCTCGGTAGCTTTGCCACCCTGTTGGGTTTGGTCGGGTTCGAGTGTATGTGTGTCCGTTTACGTCCTCTTCACCTAAAGGAGGGAAGGTGGGCTGGGCGGAGCTTCTTCTTAACACAGAAATCGGTGCGAAACCAGAACAGTTGTACCAGAAGCATGTTCTATGAATTTAATTGGGAAAATGTATACATTTGACTTACCAAAACAGTGTGTGACATACCATGTCCATTGAAATGTGTTACATCATACAAATTCACTGCTTTTGTGTTTCAGGACCATGAGAACAACCTGGGAGATATCATATCTCTGTCTCGTCATATCATCTCAAAGATTGACCAACCAAGTCTACTTGCCTTCTACGGCATGAAGAATGACTCCAGACCTGAGGCATCAACTGTCAAAAGGTTTGAGCTATATTGACAATAGATATAGGGACCGTGGGAATCTTGTTCATCCATGCATGCGCATCATTTATTAGATGACGAGGCATTTGGCTACCTCTGTCATCCTGTTGTACCTGTGAAGATCTGGCTTAGAATTGGTCTTCAGCAACCCATGCTTGTCGTAAAAAGGCAACTAACAGGATCGGGTGATCAGGCTTGCTGACTTGTATCCCAATTGCTTAGATCAATGCTCATACTGTTGATCTCTGGAATGTCTGGTCCAGACTCAATTATTTACAGACAGCCACCATATAGCAGGAATATTGCTGAGAATGGCGTAAAACTAAACTTACTCACACACTCCTGTTGTAAATTAGGATTCAAATAGATGGGTATATTCAGCAGGTTTTTATTATGTTTAACTTATTAGGTTTGAGTAGATCACCTTGTTGAACCCCCTGACATGCAATGGTTGGAATATGCCTATTTATGTCAAGAATGTGACCTTGCTAAAGACTTGAAGATGATTATTTTAACCATCCATATCAATTGTGCTGTATATTGCCCACTTTCAGTTTTCACTTCTAAGTACATATTAACATTTAGCACTGAATGTAGACTTTCCAGAGAATATAGGTTAGCAGGGATGAGAAATTTCTGCGGATTTGATCGCGCTGGGGTCATTCTTGTGAATCATCCCCAAGATCCCCGGCTCATTTTCCTCTTTTTTCACTCACACCAATTCTCATCCTGGGGTTAGCATAGGTTCCTGACAATTCTTGTCAGACAAGCAGCCTCATGGATTAAGTGGTCTGACTTAGTAACTGGTTTATATGTTCCAAGCTGGATTATTCACTGGCCACCCAACTGACAGTTAGAATATTACTGAGTCTGCAGAAACTAATCTAAATCTAATTAGCATACAAAATGCATAAATTTGTTTACAGAAGGGTAATGTTTGTTTGCGTGATGTTTGTAGTTGACTTTTGAAAGCTTTTAGAACTTATCTCGGTAAGATTACAGAATACCGGATACCTTCCTAACCCTAGGGTTAGGGTAAGGGTTAGGGCAAGGTAAGGGTAAGGTTTAGGGTTCGGGTTAGGGCAAGGGTTATAAAATTAGGGTTAGGGCAAGGTAAGGTTTAGGGTTCAGGTTAGGGCAAGGGTTATAAAATTAGGGTTAGGGTAAGGTTTAGGGTAAGGGTAAGGGTTAGGGTAACGTGACATTAAACAATATGGTTGGTATGTATCCGGTATTCTGTAAGTGTACCCTTATCTCTTTCCCACTTACACACATGATCAGTTACTGTTACCTCCCACAGTGAGATGGACAAGCAGAAGTCGGCCCTGGTGGAGGCCTACGTCCATCTAGGCTGTGCACAGGCTGATGTCCTCTCACAGCCTCAGGAAGCCACAGACTCAACAGATGATTCCTCCTCTGTCATCGTACCGCCCCAAGTCTCCATGAAGGATCTGGATGACACGTTTGTGGAGATACAGAAGTGGGCTGATCTCACAGATGCCAAGGTGACTACCTCTGTAACTGCTTTCAAAACAAACTGCTGTGGGATTTCCCGTAGCAGAATATCCCCCTGAATTCCATGCTTGTAATGAGAGCCAGCCAGTGATTGCGTGTAATTGTTCCCAACATGTCTCTGCTCATGCAAACACTAGTTTCATGTACTCAGACATGTTCTGTTTTAGCCACCATGATACAAGTAAAATATTGGAAATAGACATCCATTTCTACTCTACTGAATCGTTTTTGTTAAGTTTATTTCTTGTCAATTATTTAAGAGCTTCTGTTGGTTGTCACTACTCTGCTAGCAGTATCTGATACAGAATTTACATTCCTCATTTCCGGATAATGAAAACATCAAACAAGTGATGACCAGTGTGCGAAATAGCCACTGGCCCGCTAGCTCATGGCTAGTAAAAATATAGTCGGGCCAGTAAATCTACACAGTCACTGGCCCGACTGGCAAGTGAATTTTCATGGGGTCATTTTGTAAATATATAACTCTCTGCGACTTGTGAAGTTATAACACACTTTTACATCATGCAAGATTATGTCCTGATAAAAATGATCATCATTTTAGCGACTTAATGATGAAACACGTGTCTACATTCGAATTTCGGACTAGTGAATTATTCTGTGGTCTAGTAACCTTCAGGCATACCTAGTCTAGCTGACTTGCAAAATTTGGAAACTATTTCGCACACTATTGGTCTTGTGTGATCAATTATACTGAAGAAGATGTCAGATTTCACACACATATTGCAGCAAATAGCAACATGATAATTTGGTATCAAGGATATCGATAACACGCCCTTACCTCAAGATACATTTAACAGTAACAAGACAAACTGGCTTGGGCTAGTACAACTTTCGATGACCATAAATTGAGAATGTTACCTTGTTGACAGTGTGTTTGTGTTCCTACTTGAGCCATGTACTTATGTGTTTGTAGGTGCTGCCGTTCGCTGTGAGACATGCTATTGCACACAAGCAGTACGGGAGAGCTGTGAAGTACCTCCTCAAGCAGCAGGAAGACAAGGGGTCACGGGATGTTGAGGCAAAGATAAAGACAGTAAGATTTATTATCATTCAAGGATAAGTCTCATTGATGTGGCAAGAGTTAGGGAAGAACCTGGAGTTTGCTACAGTGCTGCATATTTTTGCAGCTTCTATGAGCTGAAATATTATGTATGTGTGGTTGTCTATTTTTTAGCCAGTCACCATAACCGTTTGTGGTTCAATAATTTCTTAATCACCTGAGGCAGTAAGAACAGGCATTAACGGGAACAGGCCCTCTGACTTGGTTGACATATGTCATTGTATCCAAATTATGTAGATCGATTCTCATGCTGTTGATCACTGGTTTGTCTGGCCCAGACTCGATTATCTACAGACCGCCGCCATATAACTGGCATATTGCTGAGTGCGGCATTAAACAACAAACATATTTGCTGCCTCTGTTTATCATTCATTCCAAGTCATACATCCTCAAAAATGGTTAATGAATTCAATAATTATTTACTCCGTATCTTTACCAAACATGAAAAACAGTTCCACTCTTTCACATTCACAGCTCCATACTCTAATTGAATATCCATTGAAACCTGAATCTTCTTCTGTTACAGATGTACTCTCATCTGAACTGGGATCACTGTGTGAGGCATATAGGCAACTGGATGCTAGTCCGATATCCATCCGGTTACAGGCCATTTTAATACTGACACCTAGATACCTTCTAGACACATATCCAGTTTACCAACAAGGCAGTTCTACTTTGTCACTGAATTAGATACACTTAGTGTGAAAGCTGACTTTTATCGGAACATGGGATCACGTGACCAGTCGAGTACTTTCGACATCTCTTGCCAAATTCAGTAGAGGTGCGGGAGAGAAATATTTTAACCCATTGATCCCACGCATGGATTGTGTCCAATACAGTGACAGTTTTACATGTATTTATGAATAAGAGTCACGTCTCTGGAAGACTCTGGTTCACTTCATTGTTGTACTATGTGATTTTAACACTGTAGCTTGTCATTTATTGTGTGTATGTGTGTGTGACAAATGTGTGTAAGTGTGATACCATGCAAACGGCCTGGTTCAGCTGTCATTGTGTGATATGGCTGACTGCTAAGTTTCAACATGGCTTCATGTTTGTTTTTGGTTTTTGAGATTAATGAATTTACATGCAAACTGCTGCAATATTTATTTTAATGGTCATCTTTTGAACATGTTCACTGCTGTTTTAGAATTTATTTCTATCTGTTAACGTGATTTTAAAGCTGAAACCCAGTTGGAAATATCAAATTTTGCTCTTTGCTGTAGTCCATATGTCCAGTCTGTAAAAGAAGGTACAAAAATTGTTTGCATATTGTTGAATATATGTCTGATAAACTTGACATGTTTTGTATGGTTCACATCCAACTATCTGTGACTTGTTTCATGTAATAATCACAATGAATATTTGCGATGGAGATATTTTCCTGAGACTTAAAATTATATTCGGATAATTCATTATATCAGGGAGTGTAATATGTCTTTAAGATATGTTTATAAACATGTTCTCATCTCTCTCATGTCTCTGAAATATATAGCAGCTATCTGATTATCATAGAGGGTCATGTGCTTTAACACATATGTGCACACAATTTTACATATCACTCAATATCATTTGAACATCATGGTTTAACATTAGAGCATAGGCATAAAAATCATTACATCAGTTAAAAAATTAAGTTACATCAATATTCGGCATTACATCATCACCAAGAGAAATTTGAATATGTAAATTGTACATTTTTGATCAACAAATCTATGTATTTTCTCTGACCATGTTATGTTTGATATATAGTATCTACATTTGCATAATGACCTATAATTGCATCACCATTACACATTTAGTTTGGGTGTTCTGGCCCAAAATCAACACTAAGAACATTAGGATGACTTCACTATAAGAGTTTAACTATAATAGTTTAACTATAATAGTTGTATAGAATTTTGTCTCCCTTAATCTTGAAAGTAATCAATAGTGTAACTACTTGCTCTCTCAACAACAGTATAAGGCAGGTTGAGTGTGTCATGTGTATCTTGCACAACTCATTGTCACTTCATTTTTTAAAAACTATACCATGTAATGTGATTGTCTTGAAGGGCATTGTCAGATTCAGTACACAAAGGTTGTAATTAAACATCAGTTGTAAACACAGTACGTGCAGGTGTAGTTGTATGTAGAATTGACTATCTATATCACCATGGTAGGCTTGTAGGATAAACTGTACATTTGAGACACCCCTGTGATACCAGACTGAAGACATCACTTTGTTCTGTATATTGAGCTTTTATGACACCGTACAAATAAAAACTAATTCACGTACATGCTGTTTCTTGTTTTTGTGTGTTGATCCTACACTAGGACATCATACAACAATGCCTCTTTTAGCAGTGGTGACAAGCACTGAGTCTGTAAAGGACTGCATGGATGGAGTTGGTTTCTAATTATTTTGAAACCATTGAAGATCTGTGTTAGAATTGATCTTCAGTACCCCATGCTTGTTGTAAGAGGCGACAAACGGGATTGGGTGGTCAGGCTCGCTGACTTGGTTACACATGTCATCCTATCCCAATTGCGTAGATCGATGCTGATGCTGTTGATCACTGAATTGTCCGATCCAGCCTCTATTTACAGACCACGGCATAAAGCTGGAATATTACTGAGTGCAGCCTTGCTCTGATTTGGTTGACATCATCGTATCCCAGTTGAGTAGATCAATACCCAGGCTGTTGACATCTGGATGGTCTGGTCTAGACTCGATTGTTTACAGACCGCGTCATGTAGGTGTAACTATGAATGCAACGGTAAACAAACAAATAAACAAACACTTTCTCATGATATAATCAGAATTTTTATATCGACGTTTCTTACGGGAAATGGTTTTGTAGCCTCTATTTACTTAATACGCAATGGGAGCAGTTGGGTAGCTTAGTGATTAAGGTCTTCGTTTGTCACGCTGAAGACCCCGGGTTCGATTCCCCACATGGTTACAATGTGTGAAACCCATTTCTAGTGACCCCCGCCGTGATATTGCTGGAAAATTGCTACGGCGGCATAAATCCATATTCTCTCACTCCATTCCAAACACTCCACAGAGGCTCACTGACAGTGAACTCAACAACTCAACCCCTCACGTGGCACCAGGTGGTATCAGGTCCTATCGCTAACAATGCAGTGGCATATTTGTAAGTAATAAATCAATGATGTGTCCATATTAAGTGACAAGGTGAAGTGGACATGTGCTCTTTGCAGTATAGGATACTGATTATTTTCTTGACGTCAGTGAGACAGGATTTATTGATGACATTAAGAAATTTTACAGACTTTTATGAGTACACAATGCCTTTCAGAAAGTGGACAAATGCTTTACTGAGAGAGTGTAGTCCCAAATATAACATATGTTATAGTGGTTTAACGTTGACAAGTGTTTTAACACATCTGAATGAATGAATAATCTATATTTCCCTCCACTGATTTGAAGAGTGCACACAAAGTCGTTACTTTACTTGTCAGTGGCAATGACAATAGTTATATACATATGAAACGTCAAACACGATTGGCAGAAACGAAGAGGAATATAAACAACAGTATTTATATGGTGTGTGGCATATTTTCACAAATATGATATACATGTTAGGTTCCATGAGCTGACATGTTTAGCCACGATATTCATAAATGTTACCCAGCTGTCAAGTGTCATATCATGGACCACATCTCTGATGGTGCCGAGATATGTCAGAACCTTAGCTTCATCACTAGCCATGATATTCATAAATGTTGCCCAGCTATCAAGTGTCATATCATGGACTACATCTCTGATGGTACCGAGATATGTCAGGACCTTCGCGTCATCACTAGCCACGATATTCATAAATGTTACCCAGCTGTCAAGTGTCATATCATGGACTACATCTCTGATGGTACCGAGATATGTCAGGACCTTCGCGTCATCACTAGCCACGATATTCATAAATGTTACCCAGCTGTCAAGTGTCATATCATGGACTACATCTCTGATGGTACCGAGATATGTCAGGACCTTCGCTTCATCACTAGCCACGATATTCATAAATGTTGCCCAGCTATCAAGCGTCATATCATGGACCACATCTCTGATGGTACCGAGATATCTCAGGACCTTAGCTTCATCACTAGCCACGATATTCATAAATGTTACCCAGCTGTCAAGTGTCATATCATGGACCACATCTCTGATGGTACCGAGATATCTCAGGACCTTAGCTTCATCACTAGCCACGATATTCATAAATGTTACCCAGCTGTCAAGTGTCATATCATGGACCACATCTCTGATGGTACCGAGATATCTCAGGACCTTAGCTTCATCACTAGCCACGATATTCATAAATGTTGCCCAGCTATCAAGTGTCATATCATGGACCACATCTCTGATGGTACCGAGATATCTCAAGACCTTAGCTTCATCACTAGCCACGATATTCATGAATGTTACCCAGCTATCAAGTGTCATATCATGGACCACATCTCTGATGGTGCCGAGATATGTCAGAACCTTCGCTTCATCACTAGCAGTGTCCTCGAAGTATCAAGGCAAATTTGTCAAACAGAGACTCACTGTACACATTTCTATGTTCGATGAGGCTTTCGCAGTAGAGCTATTGGTGCATAACAATTTCCCCACAGTCGCGTTCACAGAGCAGACACTGCCCCGATGCTACAGGTAATGTGCCGAGCTTTACCTGGCATATACAGGAGGAGGTGCAATCTCACACCTTACACACAAATTCCAGAGACGATGTCAAGCATGTTGGGGGTGAAGTTCAAATATCTTGACTTTGTTGTAAAGTTTTTCTCCATTTCATATTTCCAGATGCATGAAGCACGTTGCACCGTGCATTTTCATACAGTCATATAGAAATTCTACAGATTATATCATATTTTCTAAATACGTCTTATATATGATCCACACTAGAAATTCTACAGATTATATCATATTTTCTAAATACGTCTTATATATGATCCACCCTGGCTACAGTTAGTGGATCAGGTTTAATGGATCTGTTACAACGTGTGGAAGGGGTGGCATACCATAATGAGATAATCTCAGACAGATGATCGACTTGACAATGGCTGTCCCGGCTGCTCTTCAGTGTCGTCCCAGAAAGAGAAGCTTCATGTTGTCTGTTCTCCCCAGCACTGTCCATAATCCAAGAACCTGGATTGTAGCAGTTGTAGTGCACCGTCTGTGAAGGTTCTTGGCCTCGATTTTCGAAGCTCTCTTAGCGCTAAGATAGTCGTAAGTTAATGTTAATGTATGGCACTTACGACTATCTTAGCACTAAGAGAGCTTCGAAAATCAAGCCCCTTGCCCTGGCTCCGGACTCTATCCTTGTAGAGTTTCCATTTCGCTGATTTCACAATTCACAGTTCACATGCACAGAACGCAGATGGGAAGATTACTGTTGCTAGACATTCGATGAAGGTATTGTTCTCCATCCTCCAGCTCTTAATCCACCATTCTCAGGGAGTTGATTGCCTGTCTTGCATTAGGACAATCGCGAGCACTTCGTTCACAAGATCCCATCAACAAGACCCACTCGCACAAAGCGTTCTTCTCGCTACGACTATCTTCGGTTTACGTTATAATATGGGAGTTACAATCACCATAGTGCTAAGATGGCTTTGTTGAAGCGGTCCATGGTGTTCTGGTCAATGTGTAAATCACAGACTGGTACTCTCAAGCTTCAGGACAATGTCATTCTATAGCTATGTTTCGATTGTCAGCATTCAGATACGGCATTTTCCCACTTCCAATAAGTCGACAACATTTGACATAATGTTGCCTGACATTGGACATTTTATTGTCATTATCACTGCACATGATTGTCACAACTTGCATGCACATTCTGTTTTAATATCCTTTCCATGATAATTTCACGGAGTCTGGTTTTTTTAAACGGATGCGTGTGTGTCTTGCATAGTCTGGCATCATGACATCAGACATGAACCATCGCTTCCGGTCAGTCAAACATTGATGTCGTTACTGCTGAAATGGGATTCTTACCAGCTGACTGGTATGGGTAAACTGAAATACCATTCAAAGTAGATCTAATTTACATCCATTGTGGATTTAGAGAGACATTGCATCAGAGATGAGCCATCGCTTCCGGTCAGTCATATTGATGTCGTTTCCACTGATAAGCTCCATCGTCACAGCGCGGTAATATTGCAGCACCGATATGCCAAACATAGGGAAGACAGGTTGTCGAAACTGTGTATCCAATACAGCTAAAACAACCTGTTTGGCAACATCAATAAAGACGATCCTCCCTCTCCATACATCAATGGCAATCCCAAACCAGAGGAGTCTCTGTGTCCCTGGAGTGTGATGTTTACTGATCGTGTGGCACACGACTAGTCTCCCTTGTTGCCACACGGATTTGCAGATCATTGGTCTGTGTAAGCTGCAGCAGTTCACAGTCACACACCAGTATCGGGGATCAACGCTAACATTGTAGTTACTGTCTACAAAGCCTTCCTCAGCAATACCCATCTCTAGGATGGAATCTCCAGATTCCAACACACCATTAGCCATCCTCACACCAGAACGTGTCTCCCAGTATTGTACACCTCTGTGGTGGTTGAGACTGCAGGTGCTGATGGTGCCACGGTACTGCATCAGCCCATCCCAGCTCCAACGTGGTGGAGGCCGGTTTTCCAGACGACCCCTGGGAGTTACAGTGCAATATCGTTTGTTGGCGAGACCTGGGTGCATACGTAGTACAGGACCTGCAATTAATGAAATACATCAAAAGCAGAAAAATAGTTTACAGCGAACTCAATGGGAACAATACGTTTAGTTCGTTATATCCGTAGTTCGCTACATGCATTTCGATGAAAGTATAGGCAAAAGTCGGGACCAAAAAAAAAGATCACTTCGACATATCCGTCAGTTCGTTATCAGCGTGTTCCTTAGAAACGTAGTTTACTGTTCAATGTGCACTGTGCATTATAGAACAAACTTTAAGGATAACAACATCTTTTTATTCGTGAGTGCATGTTGTTATCCATAAAGTTTCGACAGTGTTATATTTTATCATAGAGAAACTGATAAACTGAAACTCGACAGTTTGTTAAAGTTTGTTCTATATTGTACTTCCCAACTTCTAAAATGCCACTCAAAGAAGTTGCACTGTGCATTTTCAGTAAGGCGTTTGAGAAATCTTTCTGTTTGCATTCGTTCAAATATATACAGTGCTAAAATCAATATATACTTTTTGAATCAGTTGAGTTCATATATTTATTCATACAATATATAAATGACAAACTGATGTATTCAGAAGGCAAGTAATGAATTCTTGTTGTTTTTCATTATAATATATAGTACTAGGTAGGGGTGTCACGATATACCAATCTCACGATACGATACGTATCACGATTTTAAGGTCACGATACGATACGGATCGCGATACATAATTTTCGCGCCTTTTCATAACATTACCTTACCGACAACGTACGCGCTCGCTGATTAGTCCATCAACATAGTGTAGCCAATCACAAAAGCTGTTAGTTTCCAAACTATTTTTTTAAGTAAAGCTAGCTACATCTATTTATAGGAGCGGTGTCGTATAATTTTACTATCAAGACTTTGAAGGAGATGGATATAGCATAAAAATTTGAATCGATAAAGTTTTAAAATAGGAATCGATACACGCAAGCATGTATCGCGTATCGTATCGTCAGTAAAAATGTATCGATGCATCGATACATTCGCGTATCGCGACACCCCTAGTACTAGGGTAGGGTCTATATACCTATATGTCTTTTTAACGCTGTTTCTAAGCGTGACACGCCCCTGTGATCGTATCTACATCGCAAACGATGACATGTTCTTGTTCTATAAACATCATCAGCCAAAATTGTGACTGATGTATGAAGACATGTCGACACATTTACTATCTTCATACACAAATGAATAAAACAATGGGTTTTTAAACAAAAATGTCCTTTTATATAGTACTAGGGTAGGGTCCATATACCTATATGTCTTTTTTAACGCTGTTTCTAAGCATGACACGCCCCTGTGGATACGATGTAAAGACGGACGACGAGTCTGACGCTGCTACAATATAAATATAGGAGTAAGCACTCTGGATATACTCACATGTTACAGGAATTAGACGGGTAGGTTCATGATAAGTAAACGGCGACGCTCGAAATGGAAATCCCTCTGTCAAAATAACAAGGAAAAACATTACACAGATGTATGCTTCATTCATATATATTATTATATGGGTATTTATATAGCGCTATAGTCCATTCCACATGCATGCTCAAAGCGCTTCTTTGTTTGTCCCTTGATCTTTGGATGTCAATCTCAGCGGCACATCATATCATCAATCTCAACTCCCTGGGGATTATACAACTCTTGCTGCCACTAGGTGCACCGAGTTAATGTGACTTCCCCATACCCTGAGGATAAGATATGAATCCAAGGTTGGACAGACCTTCCATTGATGCTTGCTGCCTCAAAAGAAAGCTGTGTAACTATTCTTGGTAATGTAGAACATGCTTTATTAAATTCAAAACCATATCATAGCGTTACAGATGTTATGCCTTTAGTCCAGTTCACTACATATTAATTAAATATTTCCTCGCCATTTGGAAAGCGGTAAAAAATAACACGTTATATTTTGATTACACTTTCTCAGTTAAGTACAGATTCATCAAGCACTTTTGTTAGGTTGAGTCCCCTCCGGGATTCGCACCTAGGTTCTCAGTGTGAAGCACCTCACCGCCTGCACGCAACGTTATCGATCTAACAACCTATTAACTCATGTATAAAATACATTTGAGGTAATCTCCGTAAAGGTGAGTATTTTGCAATGCATATTTTAGCAGTTATACGTACGTATAGCATGATCGTGTTGTGAAGTCGCCACGTGTGTTCTCGATTCTCCATTCGTTTCCTAATGAAACAGTTCATCTCAGTAACATTGTGTGACATGAATGAATTTGTAAGTTAACATCATGCTGTATAATGTTTTAACCTCTGGAGTAGTATCTGCAAACCCTTTAAACTACGTGTAATATCACTGACGAAATGACCCGTGAAGGTCCGGGTTAGAATGAACCTTCAGTAACCCATGCTTGTCGTAAGAGGCAAATAACGGGATCCGGTGGTCAGGCACGCTGGCTTGGTTGACACATGTTATCGGTTCCCAATTGCGTAGATCGATGCTGAAGCTGTTGATCACTGGATTGTCTGGCCCAGATTTGATTATTTACAGACCGTCGCCATATATCTGGAATAGTGCTGAGTGCGGCGTAAAACTAAACTCACTCACTCACGGTGTAAAACTAAACTCACTCACTCACTCACTGACGAAATACTAAATGATAAGACACATTTTTATTCCTAGAGAATCTGGTTTGGTTAACAAGAAGAACTCTGCTTATATCAATACCTCACCAGTACATATATCATTTAAACAAAATACACAAGAACTGGATACAAAAAACGACAAATTAAATAATATATGTGCGTTGTAGGTGCTTATAAACCTTGAGCTTTTGAACGTGCCATATACCAGTTTGAAATATATACTCACTATGTCCTCAACGGAAGATGAACACCTTCTATAACTTCGAGGTGAACCTGCATAGTTCAAAGCATTGTCAATAGCTGGAAATAGTGTTTAAATATTAAAGCAACCAGCGTAATTTGTATAAAATATATATCTCAAATTTATGAAAATTTGATGGAATTTGGAACAACTATTAATCCCCCTCTGAACAAAATGTATGACTCTAACATACCCAGATCACCTAGTCATCAACAGTCATCCAGGTATGACATACCCAGATCACCTAGTCATCAACAGTCATCCAGGTATGGCATACCCAGATCACCTAATCACCAACAGTCATCCAAGTATGGCATACCCAGATCACCTAGTCACCAACAGTCATCCAGGTATGGCATACCCAGATCACCTAGTCAACAACAGTCATCCAAGTATGGCATACACAGATCACCTAATCACCAACAGTCATTCAGGTATGACACACCCAGATCACCTAGTCACCAACAGTCATCCAGGTATGACATACCCAGATCACCTAGTCATCAACAGTCATCCAGGTATGGCATACCCAGATCACCTAGTCATCAATAGTCATCCAGGTATGACATACCCACATCACCTAGTCATCAACAGTCATCCAGGTATGGCATACCCACATCACCTAGTCATCAACAGTCATCCAGGTATGGCATACCCAGATCACCTAATCACCAACAGTCATCCAGGTATGACATACCCACATCACCTAGTCATCAACAGTCATCCAGGTATGGCATACCCAGATCACCTAGTCATCAACAGTCATCCAGGTATGGCATACCCAGATCACCTAGTCATCAACAGTCATCCAGGTATGGCATACCCAGATCACCTAATCATCAATAGTCATCCAGGTATGGCATACCCAGATCACCTAGTCATCAACAGTCATCCAGGTATGGCATACCCAGATCACCTAGTCACCAACAGTCATCCAGGTATGACATACCCAGATTACCTAGTCACCAACAGTCATCCAGGTATGACATACCCAGATCACCTAGTCACCAACAGTCATCCAGGTATGACATACCCACATCACCTAGTCACCAACAGTCATCCAGGTATGACATACCCACATCACCTAGTCACCAACAGTCATCCAGGTATGACATACCCACATCACCTAGTCACCAACAGTCATCCAGGTATGACATACCCACATCACCTAATCACCAACAGTCATCCAGGTATGACATACCCACATCACCTAGTCACCAACAGTCATCCAGGTATGACATACCCACATCACCTAGTCACCAACAGTCATCCAGGTATGACATACCCACATCACCTAATCACCAACAGTCATCCAGGTATGACATACCCACGTCTCCGTGATTAGTTATCACAATGACAAGACCTATTCCCGTACTGTATTGTGCAGGAAGTGTACAACAATGCTAGTCACAATGACAAGACCTATTCCCGTACTGTATTGTACAGGAAGTGTACAACAATGCTAGTCACAATGACAAGACCTATTCCCGTACTGTATTGTACAGGAAGTGTATAACAATGCTAGTCACAATGTCAAGACCTATTCCCGTACTGTATTGTACAGGAAGTGTACAACAATGCTAGTCACAATGACAAGACCTATTTCCGTACTGTATTGTACAGGAAGTGTACAACAATGCTCGTCACAATGTCACGACCTATTCCCGTACTGTATTGTACAGGAAGTGTACAATAATGCTAGTCACAATGTCAAGACCTATTCCCGTACTGTATTGTACAGGAAGTGTACAACAATGCTAGTCACAATGACAAGACCTATTCCCGTACTGTATTGTACAGGAAGTGTACAACAATGCTAGTCACAATGACAAGACCTATTCCCGTACTGTATTGTGCAGGAAGTGCACAACAATGCTAGTCACAATGACAAGACCTATTCCCGTACTGTATTGTACAGGAAGTGTACAACAATGCTAGTCACAATGTCAAGACCTATTCCCGAACTGTATTGTACAGGAAGTGTACAACAATGCTAGTCACAATGACAAGACCTATTCCCCTACTGTATTGTACAGGAAGTGTACAACAATGCTAGTGACAATGACAAGACCTATTCCCATACTGTATTGTATAGGAAGTGTACAACAATGCTAGTCACAATGTCAAGACCTATTCTCGTACTGTGTTGTACAGGAAGTGTACAACAATGCTAGTCACAAAGACAAGACCTATTCCCGTACTGTATTGTACAGGAAGTGCACAACAATGCTAGTCACAATGTCAAGACCTATTCCCGTACTGTATTGTACAGGAAGTGTACAACAATGCTAGTAACAATGTCAAGACCTATTCCCGTACTGTATTGTACAGGAAGTGTACAACAATGCTAGTGACAATGGCAAGACCTATTCCCGTACTGTATTGTTCAGGAAGTGTACAACAATGCTAGTCACAATGACAAGACCTATTCCCGTACTGTATTGTACAGGAAGTGTACAACAATGCTAGTAACAATGTCACGACCTATTCCCCTACTGTATTGTACAGGAAGCGTACAACAATGCTAATCACAATGACAAGACCTATTCCCGTACTTTGTAGTGCAGGAAGTGTACAACAATGCTAGTGACAATGACAAGACCTATTCCCGTACTGTATTGTGCAGGAAGTGTACAACAATGCTAGTCACAATGACAAGACCTATTCCCGTACTGTATTGTACAGGAAGTGTACAACAATGCTAGTCACAATGACAAGACCTATTCCCGTACTGTATTGTACAGGAAGTGTACAACAATGCTAGTGACAATGACAAGACCTATTCCCATACTGTATTGTACAGGAAGTGTACAACAATGCTAGTCACAATGACAAGACCTATTCCCGTACTGTATTGTACAGGAAGTGTACAACAATGCTAGTCACAATGACAAGACCTATTCTCGTACTGTATTGTACAGAAAGTGTACAACAATGCTAGTCACAATGTCAAGACCTATTCCCGTACTGTGTTCTCATACTATTTTTTACACGGAATGTAAGACAACATTTGGCACTATGTCAGGACGTATTCTCATACTATGTCGTACACGCAATGTATGACAACATTTTGCACAATGTCAAGACGTATTCTCATACTATGTTGTACACAGAATGTAAGACAATATTTGGCACTATGTCAAGACGTATTCTCTTTCTTATTTCAGAATATTTACCACAGATAAGTACGACGTGGACCTTGTCTTCAACTTGGTTTATGACGACAGAGTGGCTGTAGAGGCAGAGCCGTGTGATCATATGGTGCAAAAGAATACTATATATTTAAAACTCGGATCCATGGCAGGCCTCAAATCCGTGGCGGATTTCCAAATCCATGTCTAGTTGCCGTACCTACCCTAATCTGTGGCGGATTTCCTACTCATCATCGTTAGAACATTTCAGCTCGGTAGAATAAGGGTTAATGGCATTTCATTTATGTGTTTCTAACTTACTGATACCCCTGGGCCTAGATTTTTGAAGCTCTGTTAGCACTAAGATCGTCTTTCGATATTGCTAATGTTTTCACGACTATCAGAGAAACTAAGAGAGCTTCGAAAATTTAGGCCATGCTAATTACCGAATACGTTTGCTTTTTCTTCCTTGTCCGGGTGGTTTTGGGTAAATTCACTGCACTGTTGAATTCCTCACATTTTACATTGATGTCAAACAACACCTTAACAGCTTCCAGGAAAACAGAGCGGCGAATGCTTTAATAAATGGCCGCCGATCTCCTATGGTCCAGTGCGTGGTTTTGAACAATGATTTTTACCATTTCTTCTTTGGTGCAACATGGCCGATGCGGGGTGTCTAAATCGACACTTTTCTTAAAAATCACTTGTGATGTTTCGTCAAAGAAATAATTCTCAAGGATCCCTGCCATATTTCCGCGAGCGCGGAAAGGTGAAAAAATATATAACTGAGATTACAATAACCCTAACCCTTATCCTTACCCTAACCCTAACCCTAACCTAACCCTAACCCTAACCCTAACCCTAACCCTAACCCTGCTGGTATCCGGTATAATGCATTCTTGCCTCCACACGTATCAAGTTTTTCCATGTCGTTCCAAAATGTTTCTGCGCTGGGATCTTTTGATTTAAGAAATACAGTTCGCTCTACCACCATGTATAGAGAAATAAAGCACACTTTCGCCCTGAATTAAACTAGCGTCCAAAAGAAATGCCACCAAACAGTTTTCTTCACTAAAACACAACAAAAGACTGTTTTTCTTTTCTAAGATGCCAAATTTAATACTTTCTAAGGGTAATTACGATTAATCAAAGGCAGAAAACAAACGACGGTGTCGGTGACCTGAATTAAGAATCCTCGCACAGGGCTAACTGGCGCGCTGTTCAATTGATATGTCTGCCCCCCTACGGTAAGACGAACGTTACCAGAAAATTCAAACGATAAACAGTTTGATGACTGTGTACGTTCGGATTAAATATCTTCTCAAAATTATTTTTATTACATCTGTGATTAACGTAAACCATATGGGGCAATATGAACGTCGCATTTCTACTACCAAAGTAAGTTTAGATCAGTACATTCAGATGAATTCTAACATGATCAAATGGATTATTTCATTTCTAGTTGACAGACAACAATTTGTACAGGTTAATAATGTGAAATCATCAATTGTAAACACATGAACTGGCGCTCCACAAGGTTGCGTTATTTCACCAATTTTGTTATATTGTACACCAATGACTGTGAATCCAACACAGAGAGTTTACCCACTCAAAAATTGAGTTGCACCAGGTGTAAGTTCAGCTAATAGCTAGATTGCACTTTGTAATATTGGGTTGCACCAGTGCAAGTAACAAAGTACTAAATCGAGCCCTGCTACCCCTCCCCTGCATGACATAATGACATATATCTATAACTTCCGCTGAGATGTCTTACAATATTTAGTACAAGTTACATGATAATTTAACTGAGTGAGCGAGTAATTTCACCTGATATTAAAATTAATTTATGCATACGTGATCACAGATTCCACAAGGGCTTTGGTAAACAATATGAAATATCGTACTTTGGCCAGGGTAACCTTTCCTACATTAGGTGCACTATTACAGTTAACCCGCTTTTGACATACGCGGAGATAGCTTACTTAGATCTGGCAATATGTATTGTACAATTAATTAGTTGGCTGACAGGAGATTTTACTATGTTTAGTCGGATTGCTATGAGAAGACATGTCAGTGTTCATTCGTGACCAACTCGTGTTATTCCGGGACAAGCCGAATACCGACTCGTGCCCCTCTGGAAGGATTTCATATTGGCGCATGAACATCAGAACTACTTTAAACAAGAACGATAACTCTATCCCTGTTTGGTTCCAATGTTTCTAAAAATCACCGAAGCACATGTACATTGCATTGCTAGGTTGTTGTTTTGTTTTTTTTTTACTTATTTATTTTAAAGAATTAAACCTCTTTGATACAACTAAAAGAAAGCATAAACATATTTGTTAAAGACATACTGTATTCTAATGTAATCATTTCCAGCTGTTCACCTTATATTTCCAATTATGTTAATTTTCTTAATAGGGTTTAATCATCACAAATGGGCATTGTTTTTATTGAATATACAACAACAACAAAATTCAGCTACAGTAAATCCCAAAGCAGATACTCAAAAATGACTTTAAGATATTTCTCAAGCTGAACATTCGTGTAACCTTGCTGTCACAACCCTGGTGGAATTTTAAATGAATTCGCTGTAAAACATATGAATGACCAAAAAACAGTCAGACTAAAATATTCCAGAGCTATGAAATATAAGCCCAATGTTAAAGATTAAGGTTGATTAGTTACATACAAATACGATATTATTGTTTTGAAACTCGTAGCGATTATAATTACATTTCCTAAAATTGGTCGAAGCGCACGTACAATCTCCATAGCAAGCCCGCAAGATCGTCAGAAATACACTCAGTTGGACCCATGAGAGCAGTTATGTCAACAAAAGCACGTGCGTGTATTTGAATCTCTCACCGTCAATCGCATGATTCTTATCAAAAACTTCATAATAGGCAGCAAAATCCTTTTAGCTACGTTCTTTGTACTTTCAATATGACGATATATATTTTTCATGATTCTTTAAAATGACATCATGCCATAAACGATTTAAGTACTCGGGATTATTTTTATCAAAGCACCGCGCTCATTTACGCGCGTTCTGATTGGTTTGTCGTATTTTCGCACATAACAATTATCGAGTGGGGGACGAGTCTTCTTGGAGGTTACGGAAAGGGGCGAGTGGTGACGAATGGTCAGTGTTTTGATCGCAGCGCTACCGTAGATGTTGACATGACTTTCTCGCTTGAACTTTGTCAATCCTACCTATCGGAAGTTGCGTCTCAAGAAACTTCAGTACAACACATTATATTGAATAAATGACACATATTCTACATGTTTACATATACCTCATATGCTTATTGTGGCTGAGACATTGTATCAGGCAATGACAGACGAAGAGGCGTGTTATTCGCATGCCCACCCCCTCCACAAGCTCTGCAGAAGACACATTCGTCACCACTCGCCCCTGTCCGTAACCTCGGCTGGCCCGGAATAACACGAGTTGGTCACGAATGCAGAAGACACTGTGAGTTGTATGTGACGTAGCACATAAGCCCCGCCCACTCATACATTTTCTACACTAAAGACCATTGTAGGTTTAAGGGCACAACAAACGTCTGCTTCTTACATCCTATCAACACTGAAGGTATAAACAAAACATATCAACAGGTTTCCGGGAGATATATCGGCAGTATTTGTTGAGAGAACAGTTAAAAAACAGTGTAAGTCAGAATGGTTTTATCTCATGCAGACAGAAATCTCCACAAAACGACATAAAGTACAAACTTGTTACACCAAAAGGAGAAATGTTTGTTCGTTAGTTTTTAACACAACACTCAGCAATATGTCCAGAAATATGGGGGAGGTCTGTAACTAGTCGAGTCCAGACCAGACAATCCAGTGATCAACATGAGCATCGATCTACGCAAATGAGATAAAACAAAAAGCAGAAATGAAAGAAGTCAAGCTGAACAAAAACGGAAAACATTTCATTTCTGAGAGAAGTATGCAACATTGAAAATATCATACCAATGAGGTGAATATTTCTCAGATATTATACTGGACAAAAATAGGTAGCGATATTGGTGTTTTTATGATTAATATTTGATCAGATTGTCAATGAATAAATAGATGATTATTCATAATTTCAAAATTTACATATATCCCTAACAGTATATTATTGTTTGTATTGCTTGGTGCCTACTAGTACATCTTCCCAACTGATCATGAAAAATTAAAATTGAATAATCAATTCTTTCTTATGCATTAGAAATGGTGTTATAATTGAAATCAAACGTTAACAACATTTTTTTAAATGCGTTCATACCATATATAAGGACAGTTTTTAGCAAATTAAAAAAAAGATTTTAGGTAATAGTTAAAATGAAAGGTGGATGTAATGTACTTATCAAATCTAACAACAACAAATGATAAAATAATAGCTATACATATTCAATTGTATCAGGGGCGGTGGGGTAGCCTAGTGGTTAAAGCGTTCGTCACGCCGAATACCCGGGTTCGATTCCCAGATGGGTACAATATGTGAAGCCCATTTCTGGGGTCCCCCGCCGTGATATTGCTGGAATATTGCTAAAAGCGACGTAAAACCAAACTCACTCACTCAATCGTATCACCTCCGACATACCTGTGTTGCCATCAACATTTTCAGCAAATGTTTTTGGTTCGCATCACCTAAGCTGAGTCCTTTGAAGAATGTTTTGTAAGCATTATCTCCTTTCCTCTTTAGAATAGCCAGCAGCTCCCTGTTCTGGCCGGTCACATTTGGTTTCTTGGCGGCTATGTTACTAAGGTCCTCAGAGCTCAGCACCCCTACTTGAAACAAGTAGTCTCTGATTGTAATATCTAAATGTTCTAGGACGAACACGTAATTCTTTTGAACTCTTGCGCTCAAATTCATAATGAAGGTAAGTATACCTGCAAAAGAAACGTGTTACATGGAAACGGTTTACAGAGAATTAGGTTTAGAGAAAACAATAGTGATACTGAATCATTCCCAGTTCAGCTGAAGTAACTGGAGCATTCCCAGTTCAGCTGAAGTAACAGAAAGCATTCCCAGAGTTAATAAAATCCTTCCCAGTGTAACTGAAATCATTCCTACTGTAACTGAAATCATTCCGTTCAGCTGAAGTAACTGAAATCATTCCCAGTATAACTGAAATCATTTCTACTGTAACTGAAATCATTCCCAATGTAACTGAAATCATTCCCCGTTAACTGAAATTACTCCTACTGTAACTGAAATCATTTCTACTGTAACTGAAATCATTCCTACTGTAACTTAAATCATTCCTAGTGTAACTGAAATCATTCCCAGTTCAGCTGAAGTAACTGACATCATTCCCAGTGTAACTGAAATCATTCCCACAGTAACTGAAATCATTCCCATGGTAACTGAAATCATTCCTAGTGTAACTGAAATCATTTCTACTGTAACTGAATTCATTCCCAGTGTAACGGAAATCATTCCCCGTATACTGCAATCACTCCTACTGTAACTGAAATCATTCCTAGTGTAACTGAAATCATTCCCAGTTTAACTGAAATCATTCCCCGTCAATTGAAATCGTTCCTAGCGTAACTGAAATCATACCCTGTGTAACTGAAATCATTCCTACAGTAACTGAAATCATTCCGTTCAGCTGAAGTAACTGAAATCATTCCCAGTGTAACTGAAATCATTTCTACTGTAACTGAAATCATTCCCAATGTAACTGAAATCATTCCCCGTTAACTGAAATTACTCCTACTGTAACTGAAATCATTTCTACTGTAACTGAAATCATTCCTACTGTAACTTAAATCATTCCTAGTGTAACTGAAATCATTCCCAGTTCAGCTGAAGTAACTGACATCATTCCCAGTGTAACTGAAATCATTCCCACAGTAACTGAAATCATTCCCATGGTAACTGAAATCATTCCTAGTGTAACTGAAATCATTTCTACTGTAACTGAATTCATTCCCAGTGTAACGGAAATCATTCCCCGTATACTGCAATCACTCCTACTGTAACTGAAATCATTCCTAGTGTAACTGAAATCATTCCCAGTTTAACTGAAATCATTCCCCGTTAATTGAAATCGTTCCTAGTGTAACTGAAATCATACCCTGTGTAACTGAAATCATTCCTACAGTAACTGAAATCATTCCAAGTGTAACTAAAATCATTCAATACTGTAACTGAAATCACTCCTACTTCAGCTAAAGTACCTGAAATCATTCCTAGTGTAACTGAAATCATTCCCAGTGTAACTGAAATCATTTAAATCATTCCCACTGTAACTGAAATCTTTCCCAGTGTAACAGAAATCATTCCCAGTGTAACTGAAATCATTTCAAGTGTAACTAAAATCATTCCCAGTGTAACTGAAATCATTCCTAGTGTAACTGAAATCATTCCAAGTGTAACTAAAATCATTCAATACTGTAACTGAAATCACTCCTACTTCAGCTAAAGTACCTGAAATCATTCCTAGTGTAACTGAAATCATTCCCAGTGTAACTGAAATCATTTAAATCATTCCCACTGTAACTGAAATCTTTCCCAGTGTAACAGAAATCATTCCCAGTGTAACTGAAATCATTTCAAGTGTAACTAAAATCATTCCCAGTGTAACTGAAATCATTCCTAGTGTAACTGAAATCATTCCCCACTGTAACTGAAATCATTCCCAGTGTAACTGAAATCATTCCTAGTGTAACTGAAATCATTCCCAGTGTAACTGAAATCATTTAAATCATTCCCACTGTAACTGAAATCTTTCCCAGTGTAACTGAAATCATTCCCAGTGTAACTGAAATCATTTCAAGTGTAACTAAAATCATTCCCAGTGTAACTGAAATCATTCCTACTGTAACTGAAATCATTCCCCACTGTAACTGAAATCATTCCTAGTGTAACTGAAATCATTCCCAGTGTAACCGAAATCTTTCCCACTGTAACTGAAATCATTCCCAGTTTAACTGAAATCATTCCCAGTGTAACTGAAATCATTCCTAGTGTAACTGAAATCATTCCTAGTGTAATTAATATCATTCCTACTATAATTGAAGTCATTCCTAAAGTAACTGAATCATTCTCAGTTCAGCTGAATTATCTGAAATCATTCCCAGTGTAACTGAAATCATTCCTAGTGTAACTGAAATCATTCCCACTGTAACTGAAATCACTCCTACTGTAACTGAAATCATTCCTACTGTAACTGAAATCATTCCCAGTGTAACTGAAATCATTCCCAGTGTAACTGAAATCATTCCTTGTGTAACTGAAATCATTCCCACTGTAACTGAAATCACTCCTACTGTAACTAAAATCATTCCTACTGTAACTGAAATCATTCCCAGTGTAACTGAAATCATTCCTAGTGTAACTGAAATCATTCCCAGTGTAACTGAAATCATTCCCAGTGTAACTGAAATCATTCCCAGTGCAACGGTGTAACCTAGAGAGAATAATGTAATCGCCGTGTATGTAACATAATGTTTTGGTGTTCACTGTGAAAATCCTATGGCATAATGCTTAACCTAAACCCAGTTTAAAAGCAGGGCGTAAACAAATTGGAGGTGACGGACTGAAGAACATATACCCTGTGAAATCTCATATTCAGGGAGCCCTGAAGAAACAACCAGAAATACATTATTATGCTAAACTATAGAATTAATCAATTATGCACCATCTAAATCAACTTTATTGATATCAAACTTTGCTCGATGTTGTAATCGGAGGGCCCAGGGAGCACAACTTTGAAGTTGTTGCAGTTATGGTTCAACAACACCAAGGATTTGAAAGAACATAAAAGCATCAGTCCATATTGAAAAGGACATCACTTAATATGTCAGTCCACTTTGGATCAGCAAAAGAGCTTTCATTCCAAGCATGTTCAAGTACAGACGGAAGTAAATTAATTTTCAGCACCCGAACTGATATGCTTCTCTGTTTCGTTTAAGGGACAAATCAGACTATTACATACTGGACTCAATATTGAGTTGGTGGTATCAACAACATGGTGGCATCATGGAATTTACCCAAAGATTAACTTTTAAAACATGACACACAAACGACAGCCTCAGGTCTATTTCGTTGTGACAATGGCTGTGGCAAGTCCTCTGTTATACATTTATGTCCCTTTCAATTATTATATTAAAATATTGAATATCAAGAGCAGGTAATTAGAGATCATCAACCACTGGATGAAGGAGTAAGACTGTACTCTGAATTATCATGGTCCTCATTATACAGAAGTTGATTTCCAGAAATGCTTCCCCGTCATGGGGCGGTGAGGTAACCTAGTGGTTAAAGCGTTCGTACAATGTGTGAAACCCATTTCTGGGGTCTCCCGCCGTGATATTGCTTGAATATTGCTAAAAGCGGCTTAAAACCAAAGTCACTCACTCACACACTTCCCCGTCATGTGTATCATTCCCTAAATACCCTTCGATATGTTTTCATGTTATAGTCTCAATATTTCAAGGCGTGATGTATAAGGTTGAAGGTTAAAAAAAAATTCAGAGGAATGAGGTCAATCCTTTTCTAAGATTGCAACATAAAGAAAAACAGCAAAAACATTAAAAAAACAAAAAAACATTCAGCAAATCCTTTGTGTTTTTGAGAATGAGCATGGTATGAATTGCTCTTGTCTAAGATACTTTCTGTGAATACAAATAAAGTCATTCCTTGGTAGCTTGTTAGATTATGGTTGTTTGAGACGTGTGTTACTATAACTGATTCTATCTCATGTTGTAGAGATCATTTATGGAGTTTTGCAATCCAGCACAAAAGAATAACGGATGTGTCTTCAGGATGATAGTTGAAAGTTCAACGCTTATAGTATTGATACGTGGTTAAAAATAATCATCACTGTTTGGTTTACCTTTATCAGAGATGTTAACAACAATAATATTAATCTAAAAAAATATTATATATACATAATTGTGTGTTTTGTGCATTATATCCAGAGACACTTTCTTTTTTATAAAATGCACCAAAAACAGCAGATAGGATGTAATATATACATCACATCCACCTCTCTTTTTTTTTTTCTTCTTTTTATGTATTCAGATTACTTGTTATTTGTCCCGTCGAGTGAGTGAGTGAGTGAGTGAGCTGGGTTTAACATCAAGACACAGCAGTATTCCGGTTGTAACAAACATCTCGGCGTGTTAGCCTATGTGGGAAACAAGACAGAAAGTAACACAGGCCTGTCCTCTGAATAGATTACTATAGAATTATTAAACTACTCTCTAGGCCAAGAATGTTTTCCAAAAGTTTTATGGAATGACATGTGAAGGTATTTTCCAAATTCTACGCATCAGTGACAAAAAAGTATGTCCAATGAAAATCCAAATTTGGCTTGTACCCTACATTCCTGTATTTGGTAGGTAAACAATTGACTCGCCTTTGTATGTGTTTATAACGAGTGTTACCTGTGCGGCAGGATACGCTCCCGTTTTCGGGGACACTTGACACCGTCACTATTTGATAGTGATTCATGAACGCATGCTCGTTGGAATCGAACATATAGAATAGTTTGTTTGTTTCTGGTTTAACGCCGAACTCAGCAATATTCCAGCTATATGGCGGCGGTCTATAATCAATCGAGTCTGGACCAGACAATCAGGTGATCAACAGCATATATACTCTGTTGTTCATATACTGATAACATCTGGCAGTGGCTACCAGAAAATGTTATATAAAATATCTCCATGTGCAGAAAGACCTTCAATCCTTAAGATAAGACTTCAGATATCCGGGGGAAAATGGATTTGAAGATGTGTTTTGAAGATGTGATCTGATCTTTGGAATGCTGCATTTGCATTAAAATATCCAACAGTCTCCAGCACGAAGGATAAAATGGTCTGAGGAACGAAGATGTGTCTGGCTAATTGTAAGAGTTGAACAGAAGAAATAACAAGAGGGCGTTGCGTACACTTGTTTGAATTTCACACAGGTAGGGTGAGACCGAAAAAAAAAGGACGGGATTCAAATGATGTTTTACTGGATTGTCATGAATGGAATTCTGAACTGAGCGTCAGTGCAGAGAGTAGTTAAGCATAATTAAGCATTATCTACAGATTCTACCTTCTTGTATTCTGTACATCTCTTTCACTCTGCCGTAAAAAGCTTCTAATTAACGTTTTGATGTAACCTCTGTACACTTTTCTAGCCTCTGCCTGGGAATTCAAGGCTTTTGAAATTGTCTACACTTGGAGACACATGTATGAATGATCAATATATACTGAGTCAAAAAAGAAACTTAACATTCTTTCTTCAGGGCACTATAAAAGAACAAGAGATGGTAAGATGGTTACATTGTTATTATTTCATTGCTGAGATCTGTGTGATGTACTCGATACACTGACAGTGCCATAATCAGTTCCATTAGGCTACACCGCCGTTCCAAAACATGGGTATCCAAAATGTCAAGTCACAAGAATAAAAATGCGAAATTTCTCAGTGCAATATCGTGTATGGCCGCCCCGCGCATTCACCACTGCCAAACACCGTCTCCTCATCGACTGCCTGATGCTTGTGAACACGTGGTTTGGGATTCTGCGCCCTTGCTCTTGCAAGGCAGCGTCAAGTTCCTGCAAATTCTGAGGTTGGTTCCTAAGACCTCGAAGCCTTCTCCCAAGTACATCCCAAACGTGCTCTATTGGATTAAGGTCAGGGGACCTCGATGGCCAGTCCATGACGTTGATTCCAGCGTTTTGAAGGAAATTTCATGTCAACATCGCGGTATGCGGCCGAGCATTATCATGCTGGAACTGTAGACCTGGGCCATGAGCCGCCATGAAAGGAACGAGTTCAGGGGTGAGCACCTGGTCGCGGTAAGCAGGAGCTGTGAGGTTTCCACGGATGACCAGAAGTCGGGAACGGTTGTTCCTACAGAAAGCACCCCACACCATGCAACTTCCGCCCCCGAATCTGTCGACTTCCTGTACACAACATTGGGCATACCGTTCACGACGTCGTCTCCAGACTCTATGCCTGCCGTCCGCGAATCTGAGGGTAAACCTGGATTCATCGCTAAAGACGACTCGATTCCAGTCTCTCTGGGTCCATCGGCGTTGGGCCCACAGCAGACGTTGACGTTGATGAAACGGCGTCAATATTGGCCCACGAAGTGGACGTCGAGAATGTAGATTGGCAGCCCGCAACCGATTTCGAATGGTCTGTGAGGACAGTCGACCTCTAAACATCTCAGCCTTGGTTCGTGTAGCCGGCAGAAATCTGTCACGTAGGTGACGTAGGACGATTTGACGGTCTTCTGCTCGTGACGTCACACGTGGACGACCCGACCTTGGGCGATCAGAAGTGGTGCCAGTTTGTTGTAGACGACCTCGCAAGTCATACACAGTACGACGGCTGCATCCCATTGCTCTTGCGACGTCAATAACTGATCTTCCCGCTTGCAACATGCCAACGGCACGTTCACGTTGCACATTTGACAATCGTGGCATTTCAAGTACCGTTAGAACTGTGGTTTAAAAGTGTTTTTTCAATTCTTGAGGCCAATGCAAACACGTGCATATGAAGAAAACTTCGATGCGAAGATCACGTGATCGACTGCACGTGCAAAACCTGATTTGGCACTAACGTCATTTGCACGACGAATGGATGGGTTTGAGTGGTTTTGCTAACGTTTTTCTAGAGTCGAAAGATAGGGATCCCATTTCGGATACATAGATGTATCATCAGAGAAAAAATATTCATTATTTTTCAAATTTCATTTTGTGAAGTTTCTTTTTTGACTCAGTATACATAGTAGTTATTTCCTTTGTTTTCTAGCCGTGAAGATCCGGGTTAGAATTGATCTTTCAGTAACCCATGCTTGTCTACCCGAGGAGATCCGGGTTAGAATTGATCTTCAGTAACCCATGCTTGTCGTAAGAGGCGCCTTCAACTACCACACGGCAGGGCAATAACACTGGACGAGAAAGCGATAGCACAATGCGAGAATGTAATAGCACAATGAAGAGAAAGCGATAACACAATACGAAAAAGCAATAAGATTAGACGAGTAAGTGATGGCACAGACGAGCAGCGATAAGATGAGACGAGAAAGCAATAACAGACGAGAATAAGATGACATGAGAAAGCGATAACACAGACGAGAGAGCAATAAGATGACACGAGAAAGCGATAACACAGACGAGAAAGGGATAAGATGATACGAGAAAGCGATAACACAGACGAGGAAGCAATAAGATGACATGAGAAAGAGATAAGATGATACGAGAAAGCTACAACAGAGACGAGAAAGCAGTAAGATGACACCAGAAAGCGATAACACAGACGAGGAAGCAATAAGATGACACGATAAAGAGATAACACAGACGAGAAAGCAATAAGATGACACGATAAAGAGATAACACAGACGAGAAAGCAATAGGATGACACGAGAAAGAGATCAGATTACACGAGAAAGATATAACACAGACGAGAAAGATATAACACAGGCGAGAAAGCAATATGATGACACGAGAAAGCGATAACACAGACGAGAAAGCAATAAGATGACATGAGAAAGAGATAAGATGATACGAGAAAGCTATAACAGAGACGAGAAAGCAGTAAGATGACACCAGAAAGCGATAACACAGACGAGAAAGCAATAAGATGACACGATAAAGAGATAACACAGACGAGAAAGCAATAGGATGACACGATAAAGAGATAACACAGACGAGAAAGCAATAGGATGACACGAGAAAGAGATCAGATGACACGAGAAAGATATAACACAGACGAGAAAGAGATAACACAGACGAGAAAGGAATATGATGACACGAGAAAGCGATAACACAGACGAGAAAGCAATAAGATGACACCAGAAAGCGATAACACAGACGAGAAAGCAATAAGATGACACGAGAAAGCCATAACAGACGAGAAATTCGTGCCCGTATCATACTATGTTTACGACACTCGTGCCTAAATATCGGTATATCCCTCTCTCTCGCTCGGGAAATACCAACATTTAGGCACTCGTGTCGTAATAGAGAATACTACACGAGTTCTCATTACATACGAATTATACGAAACGAGTGTCCTTCCTATGGTATCTAACCGAGAGAAAGCGAGGTCAGATATCATAGGAAGGTCACGAGCTTCGTATAATTCGTATGTAATGAGACCGAGTGTGGTATTTTATTTACTACCCACGTCTGACATGCATTAAATTGACAAAATAGCGTATTTTTGTTGTTTTTTTTGGTTTCAAACCGAAACCGGTTTCATAAAGAGGTTGCGGAAGAGTTTTGCATCACGTCACACTGTAATGACGTCACTGCCTTGGTATCCTCGTTTCCAGCTGCTTCACTCGGCTAACATTACTGGTGGAAACATTGCATTTATGTTTTTCGACGGATATAATGTCTCAGTTCGACTTACAATTAAACAGCGACACGGCAACGTTCGCAATGTTTACATTCCCACAATGCATTAAGTTGTAGAATGAATGAATTCACGTGTTTGTTATGAATGAAAAAAATAGTTACGTCAGAATGTGACCTAATTGAGAGGTCATCGGTTATCTAATCAAATCGTTAGAATCTCAGGTCATGTCGTTACGACACAGGTCAACGCGATACGACACTCGTGTGACGTACGATATTATTATGCAACTATCAATACGTTGACCTCGTGGGTAAAAAAAAATAGTATGACATGGGCACTCATATAATATCCTCTCTTTATTATAACCATTTATAGGTGGTACAGGATGTGGGGATGGGTGTTGGGACATGGGCTGGACTGTTTTTCCTTAAAAGAGAGTTGAGTTTTTTTCTGTTTCAAATTTTAACTATAAAGGTAATATTGATTTTTTTTCTCAGTTCACTAAAGCAAAGTGCTGTTCAGATGCAGGTGATACACTGAAAAACGTTCAAGGATTTCAGCGAAAACTAATTGATTGTTTTATGGACCTAATGATGAGTCAGCGAGTGGCGAGTCATGGCCATACTCTCTAAATAAATACAGGGGCGGTGGGGTAGCCTAGTGGTTAAAGCGTTCCCTCCTCACTCCGAAGACCCGGATTCGAATCCCCACATGGTTACGATTGTGAAGCCCATTTCTAGCGTTCCCCACAGTGATATTGCTGGAATATTGATAAAAGTGACATAAAACTAAACTCACTCGCTCTTAATAAAAACAAATCGATCACATTCCATTCTTTAAAAGAGTCTTACTATATCATGGCTGAAGAGCATTGCAAGACACCCTCAATCATTGCTGGTGTTAAACATGATTAGTAGCAAATGACTATAAACGGCCATCAAGGTGTTGCCCGGCAATGTTCTTTTTTGTCCTTTGAGTTTTAATCAACTTGCATGGTGTCCTATATAAGTACATTGTACTTGCATACAGTAGCATGACAAACATGCCCGTGATAATTGTGTTATTGCAGTTGCTTTGTGTTGATATTTCTATTTAGGAATAAATGGCCTCAGACAAGTTGGAATGATGAAAACTTTACAACTTCCCTATAAAAGGACAATAGGAATGAGGAATACAAATTAAAACCTTAAAACCACAATTAAGTAATTGTGCCTGAAAGGTTACAATGATATCATTAAAACAAAGATATTTAACGAATAAAGATACTTACTGGGTTATTTGTGTAATGTGGAAACTCGCCTGTTTCACCGTCAGCCTATACTTGCGTTCTGTTTTTAACACACAATGCGGGGGTCATATCACTGTAGCCTGTTAAAAGCATGCGCAACTCGTCTATTAGCTGATCTATACATACCAGAGTGGTCGACATAGTGACAAACCTTTTTTTCACACACAGTTATCAGTGCTCTGCGTGTTTACAGATAGTGGGTCTCTCTAATATACTACAGTGACAGTCTAATCTTTTGTCGTTGAAATGGTAGACCACACTGGCTGCTGTTTTGAAATTATCTATTTTTTATTGTGAACTTTGAACTTTATTTATTCTTGGGACTTTATGAGGAACAATAAATCTTAACATAAAAATCCGAAACAAATAACTATGGGTTTTTTCAACAACAAAAAAGAAGAAAATAATCTGAAACATCTGACGTTGGGCCATTTCAGCTGTTGAAGTTGTAATCAAAAATAACGAAGAGGGGTGAGAATATGAAGGAGAAGATCGTCTCCTTTTCTTATCTTGTCTGAACCAAGTACAAACATTCACCCACATTTCACTGTCATTTTGTGCCCAACTCTGGCAGCCTATCCTCATTCTCTCCTAAGATCCGTTTTAGAAACTCGAAGGCTCCATAATACTAGAAGCTTCCTTCATAAATGCATGTACAGGGGCGGGTACAGCTTTTTGAGAAAGGCAGGTTGCATACTTCATTTTCACGAGAGTTTCCAAGGTCATTTAATAAACTTTCCGGAAAAAAAAGGGGGGGGTTGGGGGGTGCACCTCTGCACACATACACACCCCACGCCCCTCTGCATCCGTCTGTTATGTAACGTCTATATAAAGGCATGTCAGTCAATGTTACAAGTGTTTCAATCTGTGGGCACAGCAATGGTTTAACAATACAAGATACTTCTGACCGCCTCCGTGGTGCAGTGGTTAGAGCGTCCGCCCGGAGAGCGGAAGGTCGCGGGTTCGATCCCCGACCGCGTCATACCAAAAGACGTTAAAATATGGTACTTGTTGGTCCCTGTCTGGCGCTCGGCATTAATGGGTACAACAAGGACTGCTCGGCTCGGAGTCAGTATAATGTGTCTGAGTGGGGTATTCATGCTTCACTGCGGCATGGTATCTCAGTGGGCTAGCACTATAAAACCAGCTTCAGTCTGGGCTAGTACAAGCATCCGCACATACACATACACACGCATGCACGTCGTCATTTGAGCGAAATATTCTCAAGCACGACGTTAAACCCAATTTCACCTCACCTCACAAGATACTTCTGTCACGGGAATATATATAATACATGAGGAAATGCGACTTGTTGGAAAAATATAGATGGTACATGAGTTTACGTTATCAAATCGTGAGTGGAATTACTTCATGACATAATCGGGTTAGAATTGGCCTTAAACAATAAATGCTTGTTGTAAGAGGCGTCTAACGGGATCGGGTGGTCAGGCTCGCTCTGATATGGTTGACATGCCATCGTATCCCAATTACGTAGATCGATACTCATCACTGAATTGTCTGGTCTAAACTCCATTATTTACAGACCGCCGCCATATAGCTAAAATATTGTTGAGTGCGGCGTTAAACAACAAACAAACAAATAATTTGCGAAACGTGGTACAAATTTAATACCTTTTACACTCTGATAATACTCACGAGCAGGGCATGGTGAGTGAGTTTAATTTTACGCCGCACTCAGCAATATTCCAGCTATATGGCGATGGTCTGTAAATAATTGAGTCTGGACCAGACAATCCAGTGATCAACATTATGAGTATCGATCTGCGCAATTGGAAACCGATGACATATGTCAACCCAGTCAGCGAGCCTGACCACCCGATCCCGTTAGTCGCCTCTTAAAGGTCACATGCAACGTAAAACACAACTTTGCAGATTCTGATACCTTTCGGTATGGACTTACCGAAACAAATCGTCAAAAAATGCAAATTCAACTTTTAAAGTTGAAACATAAGGCGATGAAAAAACCCGCGCGAAATCGGAGTTCAAACGTTTCACTAATTTTCCCCCCGACTTTTCTGGGGAAAACGGGTTTCAACAGCTGGGCTGCGCTCATAGCACGTGCGCAGTGAAGTAGGTTCGCGCAGCTTGGAAGCGGTTGTCCGGTGAATACTCGGTGAAGGCTTTGGTGTGAGCTATTTTTCTAATGTTTTGTTGATATCTCACAGGCGCGAGCTTTTTATATGTTATGACAGTAAATTAACTGTTTATATAATTTCATTTGTCTATTTCACCACACGTTCTTCTTACCGAGTCACTTTCTCAGTTCGATACTTAAAAGCAATGCCATTATTTAGCGTTGACAGAATTTCCAACTGTGATATAGATATGTCGTTGTCACAGACTAAACTCAATGTCTTGTTTTATTGACACCTGTGTGTCTGCCTGCCTGTCTGCTAATGACAATATTCAATACACAGCTGCTATCACTGACCACATGCAATGTACACCATAAACAAAATGCATTGATTTATGGCCTGAGTTCGGTCTCTGTCACATTATGTAATTACACAGACAGGCAGGTGTGATACTTGAACACATGACATGTTATGATGTCTGTTGATTTGCAAAATGTTATACACAAAAAATGAGCATGTATTTACAAAACCAAACTATATATATATATACACACACAATGAGCCGTGAGAGTTCTGCAAATTAACCAGCCGTTACACTTGAGTGCACACCGACCCGCTCTGACTGGGTTCGGTATCCCGGCTGCTTCGTTTCTTGGGAAGTAAAGCGAAGTACACAATATTGCACTTTTGATTTGCGATTGTACGCTTATAATTTTGTTTATATGTTTTTTCATAACCAGCAATGTATATTATATGTCATGAATAAGTGATAATTGTGTTTTAATTATGTTTGATTTTTTGGTTGCATGTGACCTTTAAGACAAGCATAGCACTGAAGATCAATTCTAACCCGGGCCTTCACGGGTAGCAGGGTATGGGAAAGACAAACCTAGAAACACAGTCTGGTCTAACCGAGATTCCAACCAACGGACGTTGAGTTCTGGCATGTCCAAAGGACGGAATTCAGGAAGCAGCTACGTAACTTAAAGGACTTGACGTATCCCAATTGCGTTGATCGATGCTCATAATGTTGATCACTGGATTATCTGGTCCAGACGCGATTATTTACAGACCGCCGTCATCTAGCTGGCATAGTGCCAAGTGCGGCGTAAACACCAAATATCGTGTTGCGTGATTCGCTGGAAGACAGTAATGCATACCCATCAATAATGGCTCAACAAAACTGGTGTTTCGTGTCATGTAATGATAGTTCAGCAAGTATATTACGTCAAGTTGCTCGACTGGTACGTACTAGTCCACCCAGTTGAACAAACGCATTGTGAGTTTAAATTGAAATCTATTCAACCGCTCGTTGCATGCCTCTCGGGTATATGCTACCTTGACATCCGATATACCTCCCCAGCGCAAAGTAGAGCAAATTCTGTCGGTGTATCTTTGTGTAGTCTACAGTCCGCGTTGTTGTTACATTGCGTGGGGTATAATTCATTACATCGTGGTTCTCAAGAGACTGAGTTGTGTGTGGAGGAAGTGATGTGGAACATACCACCACGCTTAGAGGATCCACGAAACTACACAGTCGAGTGTTATGGAACAGGCTTTCAGAACGTAAGTGTTTAAACAGTTTTCAATCTCCTTTTTCACCATGAAGACAGATCGGGGTAGCTGAGCCACTCCCTTTCCCACCCCAAGTTATGTTACAGCAATGACAGATCCGGGTAGCTGAGGCAGTCCCTTTCCCACCCCAAGTTATGTTACAGCAATGACAGATCCGGGTAGCTGAGGCAGTCCCTTTCCCACCCCAAGTTATGTTACAGCAATGACAGATCCGGGTAGCTGAGGCAGTCCCTTTCCCACCCCAAGTTATGTTACAGCAATGACAGATCCGGGTAGCTGAGGCAGTCCCTTTCCAACCCCAAGTTATGGTACAGCAATGACAGATCCGGGTAGCTGAGGCAGTCCCTTTCCCACCCCAAGTTATGTTACAGCAATGACAGATCCGGGTAGCTGATGCAGTCCCTTTCCCACCCCAAGTTATGGTACAGCAATGACAGATCCGGGTAGCTGAGGCAGTCCCTTTCCCACCCCAAGTTATGTTACAGCAATGACAGATCCGGGTAGCTGAGGCAGTCCCTTTCCAACCCCAAGTTATGGTACAGCAATGACAGATCCGGGTAGCTGAGGCAGTCCCTTTCCCACCCCAAGTTATGTTACAGCAATGACAGATCCGGGTAGCTGATGCAGTCCCTTTCCCACCCCAAGTTATGTTACAGCAATGACAGATCCGGGTAGCTGAGGCAGTCCCTTTCCCACCCCAAGTTATGTTACAGCAATGACAGATCCGGGTAGCTGAGGCAGTCCCTTTCTCACCCCAAGTTATGTTACAACAATGACATGCGAACATGTAAAATATGTAGAGGAGTGTAAAACGTTAAATGCCATTCCGAGTAGATTTGTAAGTGCGTGATGTTGAAGAAGAGGAAAACGTTAAATGCCATTCCGAGTAGATTTGTAAGTGCGTGATGTTGAAGAAGAGGAAAACGTTAAATGCCATTCCGAGTAGATTTGTAAGTGCGTGATGTTGAAGAAGAGGAAAACGTTAAATGCCATTCCGAGTAGATTTGTAAGTGCGTGATGTTGAAGAAGAGGAAAACGTTAAATGCCATTCCGAGTAGATTTGTAAGTGCGTGATGTTGAAGAAGAAGGCCCTGTGCAATCAACAAGGAGTTGGGCTGATGTCTCCTGTAATGAGCCTACAATGACTGGTTAATCCCAGCGTCGGTGGGCTGCAGGTGACTTGTTGTTGTAGGTGGCAGGAAGTGTATTGTCACATGTGTTATCCTATCTGGGATTACAAGACTACTTAAAGCATTAATGACTGACTGACTGAGTTTGGATTTACGCCGCTTTTAGCAATGTTCCAGCAACATCACGGCGGGTCACCAGAAATGGGCTTCACACATTGTACCCATGTGGGGATTCGAACCCGGGTTTTCGGCGTGACGAGCCAACGCTTTAAACACTAGGCTACCCCACCGCCCCTAAAGCATTAATGAGTTTGGTCAATTACTTTGACTCATGTCAGTTAACCAAAGTTTGTTTAAAACACGGCTATTATGTGAAAATTCCTCAACTCGTAACTTGCTTGACCTATTTGTCCAATAACTTGTATTTCCATGTATATTTAGGCACCCGTTCCTCTGCCATGAGTTTACATGAACCTACAAATGTCAACGGAAGAGGATCCAACGTCGTGTAATGTGTGCAGATCCATAGAAATTGCTATTGTGGGAAACATTTCAGAACCAAATATCTTTCCACTACACATCGACATTGAAATATTTGGATTGGAGGAAATAGATGGGAAGAAACAAAAGTTTAAAAAGGTTCCGCAGAAGGAAGTGAAGAGAAAGAAGAAGAGGACACTGGACAACCTGTTAAGAAACGTATCAGCTCTCCAGAACACTGATGGTGGAGCAATATTGGTACATTTTATAGGACATGACCCTTGCGACAGATATCTGGGACATTTCGATGAACTTGTAACATCACGCCTCACTGAACTGATTGGGGATAATTGTTTGTATGTAGACGCATACACACGTGACTGGATCAGTGATTGGATACCACCTTCAGATGAAGGCAAACATTTTCTTCTTTTAACAGTGGGCAAAACAAAGGGTGTTTCAACTGTGGATTTTAATACAAAGGTATCAACCGATTGTGAAAATACAAATCTTTCTGCGTTAACCTTTTACGAAATATTGTCCAAAAACACCTCCAAATGCCATTCACCTCAAAGCACAAATATCAATGACTTATCGTCCCTTCAAGAAAGCAGAAGCATTGAACTAAAGGCTCTTGTAGCAGACAAAGTTGAAGAATTTGGAACTGACATTTCAAAGCTTGTTGGGTACATTTGGCATGACCTTAAACTAGGTGTCAATATTACTTCAATGTCCAAAGTTGTTGGAGGGGGGAAAGTATTCATTGGTATTGAGGAAACCTATGAGCATGTCAAATACCATTCTCTGGATAGTAATGGCATGTTATACAAAGTCAAGGTTCCAAAACATATTGGATTTGAGCTGAAGGTTAAGGAAACAGATCTTCAGAAGGGTATTTTTGAAAAATATCAGTCAGATGTATCTGTGATGTACAAAGATGGTACATTCTGCAATGATGTGTCACATTTAGACATCATTGATGTCAAGTTTCATGACGTTCCAGACACAACTCCGCCAAAACATGTGTTAGAAGTTGTGGTGAACTTTTTTGAGGGTGTCGTCTTCTATGACAAGAAGGGTCCTCGAGCTTACAAAGTAAATGGCAACAGAATTGAGCGGATGGTTTGTGAGGAATGGGTGGAAAGGCTAAGGAGCTTTTTCACGAGTTTTAAATAGCATGGTTTTCTATATTCACATTCCATTGGGCAATGGACTTTTGATGCAGTGATCATTCAGTTTTTTGTGTTACACCAACAGATTGTTCGAATGACTAGAGATAATGAATACCTTGCTATTTAGAGATATGTCAACATTTACATAAACATTTTTCTGTTGTGTATTGCACTGCTGGGATTGTGTGTGTTTTACTTGGACAAACATTTGGACTACCAAGTCAAATATGTCATCAGATACATCGTCGTCGACGTCCTCAGATGAGGAATCCATGTCATCAGATTCATATGTATCGTCTGCTTATCAGTCGGATGAGGACATGTACCCTGGCTGCATGGCAATACGTGTTGAGGCAAACGCCTTACAGCTTAAACATCACACAGAAAGAGGTAATATTATGTTTCAATAATGCATACTGTTAAACATGCATGTCATAACATAACTTGATATAGCAGTAGAACAGTGGCTCTAATCCCAACAGGTGCCGTGGGATAGCCAGAGAGTTCAGGTATCACACCGAAGACTCGATTCCACACATGAGTACTAAGTGCGAAGACCATTTCTGGGGTCCCCCGCCGTGGTATGGCTTGAATATTGCTGAAAACGACGCAAAACAATATTCACTCAGTCACATAATGTCTGTCAGTGATGTAACAAATTATCACGTGGCATCTGAATGAGAAACAAATCCATAGATTGCTATTTCATACAGTATTAAATATGAAAAATGTTCTTTCTTTCTTTGAAATGGTAACTCTTTTGATAAATATTTATCTACGAATAACTTGCATGGTTCTAAGAACTCTGGTCACAAAGTTTGGATTTTGTTAATGCAGCAGGGTGTTGAGGAATTACATAGATGACACCTTTAACTTGTCTTACTTACGGGGTTAACCTCTTTGGTCATGTTGACAAGGCGTCCGACTTCGGATGAGGTGCGTGGTTCGAATCCCAGCACGGAACCCATAAACCTTATGGCCGCTACATTGATACACATATATAATGCGTATTGTGTTATTAGCTTGCACGTTTGTTGATGTGTCACCCATCATGATCTACCATGGCATTAAAATGCAGATACCCATCAGCAGTTTAGACTGACAGAAGATGAAACGATGAAAATGACAAGCGATGAACTGAAAGGTATCTAAATTGTTGCATGTATATAAAATGTGTTTATACGGGGGAATGTGTGTGCATGCAATATGTGTCTATACATGCAATGTGTTTATGGATGTAATATGTGTATACATGCAACGTGTGTATGCACGAAATGTGTGTATGCATGCAATATGTGTGTATAAATGTAATATGTATGTATGCATGCTGTGTCTGTATACATGTAACATGTGCGCATGCGTGTAATATGTGTGTATACATGTAATATGTGTTAATGCATGTAATATATGTGTATACATGCACTGTGTGTGTATACATGCACTAATGTGTGTATGAATGTAATATGTGTATGCATGTAATCTCTGTATACATGCAATGTATGTATACATGCAACGTGTGTATACATCCAACGTATGCATACATGCAATATGGGTGTGTACATTAAATGCGTGTATGCATGCAATATGTGTTTATGAATGCAATATGTGTGTATGGATGCAATATGTGTGTATGGATGCAATATGCGTGTATGGATGCAATATGTGTGTATGCATGCAACATGTGTGTATGCATGCAATATGTGTTTATGGATGCAATATGTGTGTATGGATGCAATATGCGTGTATGCATGCAATATGTGTTTATGGATGCAATATGTGTGTATGCATGCAATATTTGTATATGCATGCAATATGTGTGTATAGATGCAGTGTGTCTATGAATGCAATGTGTATGTATACATGTAATGTGTGTGTATGCATGCAAATTGTGTATGCATGCAATGTTTGTGTGTGTCTGGAGAGAGAAATGAATCTGTAGATATCACTGTTTAATAGTTTAATGGTTACCACTCAATGACAACGTTAATAGGACATTTATGCCTGTTTGGTAAGATACAGCCTGTTTTCCTGTAGTAGGTCAACTGATGATATATTTTCGTACATTTTACCATAATCCCTGCTGTTTATCTATGTGTCAGTAAAAATCGTTTCCTTGATATCTCTTATATTGTTCTAATGACATACATGAAATTTCAGGGATGCACATTTATCCACAAGGATTTCGAGAGTTCATCGCGTCGTCTCACAAACATGTGGAGGAGGGCTTAGTCAAACTGTTGGGTGATAGCAATGCGGTTGTATATGGAAGCTCATGTGTGTTAGATCTGCTTAGAACAAGCCTGGTACCGCCACCATCCTTACTCTTTGATGTCTGTATATTCAGGCCGTCACAACCACTGCTGTTACTGTCCGTGTCCTCTGAAAACGACTTCAAAAACATGTTATATAACTCTGCTCTAGCTCGTAAAGTGAAGACGTTCATGCGAAGAGAGGTAAAACCTAACTTTAGCCTCGTGCACGGTGTGGTGGAGAAAGCTGATTTCCATTGTGAGGATTCCTTGAGGTCACAAGTGACATCCTTTACAACACAGGCGATGCAAATGTCTCTTCCCCATTCACTCTTTATGAACCTTGCTCTGTGTAAAATGATCATGAAGAACTTTATAATTCATGTTCAAAATAATACCATTGAACGTTCAGAGGTAACGGAACTTGTACAACCAAATCACCCACCAATACAGGACGCTAAACGTAAGTTTGCTTAACATGTGCAATCTCCACTAATACGAACTATAACTCTTATAATCAGGTACAATGTACTATCTACATCGATCTATGTCATTTTCACTACGTCTATATATACTAGGCAGCAAAAGAAACGTCACTTTGGAATTTTCCTTCGCAGAAACGGATAACTGTAAATTCATTAGATGTTTTGATTGTATATTTTACCTGAGCAAAGACATTCCTTCTCAAACTCAGAATGGAACCCAGGAAATGGTCTCAAAAACGCAACCTGATCTCGGAGATGGTACGGTGTTCTCCATGTTTTTCATGCAACTCATGCTGCACTTGCTGTTCACCAGGACCAGTCCTATACAATGCACCCCCAAACCTGGTTGAAACATTCACATTACAACGTCAGCAGGATGCCGCGACTCACGACAGCTCAGGAATCAGGCGCTAGGAAGACTTGAAGCTGGCCACACTGCACAAGCCGTGCAATCACTTCCAGGTCAACGTTCGGACCATCTACAGACTGCAGCAACGTTTCCGGACCACCAACACCACAAATGATCGCCCCCGTACTGGCAGACCAAGGGTCACCACAAGACGACAAGACCGCCATGTTGTGCGACAGTATGTACAGAATCCCTTCCTGCAGGCATCCGAAACAGCACGCCAGACAGTGGCAACACACGGAAGCCCACACTCCGGCACAGCGATGACTTAAACATAACATCACTGCCACAGGCTAATTTGCATATCACGTGACCGGACTTTTCTCTTGTTTGTAAACAAACGCGCATATTCATAATAAGAAGAGACTGGACTCACGAAAGCTTTTCGGCGCTCTCTTCATAATGTTTTACATTGTTACATATATATTCTTCCACAACTCCGACAGTAACATTTATGACAGTACATATTTAGATATCAAACTGGCTGCATCGTTTGCTCTCCATCATCTTCCATGACAGCACGTGGAGCCGTACAACCTATGTAAACAAAGGATCGCTACGCAAATCGAAATAGTGTTACATGTTTTAGGATATTTTCTCAATGAAACTAAACCATTATTTCAAAGATGTTTAATTAGTTGTGTAGACTCGTCAAAAATAAAAGAGTTGAGGAATATGTAAATTATATTGAATGGACGGTGCAAGATGTGACGAATCGTCACATTTTTCTGGCCTGTGGCAGAGATACTATGCTGGCTTGCCGCATGGAACTCTGGGTAGGAGAGTGACGGAAGCCTAATCAGCACTGATACAGTACGCCGACGTCTTAACAGCGGGAACCTCCATTGCCGTAGACCTAACCTCACCCCTCGTCATCGGCGTGAACGTCTACAGTTTGCCCTACAACACCAAAACTGGCGATACAGGCAATGGAGAACTGTTCTGTTCACAGATGAGAGTCGGTACTGCGTATCAACTGCAGATGGCAGAACAAGAATATGGCGACGATGTGGTCAGCGTTACTCAGACCAATGTGTTATGGAAAGAGACTCATGGGGAGGTGCAAGCATCATGGTATTGGGTGGAATAGGCCTGAACCAGAGAGTGGGTCATGTGGTGTTCCAGAACTGTGGTCCAGGGAGAGGAGGCGGCATCACAGCGGTGCGCTACATCGACCAAGCTCTCAGACCCCATGTTATACCACATTTCGCACGTCACTGGAACAACATTTTCCAACATGATAACGCCCGGGCACATACTGCCAGAGCTACACGGGACTTACTACAGCTGAACGGTGTCAACATTGTGCAGTGGCCAGCCCTTAGTCCTAATTTAAATCCAATTGAACATCTTTTCGATGAAATTCAGAGGAGACTGAATAATGTCATACCAAGGCTGTACACAGCCGATTTATTGCGCCAGGCCTTTCTCAGAGTGTGGTTCAAGGTGCCAATGGCCTTCATCAATCGATTGGTGCACTCTATGCATAGACGCTGTGCTGCAGTTATTGCCGCTCGTGCTGGTCACTGGATACTGAAGTCAAGAGTCTGAATAGACTGCAAACGTTCACGTAATGCCTTGAAATTGTGCTGAGTTATTCATTGATGTGTCAAGATAATGTACAAAAAAATGTGTTTGATCCGCATATTATGTCCATTTCTGTAATGATTTGATTACAGTGCCTAAGTTTGAATTCGTTCTGACTGCTGAGTATAGTTCAAACTTATCGCTGAATATTTTGTTATAAATGTTAAATTCTAACAGAAATAAGTGAACGTTTTTGTTCGTCGTATTTCAGCCTTGGGCATCAGCGAAGTGAATTTACAAAAGGGCATGCAATGCAAAGTAAGAGTGACCATTGTTTAATTTTACTGATGAATGTCTCCAAATGAAATAAATCTTTTTCTGTAAAGTATTGAGTTGAACAATTCAAAATAGTGATGTAAATGCGAATAAATCAAACATTTCCATAATCTTGAGTTATATTGCAATGTGTTATCAGATACAGTAATTATTTCCGAACCCTTGAAGATCCGGGTTAGAACTGATCTTCAGCAATCCATGCTTGTCGTAAGAGGCGACTAACGGGATCAGGGTGCCGTTGTACAAAACAACCTTAGCGCTACGCTAGTTGTAAGTCTATGTTAAGGTATGGGAGTTACGGTCACCTTAGCGCTGAGATCGCTTTGTACAACGGCACCCAGGTGGTCAAGCTCGCTGACTTGATTGACACATGTTATCGTCTCCAATTGTGTAGATCTCATGATGTTGATCACTGGATTGCCTGGTCCAGACTCGAATATTTACAGACAGCCGCCATATAGCTGGAATATTGCTGAGTGCGGCGTAAAACAACAAACCAACCAATTATTTTGGTACCCTGTATAATATGCTTATTTCAGGAGCAGCTGCAAATGAAGCAGCCATGGCCGAAACAGACAAAACCATCGGGACACGATGTGGAAGAAAAGCAGTTTAGCCGGCAAGGTAACAATGCAATCATTTCCTCTCTGTCCTAATGTTGTTTAGAGTAATTTTAGGCGAGAAGATGAACCAATACCGCACTGTAGTCCTAATACACATGTTATAGTGTCAGACTTAAGTACATGTACTTACATTGGAAATTGGTTCATGCTTCCACAAACTGCACCAAGCACTATATTATTTCAGATATAGGAGAACTCGTAGACATAGTGTGCCACATCGGAGTCTTGGAAAGGGTAACTGTATTAACTATTTATGCTGCTATATTAATATGTGTTCCAGTTCAATGGACAGTTATTACACATCGTGTGTGACCTCGGGCACAATTACTAGGGGAATTTATTCCTGTCATAATATTCTATTGTATATTCTATCATTCGGAATATCAATAGGCGACATTATACAATTATAGACTCTTGTAGAGGTCGATATCGGTTTTTATAGCTAAAATACATGGAATTATCATGAAACGGCCCTCCCATTATCAGAAATTTGCGGTCCGCTGCAAATGATATTGGACCGCTCAACCTTAAGTACGGGCCACTATCAGTTCTGTTGTCAAGTGACGTCATAGTTCGACATTAATTGGCTTTCTACTGGCAGATATTCTGGGTCAAACAAGTCAAAGCAACCCGAATTCCCGCTTTAAATAGCGGTAATATTGGCTTTCTTGTTGGTGCTAACCTTAACAATTGCACCATTAAGGCTGTTGATGGACCAACAAACCGAACACTGACATAGTTTGACATGTTGCAGGCTATGGTCTTGTCAAAGGCCAAGGTCGAATATCGTCACTTTCTGTTGTGACGTCACTTGAATTGTTCGTTGACGTAATTGCATTCGGGCAGTCAAGCCCGTCAGAAGTTGATTTGGGTAAACCTACTGTCAAATTCCTTCATTGTTTCCTTTTGTCTTTTCAACACAAATTCCCTGTATTTTAGCAATAATAACGGTAATGCTATTTTTTAAGGCATTATCATTTGTAGAAGCCATCGGTCTTTTTCAACTGCCCTCCTTCGTCGGGCAGTTAATGGAAACCTCGGGCTTCTGCAAAAGATAATGCCCTCAAAAATAGCATTACCCTTATATGATTGACCTGAGTTAAACAATATCGACCGAGCTTGCGAGGTCGATATTGTTTTTCTCAGGTCAATAAAAACCGATATCGACCTCTACAAGAGTCTATAATTGTTTTATTATATAATGAAAGAGAAACGGGTTTTAACATAAACTTTTAATGCACACACCGTGCCATCTATCCGAGTGATCTGATTGGCTGAAAAGCGGGGGAAGCCCCTTCGTACGGGATTCCTTGTCTATTTTTAGTAACCCAAGTCAATATCGTAATTTATCAGAAAACTCAAGTCAATATCGTGTTTTGTAGTCATTCATGTGACGGTCTTTTGACCAATCGTGGTACAGGAAAAATACTACCTATATAATAATTTGTTATACCAAAGGCAGACTGAAACGTGCTTAAATACTAAAGGCGATTTCTTAGGGATGTGGAATTTTTTTTGTCGCTTTTATTAACAATTACTCTTGCAGAAAACAGAGGGTTATGGGAAATCATTGCCGCTTTCTGAAGGTAATATACATAATTAAAACAAATACCATACATGTCGCCTACTATAAATGCATATTGTCCTTAACTGAACAATTTACAAATATATGTACAGTTCTATTCAAATGTAAAGGAAATAGAGAAATATGCTATAGAAATTGATATCCATATCACTGTGACACACATGGACATTTTATACAATGCTGTGCCGTTCTGACATGTCAAATATCAATTCCTTTGCCACAAGAACAAGAAACAACGACTGATCAACTTATATCACCGACGTACCTGAGGCCTCTGCATCTCCATGAGACCACGAGACATAAACATGTACGTTTATATCGTCATTTATTGCTACCCGTGAAGATCCGGGTTACGCGACTAACGGGGTTGGGTGGTCAGGCTCGCTGACTTGGTTGACACATGTTATCGTATCACAATTGCATAGATCGATGCTCATGCTGTTGATAACTGGATTATCTGGTCCAGACTTGATTATTTACAGATATACACCATATAGCTGGAATATTGCTGAGTGCGGCGTTAAACAAAACATATATTACTCTAATATGTCCCTTACACAGTCATTGCAATATTTACAAGTACAATTTTATATTTATTCATAGGCAGAAAGGCACATATCAGAAGAGAAATGATTGTGACGCTCTGAAAGTCAATATGTGATTGCGTTTGCGTATTGTTGGAAAGATCAAATCTTTCAAAATGTTTCCCCAATACCCTCTTACTGCTGTTTCAGATATTTGGTTTGGCAGAGGATGCGTCGGTTAGCTCGTGTGGCAACAGGATTTTGATGTGTGAGTATGTAATTAGCTGGGTAAACCTCTTCAGAGAATTACAACAATAGCTGTAAAATGTTTCCTCAAGCATAGCCTATTACTGAAACAGAAGACTGACTGACTGACTGAGTTAGGTTTAACGCCGCTTTTAGCAATATTCCAGCAACATCACGTCGGGGTACACAAGAATTGAGCTTCACACATTGTACCCATGTGGGGATTCGAACCCGGGTCTTCGGCGTGACGATCCAACGCTTTAACCATTAGGCTACCCCACCGTCCCTGAAACAGAAGAAGGCGTAAATCAATATGTGTTATGTGTAATATATGTAATTTGCGTTTGTGCTGCCGTCTGGCTGTATCACATGCATGCATGTCTGTAAACATTTTACCATTAGTTTTCCTAGAATACAGTGCCCTTATATCACCTAAAGGTACAAAATGCGTAAGTGTCAAATAGAAACACTGATGCATTTTTAAAACCCTTTATAGATATATGGTATAATCCTATTTCAAATATTGGTGATGTATTTTTTTATTTACAACAGTGTACGGCGAGGATTACTCACCGCCCACAGACGGAGGCACGAGGCTGCAAAAACTCAGAACTGTTTTATCACAGATAGATTGGATTGTCCTCTGGAGACCTCTTAGACGCCTGGTGAGATCTGTATACATCCTATCAGAATAGATTCCCATATTAGCAAGGAGAGGTTTGCTTCTTTGTTTGTTGTTATGGCCGCACTTAGCAATAATCCTGTTGTATTGCCCATATGTCATATATATCATATATGCACATTATTAGTTATGTCAACGCGTGGTGTACGCGTCGACTGGGGAATTAGCTCATATTTTAAGATGAAGTGTGCGTTGATGAAGACGAAGGCATAGTTGAGTTCAAACTTCTTTAGTACATGACAAACAAATGCACAAGACATACATGTGGGAGAGCGGAGTACCTGCTCAACCACAGGGCGTTTCCAACGAGCGGCATTATCCTGCTCGTGGTCGTCCCAACAGACAGTCCAAATACCGGACTCGTACTCCTTCGCTGTCTAGATGTGAGCATACCTAGTATATATATATACAGTTTTTGACAACAATGGTCAGGCGACGACTCATCAATGGACAGACAGAAAAACAATAGTACTTCCTTGACCAGTTGATGTGATGGCAGACACGGCCAAGGGGGATTACCAATGGAGGTTATAAATGTCTTATACAATAATTAATGGGCTGACAAGTCAATTTTACAATGCGGTAGTGATAAGGATGTACAGTAGTGATTAAAAATACAGCTTAGCGTCATTTATATATTACAATAAAGTCTCACATGTCTTGAGTACATAGTTTTGGACTTTTTAAATATTTGGACGATGGCTGTCCTAAATTAGTCACTATAACAACTTCCCTCTGCTCCGTAAAGCTTGGACCCCAAGCTTAAATAAATTGAGTCCAACTGATAGGAGTGAAGCTATATAAATACCAACAGTTCAGATCAGTAAATAATCACAAAGGAACAATTCTTAAAGTCATTGAAATCTTGTGCAACAGATATGCCTATGCCATGACAGTATAGGAGTGATCATCTTGCCAGTCTGATGTGTTGTAATGTACATTTCACATGCAGGTATTTACTGCATTGGACAGATTCAATAAACATTTCATTAAAAAGATCTTTAAAATCAGGGGTGAGATAAGTCTGGGGTGAAGTAGAGCGGCCGTCTCTATCTCCAAGCACTATTAATAACACCTACGTGTTGAGGTTGAGACCTATCTTATCCCATTGCTAAATTACAATGGTTAGTGAGAAGCAAGATTTGTAGTAATAAGCTAGAATTGAGAGTTTTAGAGTCTCAGTACCAAATAATGACAATACATGTAATTAGCGTCATAAAAAGTACACACAAACATCTCAGCAAATACTTCGCATTAAGAAATTTGAAACCAGGAGTCAAACTTTACCGTGCGACTCAGACGGTACTTGTGGGTACTGTTGCCCGTTTAAGTACGATCGGTGCTCTTCCCGTGTCTGTGACGGAGCTTGCCCATATAGTGTGGGTGCTATGCCCAATAAAAAGTAATAATCCTACAATGGGTGCTATTCCTGTGTCATTGACAGAGCTTGCCCATATATTGCGGCTGCTATGCCCAATAAAAAATAATAAATAATCCTACTCTGACTTCAAAACTCTAAAATGCTGTAGTGATAAGGATGTACAGTAGTGATTAAAAATACAGCTTAGCGTCATTTATATATTACAATAAAGTCTCACATGTCTTGAGTACATAGTTTTGGACTTTTTAAATATTTGGACGATGGCTGTCCTAAATTAGTCACTATAACAGTTACACGGTGTTTTGAAAGGGTGTACGGGACTGTAAGACCCTTGTAAAAATTCTATATTTCCTGAGACAAGGGTCTTACAGTCCGTACACCCTTTCAAAACACCGTGGGACGAATTTATTACCCTTAAGATCTTTTTAGGCCAGGCCTATTTTATTTCTTGTTTTACGGATACGCCTGTCGTATTTGTTCAAGAATAAGAAAAAAAATACAAATTAATTTTCTCCGCTGATCAAATAAAATCCTTTTATTTGCGAAAAATGTAAATTTACAAGAAATTTTTGTAGATTGTTTTTGTTGCCCCATATATACTTCATACATTGCCAAGAGTAAAATACTTTGAGTATTTAGAAGGAATATTACTTTAACTGTTGATTTTATTTTTATTTTCTTCCCCTCCTGCCTTTAGGTTTCTGAGGATTAAAATCCGTAAAACAAGAAATATTATTGCTCTGGTTCCCCATTCATCGACAGAATGAGACGCAAAACATTTCGCCATGACTTTTCCTAAAGGGAGATAACTCGGGATGGCTTAGTTTATGATAAAAAATATCGAATTTGAGGTTTTGTTAAACGACAAGTGAAATACAGAATCATTTTATTTTTTAAATATTTATTGAAACAAACAAATAAGAAATTATGGCAACAATTTTATTACTCTGTTTGTACTCATTATTGCATATGCCAACTCTAAACTTTCGAAGCGGTCGGCCGTTTGGCAGCCACATTCGATCTAAGGTCAAGGTCATTCGTACAACCCGTGTAGTGTGTCACATGACAGATTACATGGTTTGGTATTTTTTGCTATTGACCAATCAGAATTCGACAAATTTATCTTAAGGGTAATAAGTTGACATATCACTTTTGCCTGCCAAACATTGTTACTGTATTCCATCGTCTGTGACGTCATTAAACAATTGAACGTGACGTCAATGAAGGGGGCCGTCACGCTTGCTTTCCGAGTTTTACTGCACAAATGTACATGAATAAAATGGATAATAAAGAAACTATTACACTCGAGCAAGAGTGTCATACGACTTATACGAAACTCGTGCAAAATCATGTATTGACCTCGCTCTTGCTCGGGCAATGCAAAATTTCACACTCGTTTGGTATTCGTCGTATGGCAGAACACTTGCTCTTGTAATCATCTGTATATATGGTCTGAAAATAATCGAGTCCGAATCTTCACGGGTGAGCAAGGAGAAGTCATGATCTTTGTCCTCAGTAAGCCGATAATACCTATCTAGTTACAATATAACCACGCACATTTTAATGTTATTCTTTTCTGGTGGATAGATGGTGAACACCAAGAAGGAAATTACCTATCTACAAACTAAGATGGAATACTTACATCAATGTACGTATGTTTTCATTCTTTGCCCTAGTGTGATGAGTTAGTGTGACGAAGTGTTATGGATAAGACTGATTCCAAGGTCTAATGGATCAGGCCATTGCTGGAGCCCTGGCGGGTAGTCTCTTGATCCCGACCGAGTCATACTAAAAGATATCAAAATATGGAACTTGTTGTTCCCCTGCCTGGCGCTTGCCATTAAGGGGATAAACAAGGGTTTTACCTTGCTGTAGATTGTCCCGTTAACTGTAATAATCCATAATGATTTAACTGTGTTCAGTACACACTGTTGTAAGAAGCATATCTATACATTGTGAAGCGTGTGATTGTGGACACATATATTGAATCTGATCACAAAAAAGTAAATTCAGAACAATTATGGAATGAATCCTAATTTGTCAAATTTGGTTCAGTTTCATTGTATGGAGAATTTGGAAAGTATTCGTGGCTAGACGTCATATATAGGTAAAATCCATGGCAGGCTTCAAATCTGTGGTGGATTTCAAAATCCAAGGCTAGTTACCGTACCTAACCAAATCCGTGGTGGATTTCCAAATCCATGGCTAGTTACCGTACCTACCCAAATCTGTGGTGGATTTCCAAATCCATGGCTAGTTACCGTACCTACCCAAATCTGTGGTGGATTTCCAAATCCATGGCTAGTTACCGTACCTACCCAAATCTGTGGTGGATTTCCAAATCCATGGCTAGTTACCGTACCTACCCAAATCTGTGGTGGATTTCCAAATCCATGGCTAGTTACCGTACCTACCCAAATCTGTGGCGAAGTTCTTATTGATCGTGATTAGAAACTTTCAGCTCGGCAGAATAGGAGTTAATAAGAGTTCCTTTATGTGTCTTTAATTTATAATACCTCTGCCAATAAGCGAATACGTTATTACACTTATGTTTTGCATTTGTCGAGTAATTGTTCCCCCTTAAATAACAATACTTCACGAAGGAAGAGCGTTTTTATCATCAGGTGACCACTGATGATCAGGGATCTGATTTCTATTCAATCGGAATTTATGTGAGGTTTGAGATTCCGACACCTGGTATACTCTGTCACAGTTGGATTTCTTAGACGCTGTGGTGGTGCCAAGGGGTAAAAACAGTGACACCCTTGTTCATAGGGTTGGTCTAAAACAGACCGCCTGTCAATTCGTGGTTTTTCACGATGATTCTTATCATCTCCTCTTTGGATAAGCAACGGCTATACGAGTGTCCAAATATTGTTTTGAATATTGATTGAGATGTTTCAACAAAAATGTAATTCTCCAGAATTTTCTTTACCAACCTTTCTTTGGCAGCGACAGATTGATCCTTGCACATTTTAACACTTCCCATTTTCGGATTCTCAGTTTTCTCTAATATCCTTTCCACTTCATTCCAAAATGTTTCCGCTTTCTATTGAAACATGTTTCTTTTCTTCGTAGGTGGCTCCGCAATTACAAATCCACCTTTTTCAATGGTTTCCATTTTCTTTCCTGTGATGACCCTCCAGAGATTACTGTCGCCACAAACGCAAATGTCGACTAACGACGGGAACGGTTAGCGATTTTGACGTCATCAAGTAATGTCGTCACTATACATGACGTCATGTAACAATCGAACAATCAAACCTGCCATGGATTTTGAAATCCGTTTCGATAGAGATCCCCAGGGGCCCTTATTCTCCAAACGTTCGTAGCTACGAACGTTTCGAGAATAGATAGCCAGGGACGTAGCTACTACTGTAAAAAAAACCCCGGGCTTACACATGATTGTTGCTAAAAAGGCTGGGCAAGCCCTCAATACTGTCTATTATAAAACTTTGCAACCTACAGGGCTTACACGTAAATAATGGCTAAAACACGCGCCTCATAGATCCGGGTTTTACCTTACGTTAGTTTAGATTCAGAATCCACTATTTCACAGGGATTCCTTTTTAAGTTTAAATGTAGTTGCCTGTTTCTATCAATTTTCATAGCATAAATGTTAAAATACATTGGCACATGGCCTCCAGTCAGCCCAGACCTTGTCGTCTAGTAGAGGCCAGCACGAAAACACGGTGTATGGAGTGAGGGACGATACAGCTATCTGTCTCGTCTCGCTCCTGATATGAACAGATGGTTTTACCATAAACGAATCGAATCTAGATACCACAGTCGTGGTAGGGCTACCGGATAAAACAAAAGTCAACTGACCAACGCACTACAAAAAAAAACATCATTGGCTAACACTGGTTTCTTGCGGCAACATGTGATTTTGAAAGCCCTTAGTTGGGTTGAGTATATGTCTTGCAAAAGTAAATGCGTATTACGTGTATTTTACATTGTAGTGTTACCAGACAACACCTCACTGAAGCAGAGCAGCAAGAATAAAGTAAGAATTCTATCTGTACAAGGGAATTATAATGTACGAATAGCTGAAAAATATATAATCTCCCTTCCCATGAAAACATAAAGAAATATGTCATGTCCATTGATTTTGGGTTTCCCTTCTGATTACATGTAGGTGATGATAATATCTACATAAATATGCTTGGAAACAAATATTGTTTTGCTAACTTGGTTATAGATTGTGACACAATTTTAAAAGATGCATGTTTCTGTTTGTGTTATAACATTGTGTTATAATACGCACATTTTACGTTTGACAATGAGTAATATATAATCTACTACGTCATCACGAAAATACTTTCACTTTGGGTTTTTTTTCGGTCAGGTTCCAGGAACAATTATACCTGTGGATGCTGCTGAAAACCAACAAATCGCTGGTAAGACCAAATATCAGATTCTCATATACTTATTATATGTGTTTAGTATAAGCCTTATATGGTCGATAACACGTGAAACAATTACTGAAGCAGATTATAAGATAATAACGAAATGTTTGAGTTTTTTTCGTTGTTCCATTTGTCCGAGATGATCATGTTCTTCCAGTATACCTTTCAGAGGAACTGATTCGAGTACTTTATTAGTGTGTTTTTTAAATTTTTCTTTTCATTATTTACATACTAAACTAAATAAATGCAGCATGTAGGGTAGGGTGATCCTGGCACAGTCAGACTTGAGATTATTTTTCACAACTCGCACCTTTCCGTAACCTCCAAGATGTTGTCCCGGAAGTCGTGAGTTGATTACGAATGGCTTGTGGACTGGCCTTCCACAATATGGACAAAACTCCTTCCCCAAGTTAAATGGTCCTCCCTCTATCGTGGCAAGTTTAAGAATGTTCCATTTGCCAGTCATGGATATTCTGTTCTTTCAGGTATGCATATATTGGTATGTTTTTGTAATGCTAAAGAAATTTACCACTTACTCGGGTATTTTTTGAAGTGTGGACTTCATTTGTTGAATATAACATATGCTGTGAAATTTATGAAATGCTGTTGAGATGTTCCGGGTCATAAGTATCATCACTATTCGTTGTTATTATCGTCTGATTATAGTGCATCGTATAAATGAAGACAAGTGTCGTTTCACGACAAGAAGTCAAGTCCATCAGCTGAGGCGGTTTCAACAGGGAGTACTGAGACAGACACACATGCTGGAAATACTACGAAATGTAAGAATAATGTGTGATGTTATTCAAATAGTATTCATGAAAACAAAGATGCTGACGTTTTGTATTTATACTTACCAATACCAACTGATTACATTCATCATGTACAGAAATATATCAGTATAAGTCAATGTACAATGACACATGTTTATCTCCGTCTTTCTTTGTTTATCAGGGAATCGAAGATGATTCTGGCAGGCGCACCAGTCTGCACAAACATGAGGCTGAACTTGAAAAAGGTATTCCTGTGCGGTGGTACTGCTCAACATACCAGACAGAAATACATATTACCCAAACATGTAGAATCAAAATCATTGTTCTATCACAGCTTGCCAGTAGTGCTCGATTTAAAGATGGTAACCAACTGCCATACAACTGTCTGCCACAGGTATCCCTGGAAACAGAAAATATGATAAACTGAAAACTGGAGACCTGTCTCTTCAGGACAGCTTTTGACTAGTTCGGGATCAGTCATGGTCTGAAAACATATATTCATTTCAGCTTGAAATCCGAATCGCCTGAATGTATTAGTGAGTGAGTGAGTGAGTGAGTTAATATTTAACGTCACATCGGCAATGTTTCAGCCATATCGTGACGAGAACATTTGATATTGAAATGAAATATATGTATATTTTAAAAAACCTGCCGACAAAGGACAGTAAAACAACTGGAATATCACAGATATGTATGTAAAACTAGTAATTAAATCTAAAACGTTTTAACTATAGGGGGAAAACAATACAGTATAAAATGGGCTATAAATCGCCAATAACTGAAGGTAGATCACCATACCAGGGACCACGGGGACTTACATTACTTTTGCTACCTGCATGGACCCTAGTTTGATTTACACCATCCTTAATGTATTAGAACACTGCTGAAATTCTATTTGTCTCAATTTCAGATTATGGCTGTGTTCACATCTTGGGAGAGGTCGGTTCACTGCGAGCTTACCATGTTGTGTGTACGTATTACAGTTGTTAGGGTATCATTATGGTAAATACAAACACTGTCCACCATTCAATCTTGTTTAAGTTCAACATAGTCGTCAGAGGATTATTGCCTAATGTCTATTTGTTGTTAACGCCGCTCTCAGTAATATTCCAGCTATATGACGTCGGCCTGTAAGCAATCGAGTCAGGATCAGACAATCCAGTGATTGACATCTTTAGCATCGATCTACGAAACCGAAATTGGGGTACGATGACATTGTCAACCAAGTCAGCGAGCCTGACCACCCGATCCCGTTAGTCGCCTCTTACGACAAGCATGGGTTACTGAAGGTTCATTCTAAATCGGATTTTCACGGGTCTGATGGATGTGGAACGTGTCATGTCGCTTTTCCATATCATAATAACATCTGGTAGTGGCTAATAAGACCAGTTATAGTCCTAATATCCGTTGCTGATATTGATACACCGATTCTAAACTGGTAATTGTGTAAATACAGCTGCTTAATTTACAGGTCCTCCATTACACTTTGACACAGATGTGGTAAATGCAAGGTATTGTGATGTGACACGCGGCTGGGAGCTGGTGAACATGTCGCCCATCAACACTTGTGACCATGTAGATACCACCAGACTACAGAACTACTGTGGTACCAGAAGCTCAACAGTCATCCCTCTCCACCCATCCCCAGCCGACCCCGCCTCCATCCTTCCCGGAGCTCGGTACTGGGAGAGTCACACAAGGGTGACACCAAGAAAGCATATTGGTGCCTGGCTCACTCTCCTGGAGGTTGGTGTTTGTGAAGAGTCCCAAATGGACAGAGGTGTGTGGCTGTACTCGAGCTCACGACCCCGGTCATGGAGTGTTCGTATAGGGGGCTGCTCAAGTCATCGTTCTTCAATCTGCACCTTTGTGTATGATGGAGAGCAAAATGTCCATCATTCCTCTGACACAATGAGTAATACACCAGGCATCTCAGACTACATATCTTACGGCGTTGTGGTGGATGTGGTGAAGGGCAGGCTTGCCTTCCTGGATCTGAAAAGGGAGGCTATTCTGTCTACGATCAATGTAGAGTTTGGAGAAGCACTCTGTCCAGCATTTGGTGTTGGGCCCTGGACAAACGAGTACAATGTCAGAATGAAACTTATCAGTGGGAAAAGCATTGAACTCACGGACAGCAAGAAATCTCTCATACACAAAGTATTATCCTGAACAAAAAGAGGAATCACAGTTTGAAAACTGAAAAGTGTTTCAGAGGAATTATAATAATACTTGGCCACTTGTATACAACTGAACTACACGCCCAGGGGTTGAATTTTTTTTTCAAAAGCCACTTGCCACAGGGCAAGTGACTTTAAGAAAATAACTTGTCCTGACTAATTTTCTACTTGCCCTGATTTTATGACATAATTATGATGATGTAATTATGAAAGAAGAAATCAACATTGTATTTGATGTTAATGTTTACTGGACTATTTATTGAAAAGTGATAAATAGCAAAGAAAGATAACTCTACTTTATTATCATTGCGAAATGTAATAGCTACATTTTGAGCAGATATGAAATTAAATCCAAGTTTATTTGCGGTTTGAAACCATAAGTGAGAATTATCTAGTAGCCCACGGACAAGTATGATACCATTATTTGAGTGCCCGAAATGAAAACTGACTTGTCCCGGGCGTCGGGCGATGGGATTTTTGAACCCCTGCACGCCGCGGGAACATGCTCGAAGAGTATACAACTTGATGGTCATTATTAACCCGGATAACCCAAGATGCCCGGGAGGCGCTGTAAGGTTAATAGTCACGTCACTTATCCCACCGATTTTATGTTTTGAAAGCAAACAATGAATGGACCTTACTTTCACTTCACCCCATCCGGTTTGTATTTTAGAATTTCTGTGTATTCCTTTTCGTGTCAACGTCACAAAAAAAAACAACGGAAAAAAGTACTTATCCAACCATCTCTGAAGTGGTTGGCCTCGTTCCAGAAGCGATCGTACTACCACGACTGCCATAGTTCGATGTTAAAGTATTGTAAAGAACATCCTAGCAGCGTGGTCGCTTTGTGGAACAGCAAGGACCTGCTCCTTATCTAGGGTGTGGCTGAGCGGGTGCCACCTCTGACTTTGTATGCTGGCGGTTAGGTGAATACCTCTGAGGGTGTGTGTTCGAATCCCGGAAGAGACATATGTTACTTAATTAATTACTCCACAGCAGCTGTCAGTGGTTGGTTGGTAATGTATAATGCTGCATTCAGCAATATTCCAGCTATATGGTGGCGGTCTGTATATAATCGAGTATGGACCAGACAATTCAGTGATCAATAAAATAAGCATCAATCTACGCAATTGGGAAACGATGCTATGTGTCAACCAAGTGAGTCTGACCACGCGATCCCGTTAGTCGCCCCTTGCGACAAGCATGGGTTACTGAAGACCAATTCTAACCCGGATCTTCACGATCATTTAGTTGTGAACTTCTATAGCTGTTCAAACGGAATAGTGTATTATACAAGATACACGCTTCACTAGGGAGCGACTGAACAATGCAGCAGTGTTTAATCACCTTTAGCGGTGATACTGTTGGGAGTTTGTTTCTAAGAAAGCTGATCGTTTTCATCATGCGTTGCTGTTTTGGCGAACTGAGATATGAACCGTATTTAAAAGAATTTGCGTATAGGTACCTTTTGTCAAATTTACGTAGTTTCATTAATAGTTAAGAAGTCATGCCACTGTAGTGAGTAGGTGAGTGAGTATGGTTTTACGCCGCTTTTAGCAATATTCCAGCAATATCTTGGCGGGGGACACCAGAAATAGGCTTCACACATTGTACCAATGTGAGGAATTGATCCCTGGTTTTAAGCTGATGAGCGTACGTTTTAACCATTTGACTACCCCCACCGCCCCCCAAGCATCTGTAATGTGGAGGAACTTCGTAATATTTCTGTCAGTCAGTCAGTCAGTGTGAACTCTGTCATAGTGCATGTAGTATAGGCATGGGGTCTCCAATGTTATTTAAATGTACGTTATACGCACAATAGAACTGATCTTAATCACTATAGTTATTTAACATGGAAAACCACCGCGTTACTATGATTCGTGTGACATCATCGGTTCCCAATTGCGCAGATCGATGCTCATGCTGATGATCACTGGATTGACTGGTCCAGATTCGATTATTTACAGACTGCCGCCATATAGCTGGAATATTGCTGAGTGCGGCGTAAAACTAAACTCATTCACTTCGTGTGACGTCATCCATGCACATGGAAAAAAGTGCTGCAACATATGTGGTTATTAATCACCATATAGCCATTTATATTCATATCATAATTATATTTGTTTGTGTGATTATTTTGACCCATCCGTCGCATTAAATATTTCAGTAAACTGTTACTTACAGCTTGATTTTGTTTTTAAGCAAATATGGGGCCTCCTTAACTGACAACTGCTCAAAGAGGAACAGTTACATGTATTGTTAGTAATTGTTAGTAAACCTACCTCTGGATTATGGTAGCCTCATTCCTGTGGATACACAGAATACATACAGAAATCAAATGAAATTTTAAACACTAAGTCATAGTGGTATGCTTATCTTAACCCTGGGTTATCCCCCCTGATTTCTTAAAAACAACAACATATGACATTTGTTAAGGATAAAGTGCAGGAAGGATATTGGGTGGGAACTACTCCCCATAATCCAGAGGTAAGTTTACTAACAATTACTAACAATACATGTAATTGTTCCTAATCATAACATAAACATTCCCTCTGGATTATGGTAGCCTGAATCCCAAGTAAGGAAGGAGGGTTACCCTTGGAAGATACTACCCTCTATACCACTAGCTAAGAATAACTATGACTTAGTCAGCGGTAAATACAATTATCTCTAGAATGGTCAGTAGCAGTGAGGGAATATATTCCCAGAGATGGTGAGTCTTCTAACTTCCTTCCAAATATGGTTGACAGAATTGATAGTATGATAATCCTAATACGTAACTAATGAAGTTTACTAAGTTCCTGACCACTCAAGCCGGACTACGACAGTTCCCTTTATTTCTAGAATGATCCTATCGGATCTATCATGAATTACCATTAAACCAAAAATCTCCTTAGATTCTATGACGTCACTTCCGGTGAACTATGACGCCACTACCGGTCTGATGACATCACTTCCGGTCTAATTGCGTAATCTGTTGTATAATCGTGTAACTAAGGTGTAACACCACCAAACCAACCCCACCCCCACCCCAACCCCCCTTTTCCAGGGGCAATCAGGCAGAGGTGAGTTGCTGCGCTGCCACTAAGGGACCCAGTGAGTGGAGACCCTCAATAGAGGAAGCAACGTCAAGAAATGGATAAAATGGATAAAAGTGTTAAATGATTTCCATTGGCAACTGGCAACTACTTGTTCCAACGGAACTGATGACCAAGCCACCAAAGATGAAGCCAAGGTTCTGATAACATGGGGAGATGAAAAGAGTCTTGATCCTGATCACGATATGCATAAGATATGGTTTTCCTCTACCAACGCAACGCTCAGATTGGGCACAAAAATCTATCATCTGATTATAACATTCCGAAGAATTAATGGATATAAAATCTATAGCATGTAAACCGGATACTCTGGATGCTGTAGCAAAACCTAGGAGGATTGCCATCTTAAATGATAGGAACTGGAGAGAAGTGACCTGCATTGGTTCATATGGTGACTCTTGGAGGAATTGTATTACCAAGATAAAATCCCACTTAAGAAAATTGTACGAGATAATATGGTATGACCAGAAATTATTGAGAATTTTAGGAATATGTTGAATTGGATTTCTAGTATAAACAACATTGACCAGCTATCAAGAGCTTGGTTTCATTCAAGAGAGACAACTCCGTCAATCCTTTTTTTATTAGTTTGTGAAGAGTTATCCACCTTTATTTACTTGCTAGCAGACGACTTTATCAGTGATCCTCAAAATGAATGATTTAGAGAAGAGGAAGTTGATTTTAGAATATTATAACAAGGACATCAGATCAGCTAAAGTGATTTCAAGTAGAATAGGCATCCCTTTGTCCACTGTTCATCGTGTTTTGAAAAATATTGCAAATGGATATGGCACTGAGCACCAGGGAGGCGCAGGTAGGCCCAGAAAATTGACTGTCGGTGACAGGAGGCGACTTGGTATTCTTGTTTCTAAAAGTAAACGAAGCAGTTTAGAAAACTTAAGGCTGGATATGATTGATAGAGGAAGTGTGTCTGTCTGTAAGGAGACAATTAGAACTGAGCTGCATGCAATGGGTTGGCAGAAAAGTCGAGGAATTCCATCACCGATCATGAAACCTGAACAAAATGAGCGAAGGTTGAACTGGTGCTTACAGCATAGAAATTTTAACTGGGACAATGTGATTTTCTCAGATGAAAGTTCTCTGTGGCTGTTTCCTAATACACTGAAATTCTGGACCAAACAAAGTGTAAAACCTTTGTATCAGCGCCCAAAGTACAGTCCGATATTTAACGTGTGGGGTGGCATATCTGTGTTAGGGGCAACGCCCCTCTGTGTATTTGAAGGGAATACTAACAGTGAGCGGTACACAGATATTCTCGAGGGACATTTACTTCCATCTGCTCTCGTGTTCTATGGAAATGTTTGGATTTTCCAGCAGGACAACGACCCAAAACATCGTTCAAAGCATTCACAGGCCTGGTTTCGGACCCAAAATATGACATTATTAGATTGGCCAAGCTATAGCCCTGACCTAAATCGAATAGAAACTGTTTGGGTACTTATGAAGGAAAGTGTCAATAAGAAAAATCTGACAAATATTGCTGAAATGAAAGAAGAGGTGGTCTGATATTGGGACAGCATGGACCACGACTTTCTAACGTCTTTGATCAGTAGTATGCCCCGCCGCATTGAAGCCTGCATTGCTGCCCATGGTGACTTGACAAAATACTAACTGTTCACCTGTCTTTGAATCTGGAGTTATGTTCTCCTAATATTCACATTTAATACGTGAGTAATGAGTGAAAAAAAATAGATAAATACAATCTTTAAATTCTCAATAATTTCTGGTTGTATTGTATGTCCTTAATCTGGAATGAACTGATAATCTTGTGAAGAAAAGAATCGGTTCACACTGAGAGTCCCTGAATGGTGATAGGGGAGTCCAAGATTCCTTGCTCTCCTCTAAACTGGATAAATCGTCCCTACTTAGCATCATGGTCTGATGGATGGTCTGATGAATTCTGATATAGCCTTGGTAGCTCCCAGAGAGAAGTCCTGTTCCTAGATGAAACTGGAGATAGCCTCTACGCGTGTAAGGTAAATTGATGGACATTCTCGTGGAACCTATCGGATCTGGGCTGACTAAACAGATTGTGCCATAGCATTAGACGTGGAAGACTGTCTCACAACAGTTGTAGGCCACGCTGGAACAACTGGGTATACAATACAACTGTGATGTTGAGTCTTTTGTAAGAATCTTTTCCCGAATGAGCTTGAATGGTGGAAAAGCGTAAGCTATCATCCCATGCCATGAGATGGCTTCATACATTGTGAATGTCAATGTTTGGATAATTTCGAGACCTGCAGCTGCAGGTGTGAGAAATCCCTATCAAATATTGAAGCACTGGCGGGAAAGACCCATCCTATCACGGATGACATCATCCTCGATAATCTCCAGGGTATACGTTACGATCACTCTCCACTATACCCTGGATGCATCCTTGGATTGGCCCGATGATTTTATTACCTCCCTTGGCTGGCTTTTCATCCGATCAGGTGTCTACACTGGGAAGTTGAGCGAACTAATCACAACTGACTTTCGCTTCTTAAATTATCTAACCGTTTAAACTTGGCAACACAATTGATGCAGAGGGTACTCTAAAGTTCTTTTATATATTTTTTGAAAGTTTTTAGATCTGTCAATTTGTCTGTATTATTTCTCAAAAAAATCAGAGTGGTACTGCGAACAAACCTTCGCGACTGCGACCACTATCTTTGTTGACACTGGCAAGCTCGGATGTTACGGCGGCTTAGCTGATTGGCTACTGTGAGAATGCGGAGCCAGCAAAGGGAGGTAATATAATTATCAGGCCAAGCCGTGGATGCATCCAGGGTATAGTTGAGAGTGATCGTAACGTATACCCTGGAGATTATCGAGGATGGGATGACATGGGATTGTCTATTGCTATCCCTAGCCATGAAAGCAAGTCTTAGTTTGACAATATAATGAATATTGGAATTGACTTATCCAGCCGCGTTATGCAGTGAACGCACACTTGCGGAATCACGAAATAATTTCCCACACAGTGCCTAAACTTCTTACAGTGCATCTCCAAAGGCGAGGTCACATTCCTAAAGAAACCTACCTTCATAGGAGAGTGTCACTTGTTTAATTTGCCGTAATAAAATTCGTGATAAAACTTAATTCCATCTGTAACGCGCAACAAAAATAACAACACGATGTTTACACCGTCCATTTTGAATATATTAGCTCTCGGCCAATCAGCTTCATTCAATCCCCAGTAAGTACTATTTACCAAACAATGAAATAAATATAAATATGTCTATATTAGCTTAGATATGGTGGTGACGCATGGCAGAAAGTAGGTCGACCAAATGACAGATGCAATTAGCATGTTTTTTAAAAAACATGAGAGTGATGAAAATATAAACTGACAACAGAATACACTGTCCAAGATCCGTAAGAATGTAGAGGAATAATAGGTGCATGTTAACAATAAAAGATGAGCCTTATAACACGCCATTTCCGTGTACAATGCACATGCTCAAAATGTTGACATATAACCTTTTATTAGTCATGCTGCCAAGAGGCGCTAGAAAGTTGAATAGTCACATGACTTATCCCACCGGGTACCCATTTACCCTGCTGGGTAAATAGAGACAATTGAATAAAGTCACCTGCCTGTATTTAGTGAATAGGATATCGGTCTGGTTTCCAACCAAACGGTATATCGCTCGTGTCTCCCGTGGAGCGTTCCGCTGACTCCAATCTTGTAAGAATCGCACATGTCGTCCGTTATCAGGTTCCTACACCTGCCCTGACTACCTGAACTGCCCCCGCCTCGTGAGGCAACAGATTAATTGAAACGTAGTCTCAAAATAGCTGTGGTGATCCTAATTCAGTAATAATAATAATGATGATAATACTGAAAATTATCGCAGAATCCAACCACAAAGTGATTCTCAAGCACGTACTATAAAGAAATGTTTGAGTTAATAGTGCAGTGAAAGAGATGTGATTAGAATGCAATCAACCATGGATGCAGTTGTATAGCGATTGGCAGTTCGTTCCACAGAAAAGGCGCACCACCATTGAAAGAAGGCTTCCCACAAGAGGCCATGGCAGTCTATAAAAGGAGTATTCAATAAGAATTGCTT